CACCCGTCGTGTGTAGAAATCATTCAAACTATTCGATGACAGAAAAGACTAGTAAGAAATTGCTCATTAATGAGGAATCTATAGTATAAAAAAGGGTTGCCAACACAGAATTAATCCAACAAAATATGAACTCACTTGATAAGGGGGCCGAGCCCTCCAAAGTCTCACTAAATGTTAACAAGGGAGCTGAGCCCCCTCCCCCTGAGCCCCCCAACGGCACCACTGCTCTATTTCCAAAGGTCAACTCAAGCCTATCGTTCAAAAACCAATCGCGTGAAATCGCGTTGATACATCAGCTTGACCTCTTTGACTGTGTCCTTCTGTCAGCTGTGTTAACTGTAGGTGGAGCCAAAGTTTTTTTGTTTATTGCACGGGGTGCGCTGCAGAAATTGAGCTTTTTTATTTTGAATGAACGCATGAAATATTTTTCTTTGTACCTGCCATTTCGCCGAGCCGAAATGCATGGAGCCAGGCTTTTATCATATATTCTTGTCAACAGTCTTATGAATCAACAACGACATTCATTCATTCTCTCCAAATAATCATGAACATAATCATGAAAATATAGTATTATAATAACTATATGACAGTTTAATAAGTATCATGATTGCGGTGCGTAGTGAACTTCTGAAAAGGAGGTTCAAGTGAAAGCATATATAAGTCAGTACCATTTCTAGATATCCATAATTTTATCAAAGCACAGGATCAATAAAAAACCGCGGGCCCAGTAAAAACCGCGGGCCTCGATATTCTAAAAAAATTTAAGTACCTTGAAATTAGAGGACCCTGATTTAAATTGAACGATTACACTCATTTTTTATAAGAAACTGGCTACAAGAAACGAATACTGGGCAGTCAGAAAAAATTAAGAAACTCCAGTACTCGAAGCAAAAAAATTAAGAAACTATTAAATCGTGATAAAACTGAGAACAACGAAATTTTGTAAAATCCAAGAACATGATTGCCCTATTGGCCTAGAATTTAAGACACGAGGGGTAAAAATATATATCCCACATCTAAATACAGCATCAGAACGGAAGCGAATCTCTTGACGTGATAAAAAGGTCACGAACATTTCATAACATCACAGAACATTAAAAAACTTTTCATATACTCTGCTATGATATGGTGTTTTTTGCGTTAGCCTTATTGCCTTTTAATGATGCCACAATAAATATATTTCAAATGAATGGACAGGTCACTATTTGTTTCGTCGCATTAATGCTACGCAGCTTGGCCAAAGCTAATAAAACAGAAGAATCAAGCACGTGTTGCTGGCCTCGTCTTTCAAAGGCATCGGCTAACGTGCTTCCGTATTCTTAGTTTATGTTTGCACGGTGACTGTAGTTGAAACCTGTTTTTGCCCACGCATGTTCAGCCTATTTTTATTGGTAATGCAATGGGCGTGTTTAATGATCCAAAATTGCTCTCACAAGAGTTTAATTTCGTTGCTTATTCTCTAATGTGATGATTAACTTTCGATTGAAATAAAGAGATCTTGCAGTGACGTATTTTTAATATGTTTTATCTGATGCAGGTGCATCAAAGCCAACGCTCAATAAAAAACAGTTTTCAAAGCGAGTTTTGAAAATCTTTTTATAGCTTTCCTCTTACTATTGTGCCATCATTTTCATCATGACTTCACACTCTTTGTACAGATGCATGGGCGTGTTTCTATTGCACCAGTCAAATGATATTAATTGTTGGTGACTCAAGAGGAATGAGACGAAATAACCAAGGTTACGGCGAATTTATGTTGGGGAAAACAAATCAGTCCAGTAGAACTAGGCTCTTATCACAGAATATTAATTTTTAAAGAAAATGGGCCTTTTAAGCATGCAGCCATATACCCAGAATTCTCTGTTCCGAATCTTTTACCCTTTCTACTAAATAGTATGTCAGATGTTCAGCTTTTAGTTAATGCTTACATGGCCTCAATTAGAACGCCTTTTAAGCGCTCTACTCAAAATAGACAAAGTGATGTCATTTAACTAAATGGTTGACAAATGTCCTAAAACATAATTAGGGGGATATTAATTATTTCTAAATACTGCAAACTGGAAAAGAAACTGATCGATCTTGAATTTCGTGGCTTACACACATGCACAACAAGCAATAACAGTTTTATTATCAAAACATTTTTGCGGTAGCTTATTCTGGAAACAAAAATTCCGCTAAATTTGGGCGCTGCGAAACACAGAGGTCGCAGCTTTGTAGTTTCTTTTTCGTTATTAGCTTTATGAAGAGTAGATTAGGGTTTCTTTGATTTTGCCAGTGAACAAAATGATTTTGAACTACTTTTACCATTTCATCTGTCTAAGCATGATATTCCCAACTCTCTATGACTGCCAAAAGTGAGGGGCGAATCCCTGTTAAAAATATCGTATACATCTTTGGTGGAAATCATTTGTGGTTAAGGGAGTCACGATAAGGTAGCGAAAACTAACGCGAGGGCATTACGACTAGCCTGTTCGGACTATTCATCTTCGTACAAAGAATAACTTGCTAACTCAAAAGAAACTACCATACATATTCAATCATTTAGAATTTTAGCACTTGAAGTTTATAAAACTTTAGCAACCTTAACCTGTTTTCATGAAAGACTATTTTGTTCCTAAAACAACAGGTCACAACCTCCCACTGAAAAACCCTCTTGACATTTCAAAAGCCAGAACTACCAACAATGGTATCATTTAAGGTTTCAAGGGCCTAAAATAGTAAATTCCCAGAATCAATAAAGACAGCACAAATACTAGATAATTCCAGAATTTGATTAAAATTTGGTTCCTTCTAGTGTGCATGCTTGTTTTGCAGTAAATAATCTGTCTTGCGCAGTCCTTGAAATTGCTTTAAGTCAGTTTTAATTAGTATGTTTTCACTATTGCAAAAACGAACATTAAATAGTCCATACAGTATAAAAGCATATCCATCCAGAAATCCTAAAAATCATTTCGTTTAAGTGGAAATCTCGTATAAGATCTTTGTACAAACGAATTGCTCCTGGGCCCGGAAGGCGATTCACTCTTGCAAATAGCTTACGAGATTTTTTCTAAAACAAAAGGATTTCTGGGGATTTTCAGATAAAACAATAGGATTTTCACTTATGGTGTACGAAATGTTTTGGGAGTGATTTGCCTCTCGCCTAGGCCCAAAAATACTGGTTCCCTAGATTAAGATTTTGCATATTTCCAGGCACCCTCATCTCCTATATCAATTGTTATATCCAGGGCCTAACCGCCTTTAGAAGATTATTAACAGAAATAAGTGACTTCTTTATTGGACAGAACATGAATAAATATCAGCTGATCTACGATCTCATTAGAAAATGTATCTATAATAATAGTGTCCATAGGAAGTCCATAACACCAATGTTGCCTAGCAATCGGTTTGAGTGCTGTAAATTATAATAATAGTGTCCATAGGAAGTCCATAACACCAATGTTGCCTAGCAATCGGTTTGAGTGCTGTAAATTATAATACTAGTGTCCATAAGAAGTCCATAACACCAATGTTGCCTAGCAGTTGGTTTGAGTGCTGTAAATTCGGGTGGTTTAAGTCTGTTCAGATGGCTTTGAGACAGTTTTTCATCATCAGATTGTCTAATCGCCATTCTGAAAAGGATTATCACCATCATCATATTTTGCCATGTGTAATCATTATAAACTGTTAATTAATGGTGAATTCCCTATTAAATAAACTGTTTATTATTCAATTACAACTATTAATTCTACTTAATAATTGGTACGTTACAAAGAAATAAACGCACAAATCAGAAAAACAATAAAATAGCACATGTAGTAAAGCACCTGATGAACTAATTCAATAAATTGTCGAAAAAAACATCTAGCCTAAGGAAACAGGTACTCAATCGTCGTAAGGAATCCTTTCCATCCCCTCTTGTAAAGATAATTTGCCATCAGTTTTGTGTGACGTGTCCTAAGATCCCTTTCCATTCTTGAAGGGGCTTTGGGGGGGGGGGGGCTTTGTCCCTGAAGTAAACGAGTTGGTTCCACTAAAGTTAATTTCTAGCGATAACAAATAACATCCAATTGGTTTTGTCCCAGACAATACGAGATTCATTGCCCAAAAATGGTTGTATTTTTGTGTGAATTAAGATCAATTTTTTTCTAATAAGTTCACCAATACTATTATTAATCGGTCCTGTTCTTTCCCAGACTGATATTTTTAATAACCAGTTTCGACGTTCTAGAATGAATGAACGACTATAGATGAAAGAGAAGGTCACCTGCCATTTGCAGCTGTAATTTATGGGTTTTGAGTATCTCACTTTAGCATGTAGATATCAATTTATCGTGAAATAACCTCAAAAATGCACAGCTCCATGCCAGGCAGAGGAATTCAAGAAATCGTTATCTAGAACGGAATTCGGGTGGACGTAGCTTGACAAGTTCTTTCTGGCACTCCAGTGATTTAAAAGCAGATCTCGGTCTTTTTTCAACCAGAACTCTTCTAACTAATTTTTCATTTTTAATCTCAGTTTATTAAGCCCTTACTCATCCTGCCATCTTCAAATATTTTGCTTGGAAATTCGTTTCCTTTGATTTCAAAAACCGTTTTTCTTTCTGAATTTCATTCAAGGTTACGCTCATTTTTTGTTTTGACTTTTGTAGAATGCCATTGATAATGAAGTCCAGTTTCCATTCTAATTATTTCGCTGTGGCTCAACCCCTGGACTCATCCAGAAAACTTTTTGATATATAATTGTTTTATTTCATAACACTTTTATATTAAGCAAAAATACTTTTGATAAAATATTTTCCAGTAAACGTCCTTTTGAACTTTCTGAAGATATTTTTACGCGGTTCGTGTGCATAAAGATTGGCATAACAACAATTGAGAAATTGTGCTTATAGAGAACAATTTTCAAATTCTAATTTGAGCCACAAAGAGAGAATCCACTCGATTGACACAAAGACCATAGCTATCATCTGTGTCTGCAATCAGCTATTTTCTAATCACTTTTTTCTTTTACTTCCTAGGACCAAGGAAATCAAAATTAATCATTCGAAGTCAAGTAAGTATTTTTTATTCAATGGAATTCTCGTTTCAAAGTTTCAAAAGGTTTAAAGAAGACCTAAATCGTGATATTTGTTAATATTTGATAAACAAGATGGTCACATGCGGTTAAGGATCGATTTTGGTCTGGATTTTGCCTCTATTTGTCCATCTAAAGCTCGTTGGGTTTAGAGTATCTTGCTCTCCTCCAACCATACAATTGTTATGTATGGGCGTCTGTGTCACCCTTCATGTTGTTTAGGTAAATAGGCCACCGATCATGGTTCATCCTATGTTTGTAGACTTGTAAAGCATCTGTTTTCTTAACCTGTTATGGTAGAAACCCCTTTTTGTATAAAGCCTTTTGGTTTCTAAGTAGTTCTTTGTTTTAGTCTTTTATTGTTTCCCGCAATATGTTAGTGGTTGTCATAATTTCGATCTTGGATTTTTAGTCAAATATAACCCCTTGTTTGTTCCTCTTCAGGCTCGGAAAACTTTAAATTTGACTTTCTTCTGAGGGACAAAGCTGGATAAAGTTTTTTTCATAGATGAATTTAACTTTCCATTTTCAATTTGGATTAACCTTTCTGCTGATAGAATTTAATATCACCTAATTGTTGGTATTTAGAAAAGAAGATCACTCCTGTCGGAAAAGAGATGAATAATGCAATAAAAAAGAAGTTAGCAGGAAGTTCGTCGTTGTTGAAGCCAATAAATGGTTTAAAGCCAGCGACTACCGCCGGATCATCATCAACTTCGAAGGGATCAAGGTGCGTTTGCCCTCTTTGACGTAAGCTTATATTATAGAACAACTAGGTTTGATTGTGCCATAGACGGTCAGGCAAATAGTTGTATTTAATGAGAATATCACACTCTCCACAGGTTGAGATGATAATTAAAAAGTTATTACTGGATTAAACCTTGGACGTCATTGCCCTCGTGTTCTGCTAAGTTGTGCATGTGAAATTTGATGAAACAATAGCCACATGTATTTTCCAATATTTGTTGATCATTTCATGTTCATTATAGACTAAATTTCATTATGTTCAAAGGTTTATGGCAGTTGTCATACTCTCCGCTAATGTTTACTTTAAACTTATGCGTTGATCAATAGTGTAGCAGGTTCGTAAATCGCTTTTTAAGCCACTCATAAAGTGTTAAAAACTCCTTTAAACAACGAAGAGTAAATGCTTTCTCATATTCTTGAAACGCTCCCTTTGAAAATCTGGCAAGGCTTTCCATTTTTCTGAAGCACTTTTAAACAGGTCAGGTCCTTTCAAGTCCAATGAAGGTGACTGTTTCTGAAACGCTCATTAAGAAGCTGACCGTTATATTTATCCATAGAGGAAAGTCAAGAGAACAAAATTATCTTTGGTTGAAAATTGATCAAATGTTCCATCATTCATTAGAAATTGAAAAAATCAGGCTGCTAGAGAAAGGGGGGCATAAAAAAGATTGTTTGCTGGAGGACTGCAGCATCTTCTGTGTACGGTTTTTCGTGGCCAGAATACATAAGGTTGCGATGTGTATAAGAAGTTGTTCACAATATTTATCGTTCTGTTTTCTTACCATTTCTCTTTCTACTATTTGTACATGAAAATCTTGTAACATAACGAGCTGTTCAGAGAAAAATTTCGTTAACTTCTGTCTATGAAGCAAAAATTATTCTTAAACCAAGCACAACGATATGAACAACTTAGGCTTGGGAGCTTGAGTTGTCCGTGATAAGTTCCGTGGCTTTATTTTTAGGTCAAATCGCATGCTCAGGTTCTGGGTCAAACCTACGTTCCTTTTGATTCAAGAGAGAAGGCACTGTTCTGGACAACTAGAAAATGTCATAAAACAACATTTTTTACACGAAATGCAATATTATTTAAAGCTTTTTGCTCAAATAACAGTAAGCAATGAAAAAGATGCACAGTCTTATAACCGTGTGTCTTGTTTTGTGTTAGCAACAAATTGCTGTTTTTGCCCTTTTCCTGTACAGGGATCATATCTCGTTGCAATTATTTTCGGCACACTGTTCTTTTCTTCCAATCAATACAAACTGCTCTATTATTCACACCTGCCTTTGTGGTGTTCTTCTTTATAAACATTTGATTACTATTGATGGAAGATTCTCACGCTATTCAAACATCCACCATATTACCAATTTGAATGAACTAGCAAATATTCACCACCAAATCAAACGTTTTCGTTCTGTGCTTGTGTTTGCAAACTCTAATAGCCAGACATGTTTTTAAAGCCAGGCGAACCTCGTTCTTGCAAAACCTGTAGCTGAAATAACAAACAATTTCACACAGACATCACACTTTTGTTGATTAGTAAAATCCATTGAATTATCATTCCCAAATTAATTTTTCCTTTAATTGTGCACCTGTTCCAATATCAATAAAGGAATTCAGATTTTTAACTTGAAGCCGAAAAACTGCAACCAGTGTTTGTTTTAACTTGGTTTTGTTTGAGTGAAAATCTTGACAAACGATAATTCATTTTATTGCTACATTTCAACGTTTAAGGAGCTCATTATCTATTGCCAGTGGCCTAAAGGAGACACCTGGGGCCCTTGGGAAAAACTGAGATAGGCCCATATTCACAGACTGCAATAAGGTCCAATCCGATGGTGTGGGGCATGCCAAACATAATAGCGTGTGTAAAAAATGATACTTCTTTTCGTTGATTAAAGGGGACTGAGTTCCATGCTTCAGTTGAAAGATTTGTTAAGCTTTCGAAAACAAGGTTAACTTAAGTGAAGTCCCAAAAACATGGATATCTTTGGGGCCCTTTTGATCAATGGTCCTTAGTTATCGAACTAAGATGTCCTAACTAGTTATGGGCTATCATCCCATATTGTTTTGTTGAGGTTCATTCTATTAAAATTGAAGTCTGTTATAAAGAAGGGAAGTTTGTCATCCACTGTCACACTGCCAGTCTGTGTGCCCGCCGTCTTTTCATTGAATGTCTTTCGAGGGTTGGCCGGTTGGGAAGTCAGATCTTTGTTCCATAAAAATTTTGGTATTTCACTATGAAATGTGTTTTTGCCTAACTGTCATGCAATCCAAATACTTCCTTCGTTTTTTGTGTGTTTCCCTTGACTAACCAGCACTTCGCAGTGATGGCGCCAGGGGAGGGCTAGGGAGGCTACAGCCCCTCCGTCGGAAGCATCTAGCCCCCCCATCGGAGGAAATTTTAGGTTATTGTCGGAGCAAATTTGACAAAATAACGTGCGAAAACTGCTTATATTAGTCATTTTAGCCCCCCTGTCGGAAGCTCCAGCCCCTCTGTCGGAAGATTTCTGGCGCCACCTCTGGCACTTCGGCTGATAAAATGATGTCTTAGACTGATAGTTGTATGAACGCTTTATTATTATTATTAAGTAATTGCTTTATTGAAAGTTTTTGAATTTTGGAAATGCTGTGTTTTTACCATGGCTTTTCTTTCTTTGCAGTTGCAAAGATCGCGTAATTCATATTCTTGCCATTAGACCTCACAAGAAGCTTGAAATTTTTTCAAGGCTCCAGAGAGGTAGGTGGCTTTTAATGTGTTTGTGTTACTTTTTTAGCTTTTTCTTTCACTTTGTGGTAACGAATTTTCATTAGACTACCCGAGGTGCCACGAAAGAGGTCTTTTAAATTGAAAAATGGCTGAGATGCCTAGAGGGAATTTTCAGCCCTCCAACCATGGCCTCTGCAAGGATGGAAGCCGCGAAAATCATGATTGTTCTAGAATAAATAGTTTTTTCGTGCAGCTATTGTGTATTTTCCAAAAGATCCTGTATCATAAAGTCTCGTATAACCTCAACATCAAGGTCAAGAGAGGCTAGCAGTACCAAATTTTCCTTTGAGATTTTTCAAGAATTAATCACATAACCTTTTCTTAATAAATCTGCGTAATGTTTGTGGCCGACGTTGTGTGCTGACAAGCCCTATTAAGGTTTCCTTTGCCAATAGCAGTGTGTATTTTTAAATTATTTTGCAACCAGATATGAAATTGCCCTTGTTCTGAATATAAGATAAGAAAACCGCTGCTTTCTGCAACCGTTAATTTGTTTGAAAGGAGTTCTTAGACGCTCTGAACCTTCAATATAAACAGAATTAGTCTTGCGTGTATTTTCGGATCAGCATTCAATGAAAATTTGTGTTTTATCTCCTAAAACAATTGTCTAATTGCAAGTTGCGTTTATTCAGCAGATGCAGGCTATCCTTTCTCTTTGATCCTGCAATCCCTCGTTCTGAGATAAGCTTTATTTAAGGATTGAAGCAGCTGTTCTATACATTAACAAGAAAAATCTCCAAATTTTATTGCAAAGTTATAGAGTCTGATACGTGCTGTGCTTTTATTTTTCAAAGCATGCTTGAATTTTTATTTGTTTAGACTTTCTTGACAAAGCTTGATTACATGTCTCCAAAAATGACCTACAATGACAGTGCGTCTTTGCGTTATCAAAGTCTTCGTTTCGTTTAACTAAACGAGATTTATCACATCGAAAACATTTCTTAAGCTGTATTTTAGTATTGCCTGTGCTACAATAAAGTGTTACACCGCCAATATTTGAACTGCTGAATACACACTGTCGCAGCTCGTCGCCTTTAAATTATCAAATCCAAAGTAGGAGGAACCGACATGGCTAGATAAGCTTAATTGTTACAATGACTGCGACTGGACTGGCTGCTTCATATTAAACGGCTGGAACCCTGTATTAAACGGTTTCATAAGCTTGTATAAGGCTGTCCTTGAAACCTGAAGTGGAACTTGATGCAAAAGGGAAATATATCTATTTGTTTACTATTGGCCCCCTAATCTTACTATTGCAAAAATAATTCTGCTACTCTCCCCAATGTCTATGTCCCATTTTGATTGAACCCATCAGATTATTCACGAATCAGACAGTGAGATAATTCGGTTTAAGTTTGTCGCATAATCTGAAGATTTTTTCACTTAATGAGCTTAGTTGTTTCGGCCAACCGACTCTTTGACTAAACGAAAGAGCTGTCGCGGTCCCTCTCCAAAAGTTATTAATACTTTAGCTTTTCATACTGTCCTTCAGACATGGGCAAATAACATTTGGGTGGATTTTTTATTAGAATGCTCTGTTGCAAAGAAGCTTGTTTTAGCAATAAGTCTTCGGCAGATGTGTTCAGTCTGAATCGTAGTTTGTTTTTAGCTTTCCCTTTCAACGACTCTTTACTCTTGTTATTGCGTAGCAGTAAAACGTGTTCTTTTTATCCAGTGTGCTTGATTATTTTCATAGCTGTTGTGAAGCTTATGTTTAGCAAAAAATGGGCCTTTTCCTGCTTTAGATTTCAAAGAATCATGCTTTTGATTTATCATGTTTTGAGCGAGAAATTCAAACAATTTTATTTTGACAAAAAATGTCTTTATATTTCTAAAAGTGAACATTTTTATCTAGTTACTATATTTATTTGTTGTAATATTTAGTTGCAACATTAACTATATTGAAGTTTTAGATACAATGCTTGAATTGACAACAGCATTTGTTGTGTTGGAGGATTACCAAGTATAAACATTGCTATTTTATAATGAAGGGGAATGACCTCTTGGATCGGAGTCCCTGCTATGGGTCAACGATTCGAGATATTACAAGAACTTGAATTCCTGCTCAAGAAACAGAATTTTGTTTAGAATCAGTATTGTAGAAGCCGCCAAGCAGGGGCGGACACTGGATCAAATATTGTGGGGGCAAGCCTATTGTTTTAATAAGATGACGTCACATTTCCAATGGTTCTAGAACAAAATACCATTGTCCTCTAGAATCTTACTTGCCTTTAACGGTTGCAATAGGCAATTTTTCAAGAGATCTAGTCCTATCGATTGAATTTCCTTTCATGAATAGTTGACTCAATGACCAGAAAAAGCTTGAAAAAACCATAACTCGTGTTTTTTAAACACAATTATGCTTTCGTATTGAAAAAACACTTTTATTCTCGAAATGACCTAAATGTTTTTAATTTGTTTACCGGATTGATCTAAATTTTCTTTTCTTTTCAGAGGGCATAAATCAAAAAGAAAGAAACACTCTTGGGGCAGTGCTGCAGCAGGTAAAATTTCGCAATCATGTTTCATTGTGAGATTTTTTTGAAATATTCATCTGAAAATTAGCAAACCTTAATATATTTTGCATGCTTGATATGTCTACCAATTTGAATTAACCTGAATATTGCGATTTGAGCAAAAATCGCTCTTTTCTTTTTATAGAACCAATCACCCATATTTGCACGCTAAACTTAAACCTGAAAATTGTAAACCTTTGCGACACGTGGATTCTTGTACGAGCATAGGAGAGTTGAATAAAAAATACATCATAATTTAGTAAATGTTTTTCCAGTGTTTTTTGTCATTCATGAATTTGTTCTTAGGTTGCCACCATGCAAGATAACTCCTTTAAATTAAACAAGCACTATTATAACGAAATAAAGGTGAGCAATACTGCTTTTTCACACTGTCATTTTTTTTGCCATTTCTTATTATATTATTACCCTATTTATTAGCTTCTGACTCTCTGTGCAGTCTAGACCAGCTGATTGCTTGTTTTGCTATAGATTGACTGTAAAACTAGATATAACAAAGTGCCTTGATAACCATTTTCTTTAGATTTTCAAGCCAGACACAGGCTCTTACCTCATTAAACAGAGCCACTGTCCAATATGTGCCAAAAATTGAGCCATATTTGTATGGACTGAAAGTGTTTTTGCATGACGACAAACACTGTTTTGTCTGTATATAAACAAATATTTGCTACATAGTTATATGGTTTTGTTTGCAACTTTGAAGAAGACTTTCCTTGTCTCTGTTATGATTGCTTCCACTATGATATTTGTGTTAATGTTTTCGTGCTTTTGGTTATTAAATGATCACGTGTAAACATGTGGAAATCGTCAAGCAAATCTGTTTTGCATTCCAGCCTGACACATGGCCTTACTATTCGGAAGCCGAGAAAACAGCCGTTAAAGAGTAAGATTTCGAGTGACTAGTTTTAATATATTGTAAATTATTATCTAAAGATGTTAGATACAAACAAACTCAAAGTTTTGTTTCTTTTGGTACAATAACTCTTCTAAAGTTCATGAACAAGACCTAATATCACATGCTTTACAAACCTATCGATACTATCAAAGACCATTCTTAGGCTAAAGACTACTGGATTTTTGTCTAGGCAAGGAAAAAAGGTTGGTTTTTCCAGATAATGTATCTGATATGTGGCCAGATAATGCTTTCAGTTAAGCTATCCCTGTTCTCATAGCTATAGTAAACCATTTCAATGCATTGTTGAAACCTTTTTTTCTCAAGAATCATAGCGTAGTATAGCTTTCTATAAGGAACTCCCCACAGAAAGTTGATTTTCACGTTCAATTCATAAAATCCTTTACTTTAACAAACTGATTTAATTTTAGTAATTCACTTGTCTATGGAAATAATCGATTAACATGTTATATCGTTTCTCTGGTTTTTCCTTAGAAGTTTAGCTCAGTTGATGAGCCAAGACTCAAGTCCGAAGGTCTCGTCAACATCGAAATCACCCGAAGAAAAAGTGAGCTTGTTTTGGTTAAATTTTTCCAACATTTGTATTCTTATTCCAATCGTCTCACACAAAGCAATCTGTTTGTCTTGTCTATCTGAAATGAAATTGGGAAGCTCGAAATAACTGTTGTTTTGTAGTTACAAAAAATAACTGTTGTTAGCAATATTTACCCTTTAAAAAATGCTGTGATGTTATAACAATGCTGTATAACCTCTACGGATGTTTGATTCATTTGGCCAGGCCAGGTTTTTTTAATGGATTCTTTTCGTAATTCCTTAGGGAATTAAAAGACAATTGAATGATGACTACAACCATTTATCGTCCAAAAAACAAAGAATAGCAAAACCAATTCAAGATCCGTCACCCTCGTCTTCGATTGCATCAAAAGGAGACTCGAATCGTGATCATAATTCAAGTAAAAAGCGATCTGATCAACAAACTCGAACTCCAAATAATGCACATAAATTATCGGGTAAAACAGAACTTTCAAAGAACGGAATATCACGGAATGGGACAGAACGTTCCGGGACAAAACTAAAAAACGAGCCTTCAAAAAATGAAATTTCAAGTAATGGGACGACTCCTTCTGTACAAAGATTAAAAACTGAAAAGCCTGTTGCTCGTATATCACCTATAAATTCTTACATGTATAATGGGAAGGAAGCCAGGTCGGTGGTGCAAGAGGAAGAATCGTCTCCGCCAACCGTTGCCTCGACGTCGGATATCCCTGATCATGTTCTGTAAGTTGATCGAGTCATTAATTTTCATTAATTTATTGACAGGTTGATCAATGTTTTTAGATTGACTTTTCAATCCTTTTTAGGACCGAGCGAATCCTGCGCTTTTAGGCTCTGTGCCTGTTACCATATATGACGGTTGCCTTTCTTGCTTGGATGTTTGCTGCCAGGGTGACTTCCAATATGTTCCTTAGAAACCCTGCCACCCCTCCTTCACGTTTAGAACTAGCTTTCCAACTTCTAGATGACGAGATTCTATCATTATTTGGCTATTAAGAGTCCAAAAATTCCATTTAAAGTTGACAGTGTGCCTTTTATGTCATTCGATAAGATTATGAGACCTTTATCATGAGCAATTTTTTGCTTTCTTGAAAATCTAACCCCCCCTCCCTTCTCCATCCCCCAGTTAAATAATCACATTTCTTCTTTCACAGGAAATTTATACAATTTTCGAATGGGGAGAAAGGGTAGATGTAGGGCTACATATGAATCCTTTCCTCCCTTTATTTAGGGTTTTGCCTCAACAGATTTGTCCAAGATTTGTAAACCTAAGACGCCTGGAGGTTGGGAAATGTCAATCAAAAAAAGTAAAGCCAAAAGTTCAAATTCGCGTGGATTGAAATTGGGTGGGGCGAACGTCTGTCGTGCAGTAATCCTTGTAAAACCGTGCTTCTATTCATGTTAGTTTATTTTCAATAGCCCAGACCATGACTTCCTGTGCTTCTTTTTTGTAGAAAGTACCAGCCTATCAAATCGTATGAACAGAGATGTAAATACAAGCAGGATTTCCAAGCACAGTACAGAGAGTATATTGAACTAAAAGAAAACATAGACAGAGTTTCGAATAAATTTTTAGAGTTGGATCGAATTAGGCGGAAGCACCCAGAAGACAGCCAAGCCGCCCAAGTAATGATCTTTATTTTTTTGATCTTTTCATTGTGCTCATTGTTTGTTATATTCTTGCAGCATTGCCATGTTGCCAGAGCAATGAAACCCCAAGTATGTTTATTCCTTAGATCTGAACCCAGCGCGCATATGAAGCCAAGTTTTGATTTCAACCAATAAAGACTATGGGAGCTACTCGATAGTCACGTGACAGCCATGTGACTGAAACATGGCCGTACTATAGAATTAGTAAATTTTCTATGTTGATGAATCTGTTAAAAAGACCGTTTCCCTTTTGCCATTGACTATGCCTATACAATTGCAGATATAATTCCCAGTTGTTATGAAGTGTTTTCCAGCCTAGCTGATAATTGTCTAATTAGTATGTATTTGAATTCCCTATTTATATGTATTTATGTTTCAAATAAATTTATATTTCTACGTCAAAATTTTTGCTACAACACAGCAGTTTTATCTTTTGAGGCTATTAGTGATTTAAGTTTTATTTTGCCGTAGGAAATAAAGCAGAAAATATTTTATCTCTATGAAGAACACCAAAAGGTAATTCGAGAATACTTTTCGCCTATTGTCAAAAGATTATCGACGGAATTGTTTACTTTAGAAAGGCTATCTGCATTTGAAACGTTCATGGAAGACATATATATTTATTCTTATTTATATAATTATTGTCCTTTGTCAATATATTCAATTTTGCCACTGACAACGTGAAATGGCCTGGAACCATTTTGTCAGTTCAGTCTTGATCAGATTAGTCCAAGGCTGAGTTGCTATTACCTGTTTAAGATTGTGAACAATGAAAGGGCCTTTTTCAAAGAAAATTCTTAACCTTCGTCCTTTACCTTTCGTCTGAATACAAATCCTACTGCCATGTCTACTGGAACACAGAACATGGACCTTCGTCCAATTTTTTTCTTTCGTCCAAATATTGACCTTGCTTGCTTCTATACAAAAAATTCAGGATTCAGGACATTGGATAATATTCCTGAAAAATTTAATGCTCTTTTAAAGGGTATATGGCGTATCTTTTGATGGGTTCAAATGACGATAGATAACTTACGTCTAGGGAAATGAGCCAGTGTTTTGAATCTCCATGCATTTTTAATCATTACTGTATTTTACTGGTACTACACATCTTAAACTGAGCAAATTGTATACAATTATAGAATTGTATACTTTCAGAATAGACGTGAATAGAATTCATTGTTACAAGTAGCACAAGAAGCTTGAACATCACTGCATGAATTTTTAGGATCTTTTACTATCCAAAATTCATGCATTGAGGTTCGCTATTTAACAGATATGAACAATGCAGTTTCTTGTTATAAGCAAGTTAATAACAAAGGTCCTTTTTATTTGAATCATAGTCACAACATTGATGAAATTTGCTGTTTTACCTTTCTGTCTGAAGTGTTCAACGAGTATGAGCAGAGCTGTACAAAGTTACCTGATAATCCCAATTAGCGCGAGAATTTGAGTAGCAACTTGGAACCGTCCTATTCTATAGGCCAAAAGGATAGCCACAATATAAGTTATTTTGGATTAAAGTTATACTATCGACAACTATTACTTAGTTTTGACTCTCTTCTTTCTTTTACAGGATGAAAAATACCAAGAAATGAAACAAAAATACGCGGATCTCTATGCCAGACTGAGTCACATAAAAAAGCTAGTAGTTGAGTATGACCAAAAGCATTTTCAGGTGGCATCATGATGCACCCTTGAGTAGTAGAGCTTAGAGTTGAGTAGTTCATGATGCTCGTCAGGTATCGTTCGCAATTTGTGCTTGCATTTTGGATATCTGGGTACTTTTGCCTCGTCGCTTTCTTACACCTGTTTTGCAAGTCAAAGTTACTCGCCTTGTATTTCTGAATACTTCTAATACTTAATACTTGACACTTCTGGGTACTTCTGAAATATTTGAAATGCACGTTCTACTGTCCTTTTTGTCTTCAACAAATTTGAGTTTTAGGAAGCCCTTAAAGGATTTGTTGCTATTCTGTAATGTTTACCCCCGAATAACACTCAAATCATTATTTCTTTCAAAAGTTCTCACGTAGCTTTTGCGCGAAATGAAGTGAATTCCTTTAATGTCGTGTTAGCCTGTTCTCTGTTCATTATTGCCCATAATTTATTGTGGGTGTAGTGTAGAGCAGTGTAGAATTTTGGTTGCCCAGTGTCAATGTTCTATCCTTGATAGAAAAGGACGTACAATTTTCGAAATACCTGTACGATGTGAATATGAGGTCTAAGTAGATAACTCAGGGGCTAGACTTAAAGTATGTTGCTTACTATTCTCGTCCTAAGTATATCGTGAATTTCTTTTGCAAAATGATATTTTGGAGTTGAACACCAATTATTTTGTGGATAAGCTGCAAAATGTTTTGTGGTTTTAGAATATTCTCATAAATTTTATCGGTATTTTCTCCTTAAGCCAGTCCGTATGTTATTAATCCTTGCAGCCATCGCATCCCGTGTAATGTTACGTTTCTTTCGAAGTACTGATTGTTGCTTTTTTGCCCGTTGCGTGCTACCTTTCTATAAGAAGAACCCTTTAACTCTGAGAGAATTGTTATTTTTAAATTCTTTTTCAATCGAAGATGTTTGTAAGTTGATTTTGTATTGTGTGGCCTAATTTTTCTTGTATTTGTTTTCGTTTCATTCGCTATTTAAGGGTTTGTCGCTCACTTCCAATTAATTGCCAGTTTAAAGCTATTGCTGATCTTTCATTGCTTGTATTCAAAAAGATAATTTATTTTTAAAGATGAAATCTTAGGTTTTTAGGATTCTTTGGTATCAGCAATGAAGCCCTCAATTGTGATTCCCATGTCCTAAAGGGCATCCCTATAATTAGAATTTAAGTGTATATCAGAGCTAGAGGTATTCACCCCCAAACCTTAGGAGCAGGGAGAATACTGCCCCCCCCTAATGATAGGGATGTCTATTCTCCTTCCCTAATTGACACTAATTTGAAAAAAAAATACATTCTATTACATAGTATTAGAGAGTCTTCAGGGCTTTGGTTGTAAAGAAACTCTCTAGTTAATATTTACCAAAATTGTCCAGTTCATAAGCTTTAAGAGCTATAATGTTTTGGTCAGGATTTTTTAATTAAATTTTCTTTAGGAGTATGGTCATTGTCCTACAATTTTGAATTTTGACTTTGTTATATTTCAAATAGGTTGTTTTTTCTTGGTCTAACTTAAATACTAAGGATGTAGGCTATTTGGTAAAAGAATTTTTCCTAATATCTTTATACCAGCTAGGGGCCACTGTTTTAGCTAAAGAAATTGAGGTGTAATCTTGTTGTAAATCTTGTATTTCTTCGCAACATTGAATCAGATAAAACCACTTTTGTACCAGAAAATGAACCTTCTTCCACTTCGTATTGTAGAATGTGAGGGGCCTGGGGATGAGTTAAATTTCGCACAGTCAAACTCTAGTACGAAGCGTTGTTGTCATCGAAGAGGGACACATTTTCCACCAACTGAGATTGAGAGAAAGCATAAAAACCAATTTTGATTGGTTTCAAGTGAAATCTCCTCTCTTTGATAAAGTTTTTCTTTTACCAATATAGTGAAAATAGCATTGCGATTTTTGAATCAGGAGAATATTGCATCGGACAGTTGTTCAATAGTTACAAGGAAAAAAGCTTTCTTGTTGTGTTAGTTTTATTCATTCCCTCGAGAGTTTGATTGCAGCGTGATTGCTCTTGCCCATAGCAACTTACATGTCCCGTCAATTTAATTCTTTTCACCCTCTAATCGCCTGTTTCTTGAATTTTGTATTATTTATGACTTTGCGTGTAGATATGATTTGATTGTTCAAAACAAGGAAAAACTGTAGAACTTTGGGTCGTTGAATTCATTTATTTGTGTCGACATTAAAAGTGAATAATAAATATTGATAATTTGCTATGTGTTTCTCTTGACTGTTTGTTTACTTGTAAATGGATAAGAACCAGTAATGTAGTACTAGAAGTCTATAACCATGTTGTCAGTGAAGTTCCATCGAAAAATTACAATGGAAAGAGCTTTTGTCAAACTGCATATTGCTTAAACCAATGAAAGTTGAAAACAGTATTTTACTTCAAGAGGGAGGTTGGGGCATTGACGTACATATCCCAAACTGCTAGAAAAAGTGTTGATGTCCCAACTTACAGCTCTAGAAGTTGCCCCTTTTTGTCTACATGTTCCCCCACTTTTAATTAGCTTTTTTCGCCAATGGCTGGGGGACCTTTCGTGGAATATAATGGTGCATCTCTTAAGCAACAGTAGATCCCCATCTACCTGCAGGATAGGAATCACAAGGTAAAGGACAGAATATTTTCTATGTCATTGTTGACAATTTTTCATGTCTAAATTGATTCATCTTTTTAATCTTATATCATATCTACAAACTTTGAGGTAGAACATTATTTTGCAGTATGTTAAACGCAGTATGTCTTTACTGTAAAAATACTCGTTCTAAACCAATTACATTAGAAAAAAAATCAACTATCTTGAACAATTTTTCAGAGCATGTAGAAACCGTCAGGAAAAAATCAAATTCAAACAGCAGATCAAAAAAGCTTAACGTTCAGAAGAATTATAGTGAATAGTCAGTCAGTCCTTAACCTAAAACACTTAAGCTTTTGCTCTTGGCTGTTTATCTTCTTTCCATCCTTATCAGGTGAAATCACCGCCACCCTCTATACCCTGTAAATATTTTCTGTTGCCAACGCCAACAACACAGTCAATCCACTGATCTTACTTGCTTTTTGAGATCAGTGGGCCTCGTTCAACCGTTGTTTCGTTCCCTTTATTCAGTAAAACTTTGACGCTTTATGAGAAAATTGCCAGTACTTTAATTTGTCGTCTTGTAAATGTTTTTTAGAATAACCCCTGGTTGAAGAAGTGCCTACCTTTGTGTTTGGAAGCTGTTAGAGGTAAGCCCTTTGTGCTTGGAAGCTGTTAGAGGTAAGCATAAACTGCCTGTAGGTAAACTGTTGTTATAACAAAAGCAATTCTCAACATGCAATAGTCATAATGATAAGTTTGAAGTCGTAAGAAATTTACGTGTAGAATGAGAAATGACCAATAAAACATCCTAAGGTTGCTAACAGAAACGAAGTACCCTTATTTTGACTTTATTCAGGAAGTTATGAGCAGGATCGAAATAGCAATTAATGGGTGGGGAAAGAGCAGGGGCGAAGCCAAAAAGGTATTTTCGGGGGGAGGGAGGTGGGGGTACAGAAATGATTGTTGCTTAAGAAAGGGCATGTCTTACTCTTTAAGAATGTGATCATAGGATGAAAAATCTTATATGCGTTTCAAATTCATACTTTTGAAAGTTCAACTACTACAGAAATGTTAATACAAACCGATTGTTGCAAAAAGGTTAGGGGGGGGGGGGATTTTCTTCTTTTGCCAAGCAAAAATTCTTTATATGCCGACAGACAAATTTGGGGGATACAGCACCCCCCGCACCCCTTCTGACGATGCCCCTGGGAAAGAGCCTATGGTCATGTTGCTGTATCTCATTTCTCAACCACTTTGAAACATAACATTTAAAAACTTTATTGTGGATCTTATAATTCATCTATAATTTCGCAGGTCTATGAGCGACGGCCTAAAAAGGAGTAACCATCAGCGTAACGTGACTGAGCAAATTATGTATAAGAAAACTTGATTGGACTGAGCATTTAACAAAGTGACTACCCTGGCTGTAGCTTCCTCACCTTTTTGCTGAAGTGTGATATTCAGGTTGCGGCATCAAAGATTATGGTAGAAAAACTACGGTAAGAGTCTGCTAATTTTATCTTCAGCCCCTTCACCCCCAGAATGTACCCTGATAAATGGCTTTTTATATAGAAATTTACTTTTGGAATGTCCTTTAGAGCCGGAACAAGGGCACTAAAACCTCTGTTTGTCACCTTTGTTTATTGTGAAGCCCCCGGATTATTTTTGTTTATGCACTTCCGCTCATTATCAGCACGTAAACGTAGGAACACATTTTTTCAGCGAGGCAGGGAGAAGCTAGGTGGAGGTTTGTTGTATTCGAAGTGAGTGTTTCCAAAGATGGGCAAAAGAGACGCAAAGATACAGTACCAAAATGCAAAAGATGCAGGTAAGAAAGATGAATGTAGTTTTTGTTTTTCATAAAATTTGTCCTGCTAGTCAACTTGGCTAAGTGAAGTAAACCTGTCTCCCAAGCGTTTTGAATTATGACTGCGACATAGCTGCTACACGAAGAACGAGAAATAAAATCCAATGTTCAAGCAGTATGCTTCTTTCAAATTAATAGGAACATTAAGAACACGAATCTAGTTGAAAATTGAAGGTTATCTGACTTTTATTATGGGCTCTGCAACATATTATTAGCATTTGTGTTCAAATTTCCTTTTTTTCTTCCGCGAGGACGTGACGTGTGTGCGAGCGAACCATGCCAGGAAGAGTCTTTCCTCGACGCGTGATATCCACAATAACTGTAAGGGCTAGAAGGGCGTTTGCCAAATATTTATAACTTCGCAATCTTATGTAAGTGTTTTAAAACTAAGGAACAAAGTACAAACAAATAGTTTTTATATCTATTTGCGTAGCCAGTGCTCCGTAAGGCAATCCACACATATCCCACTCAGATCAACCGAAATTGTTCGCGTATTGTTTGATGTCAATTTTGACGTGTGTGGAACATTTGATGAAATGTAATTCCTCTTAACTTTGACAGGTCATTGAGGTTTTGATTATGAAATGTATTACTTTGACATTGTCGCATGGCCCAAATAGTCATTGAAAAAAGATACCTAAGCTTACGAATGAAAGCTGGATTTAGGGAATAAGTCTGACGAGGTCGTGGATTTGACGCAGGGCATTTAGGCGTTCACTGTAGCTGGCCCCTCACTTTCGATGTGATCAGTGTTTGTAGTTCATTATGATTTTGACAACCATTCATTGTTTACAACTGGCTGTTGACGCAACCTGTTTCCGAAATCAGCACAAGGCAACTTCATGTGATCAGTCTCAAGTCCAGGGTCCACCAATCGCAGTAGAGCACTATCATGATTTCGAAAACCATTCATTGTTTACAACTGACTGTTGACGCAACCTGTTTCCGAAATCAGTACGAGGCAACTTCATGTGATCAGTCTCAAGTCCAGGGTCCACCAATCGCAGTACAGCACTATCATGAACCGACTCGACTTGTTACATTTACACTTTACATCGTTTAAAGTCCTTTCATCAAGACCCGCGCCACGAATTTGAAAGTGGAGGACCAAGGCTAAAAAATGTGGGGACCATAGCTTCTTACCTCTTTTACTGGAGCTTTTAAACTACATGCTTCGCAAAAAAGTGGGGGCCAAGGCCAACCCAAGCCCGTAAACAGGCCTGTGGAGTAGGGGTGGCAAATCCCCAGACCTGTTGCAGGCAGACGCTTCAGCAAGTCTTTTTTCAAGTTTTGCTTAGAAACGAAAGTTTTTTTGAGCGCCAGGCACCATCTTAAGAGGCCCAATAAACATAATATATGGGTAATATATGGATAATAAGAGATCCAAATAAACAATTCCACCGCATGCCACCCCTTGGCTACGGGCCTGGGCCAACCCGCCCCCCTGGTGGCGCGGGCCCTGTTTATCATGGCTCGAACCCTTAAAAATTACCAGTTGGGAACCCCTACAAAAGCAATCTCAATTCTAGGAGTGCAAATTGATCAAATCACATCGTTTCCAGCCGTTTGCCAATTATCATTTCTTTTTCATAGTTGCTGTTTCTTTTTTGAGCATTTAAAGAGGTTGTTATACTTAACTTCAACTTTAACATTTTATTATCAGTACATTTTAAGTAATTACGAGTGATACGATAATGCTAACATAAACGATTAAAAGGTTGAAAGTATATTTTACATGGAATTGTCAGTAAGAAAAAATAACCTACTGAAGGACACGTAAAAATAACTCAGAAGAGCTTTCGAGCTACGCGCCCTTTGTGATTCTGAAAGTAAAACTTTGGAACAGTATATTTATTCATTTTGGTGAATGCGCTTTTCACATAGTTTTCTAGGCCTTTTTGTTCAAGTTGCTTGAAAGGGACGGAAAAGCGTAGGAGTTTTGAGTCATTTTGAAAGCGGGTTACGAAATTGTTTCAAGTCCACACCAGGCCAGAGGAATTTGCCAAAGCAAAGTATCAATTTTGCTCAAGATAATTGTTTCCGCGTACGATGAATAACCCGTGAGGAATTTTCCTTTTCTGACCGAAAGCTCAGAATATCTAATATGCTTGATATATTTTGGCACTTATGCCATTCTGCTTGCCAGGTGGAAGGGCAAAAACAATGTTCCATAAGTTTGAAGGTGTAGCACGCATGCGCTGCAAGATATTGCCTTTAACATGTATTATAGAAGCCTTTTCCTCAAATCTTTATCTTGGTTGCCAACCGTGGAATTGTCGAAAAGTTTGTTTATGTACATAAAACATGTTTGTTCATCGGAGACATGTTTATCTCCTGCAGGAATGTCAATGCTGCAAACAGTGAGGGTTCTAGCCACGGGGGACCAAGATCCTGGGGACTATTCTAGGAAAAAAATCTGGTCCGAAATTTACGTCGCTTTTTCGAAATTACTAATGCTGTACACCTTTCTAGATGAACTATTTCCCATTTGAAAAAAATATGACCGTTCCAAATGGTTTTATTACATTCTAGAAGAGTCGGGTGGATATATTTTCTGAAAACTGGGATTAATTACAGCCCGCCTCCTAACTGGAGGTTTTTTCAAAATTTTAATGGCGATTTGGCTCAGTTTTCATTTTTATTTGTGAACCGGTAGTTTTTTGTTCTTTTTAACGGAAAGAGAACTTTCTACGGACGATTTTGATTGTCTTGTCTGCGCCATAACTTTTGTTGTATGATACAGTTTCCGTCATTTTTTTAATTTTGAAATAGTTGTAAAAAGGTAAAAGGAGTGTTTTGTGGTTACGAAAATATTTCGTCTGCTGCACTCAAGGGACTCACCGAGGCACAGCTCATGGTGTCAGCCGAGCGCTATTAGCCATGGTAGCAGAAGGTACCATCCCTCCCCCCCCCCCCCTGGTTTCATCAGGTATGCTAATACCACGATTGAGATGTAAAGTTTTGGCAGTATTGCTTAAAAGATTGAATCACTGTATGGTGGCAGTGATAAAAGTGGTGACAAAATATATATGATATGATATATTGGGATATTTATTTTCACAGACAAGACAGAGCAGATATTGTGCATTATAGACAGTAGTACGAAGTCAAAGAATCAAACGTCTTTTTATGCTGCGAGACTTGGATGTTTGATAAACTTGCAAAATAAGACAGCTCTCTGACCTCTCCCGTCTAAGACATTATCATGTGATTAAACCCATTCACTCCAAGCATAAGTTTCAATCCTTGACTTTCAACCCATACAAAGTGTGTAAAGAATAGCAATTGCCAATTAAAAGTTTCAATCCCGCATGCGGGATTATTGGGGAGGCGGGATTACTCTTCCAATCTATGAAATACAAGCGGGATTATTAGAGAGGCGGGAATAAAAGAGAAGCGGGAATATTAGAGTAAATACGGTACCCAGTTGTGGATCGAAATAGGCCAATCAGAAACACGAGCAAATTTAGGACAAAAGTTGCCCCTTTTTGCATTGAAGACGTTTTTTTACTAATAAGAGAACATTGTAGGCAAAAATATGTAGCAACTTAGCATAACATCTACAGGTTCGAAACACTTGCCCCTCTGTTCGCAACAAGGCCCTGGCTATGAAAATCTGTCTCTCTGCGAGAAATACCTATAAATGATGTCCAATGAAATCTTATTGTAATTGTAATTGATACAGAATACGATTAAGTATCAAGCAATGACAAAACAACTAAAAATTTCACCTAACATTTTGTGTGGATTTTGTTAAAAGAAGTTGAGCGAAGTTAAAAGCGATGGTGGCAAAACGTGAGTTAAATTTTCACTGAACTTCACTAAACCTTTCTGGACTGTGAGCTGTTTTGGACACGATGTGGGTTTAGGGAGATCTACGGGGGCTGGCTGTCTTATTTTTCTGTTGCAAACATTGGATAACGATGAAAGACAAAAATCATAATGGTTGCTTCACCAACCTCATTGGGTTGCTCCAGCCTCCTTATGTTCTAGTAATGGAGTTCACTGACGAAGAACCTCGGAAGTAGATGAAACAAGAAAATGGATCAAACGGAGAAAAGGAAGGGATTTTTAGCACATTAATAACAGAGCTGAGTGTTGAAGACACAGAAACATACTAGTAGATATTGGAAATGTCTCATGAAGACTGCCTGAGATTTTGAATCACATTGAGACATTAAATCCTTTAGATTTCAAAAGCTACTGCGCCGGCACTTGCAAAACAAATATTTCGTTGGAGACACAATGACTTGCATATGCTAAACATCACTAAAAACGCTAGACATTTTTGACTAGGATCAAGGCTCACTCTACACGACGTAATGGCACAAAACAAAGGTGAGAAAAGTTGAGTGAAATGTTAAATGTTTAGTCGTCTTACCCGAGCTTTACAGAATTGATATCACGTGGTATCTACGTCTAACTTGCGCAGGAGGCCCGGAAGAACTTGTTACTGCGATTATATCATGCCTAAAGATCTACGGTGTAATATGAGCCAAGTAGATTGAGAGCGATTTGTTTGAATGGAACAATCATTACGGCCAACACAAGAGAATTCAAAGCGTCGTCTCTGAGACAGACGAAGAAACTTTGAAGAAGTGCTTATCTTCTGGCAGTGTCAGAAAATGGCGGGAGAAAAGAAGAACAACGGCAGTATGTATTTCACAATGTAGTTTCAAAATTTCGTTTTGTTATTTGAAAAGGTTGAACAAACAAAACTAGCGTGTCTACTAACAATGGCGTTGCATATTCAAAAGTCACCATATGTTGCAAACCTTTACTAAGTTTGATATTCTTAAGTATCGAACACATTATTATAACAGTTTAATGTATTAAATTTATCGAAATGAATATTTAAGAGCATTATTGTCTTCTTGGGATGTTCAAGCAAAGGCAGGCGTTTCTTTCTTAATGTAACTGCTTCATGGTTGCGGGCATTTAGCAGAGCTAGAGTGTAAAAAGGTTGCTGGAAACGGTGCCTTCGTGTGCTAGATAGAAGGATTCATGGGGTCTGTTATTATTTTCAAGAAAGTTTAATTACGCCTACTAGCTTTTTAGACATTAAGCATAGACTCGTCTATAAGATGGTGTCCAAACATATCTCGACTTCAGGGAAGCTGTTGAATATACATGAAAAGATTAAAAGGAAGTAGGAAGTTTCTAGTCCGGCAATTTACTTCATGGATGTTTACGACTAATGCCAAAAAAGAGTGCAGCAGGCACGCCGGAGCCGGGGGCTGAAGTATTATTTTAAGGTTGTGACCTCATTCACTCCTTCACTCCATCACTCCCTCCTCCAATCCCTCACTTCCTCCCTCATTCCCTCCCTCCCTCATTCCCTCCCTCACCCCCTCCCTCACTCCCTCCCCTCCCTCACTCCTATCCTCCCTCACTCCCTCCCTCCCTCAATCCATCACTCCCTCGCTCCCTCCCTCCCTAACTCAAAATTGTGCTCCGGCGTCCCTATGCAGTGGTCTCTACGATTACCTTGAAACTGTCACAAAGTGTGTACACAAATGACTTATCAGTTGTTGTTAAAATAAAATTGAGTAGGCCTTGTTATGGTGCGGCTATCCAAAGAATTCAGGCCTCGTTAATGTTGGGATGATACTCCGAATTCTAATTTTCCCCTTTCGAAGGGAAGGGGCATCAATAGAAGTTAAGCTTCTCGCAACTCTGGCAGTCTTGAGATCAATTTTTATCAAGTTATGTTTATGAATGGTTGAAACTTATGAAGGTGTCAAAACCCTTACCCTTACACCCCCCCCCCCCCTCTTCGCAGTTGCTGACGCCTCCAATGCTTGAATCGCTCGATGTGAACCTGAAACTTCCCAATTTGAGCATGATTATTGCAGACGACCCCATCGGTGACCAATTCTTTACGGTTTTCACATTAGGACAAATGATAGAGTAAGTTCCAGTTCCGACTAATTCTATAATAACTCAGTGGGACAATGGATAATGCACTGATTTGTGAAGGGGTTTAGTGGTTGAGACTCCTTGAAATTTACTCAAGTAGGAAGGGTCTGAAAGAGGCTGTTGATTACATTTGTAGCCTCAGTGTATCTTAATAGCTTAATGTTGAAAATAGACTATTTATGTGTGGATCAATTTTAGTTTTGGTTTGTAAACACCAAGAGATATAAAGGACTACCGGCCATTGCCCTACCTCCGCAGACCGCTGCCAATAACCGCAAACGTATCAACTTTGAATAAACTGCTCTGGCTTTGCCTGTTTGCTTCGTTAGGACTCAGATTGGCCTATTTTTGTGGAGTGCCTGTTTAACAGCTGGCGTGGTAAACAGTTTCAATTGGCCTTGATTCCCGATACCCTGGGTGCCAGGGCCACAGTGAAAGAGATGGTCTAACGGTTCGTCTTACTACCCACTCTTTCACTGACTCACTCTTTCACTGAGGCTCTGGCATCCAAAGTGGATTCCCGATTGCTCAATGCAAGGCTTGTTTCCAGAATGCTGCATGGACCTAGAGACAGAGTGTTTTCAGGTTTACGTTCCTTGTAGTAGAAACTCATGTTACTTGCCACTAATTTAACCATCAGTAAATGAAATTGGTATTTGATGTTGTATTTTTTCAATTGTGGGTCATGGTCGCACTATTGAAAGAGAAAAATAGGAAAAAGTTGGTGTAAAATAACGCTCAACGTCTTTCTTACGCGGAAAGGGCAATCTGTGTTCTATATTTCAGAAAAACAATAGGCTTTGCTTGAATTTGAAAAGCATGTTTTGCATCTTATAATGTACAAATGAACGTTGCCAACGAGCCTACAAAAGAAAATTGTTCAACCTTTTTTTTATTACTTTTCCAATAAATATTGTTCACATAAAAAATGGGTACATAATGTAGTGCGTTCAGGAATATTAAGGCAACTGGCATCTACATTTCTTCAAGTAGACAGAAATATTGAGCTCTTTCTGTCATTTTCTCGTCAATTAGTGAAGCACAATCTGCCGGTGCTATCCTGGACACTTAAGATACTAGGTGCTTTATCTTAAAGGTAACAAACATGAAAACTGTGCAGTTTTCATATGAATCTATCCTTGACAATTGAGAAGATGTTAGCTTATTCTTTATTTTGATTCTTAGTTTTTTCAAATTAGGCTTATATTACATCGTATTCCTCTCGTCGTTTTGTGCTCTTTCTGCCTATTGGTAATAGAGAGGATGTAAAGGAACACGAATTGTAATTGCTTTGCCATCAGCTCTAAAGTTGGGTCCCTTTCAAGATTTTGCTCCCCCCCCCCCCTATTCGTGCGAAAAATTTCTTTACAAAGACTTAAGCAATCATTCTTAGGCAACAATATGATTCCCCTCTCCTATTATAGCTTCAGATTTTCATCATAATTTGTAAACTATGCTCAGAAGCAAACGGCCCCTGGCGTCATTCGTGGTAAAATTTAAAATCGCAACTAACGAACATCAACTTTAAGCGTGCTTATATTCATAACTCATAACTCTTTGAGTATCCGTGTTGTGATCTTTTTTTGGTGTGTTAATCCTTGAATAGTGTTAAAGGAAAAGTAATTTTATCTTCTGCCAAATAGTTTTCTGGGTGCGTTAAAGTGCAGTTGTTATGGTGTCAATATCACCATTCATTTGAGATGTGATAAGGCACGGGTAGTTTGAAGGAGTCGCGCCAAAGGTAGATTTTGCAAAGCGAACCATAGATTTCTCACGAGGAAATGGGCCGGTCGCATGACGAGGTGATCGGTCGGTCGCATTCAGGTGTTCTTGCATTCCTGTTAAAGCCCATTAATTATCTCCAAATCCATTGTGGAAATCACATACTGATCCTCCGGTTAATCCTACATCCATACAAATTTGAATTTAAGATAAAGAGCCCTCATGTCATTTGCTTCTGATGTTTCATCATACGCTAGTATTGAATAGACCACCAGTTCTAAGGTACACAAATTCACCCTGCTTCTTTGTTGAGTAAAATGCAATGTGAACATTTGCAACAAAGATTAGAGACGAGACTCTAATCGGAGTCGCTTCAGCTACCGAAATGCCCAAAAGCATGAAAGGTTTGTGGCTTTTACATAAAGCCTCTTTCGAGATTTGTAAAGTAATTTGTCTGTCTCTATGCAAATTATCGTTAATTTCGCAACTTCAGTTTGGTTGTGCTCTATTTCCAAGACGAGAAATTGTCTTGTCATTTTCATTCGACGTCATCGTTCTTTTCATTATACCTATGTTTTTGACAGTCTAAAGACTCTTGGAAGTCTGTATACCTTTGTTTTGCTTGAGATGGCGAGCTTCCAAGCATGTTGCCTTGTTTTCATTTTGTCAATAAATATATGCCCAATTTTAATCAACCTCTTAGACATCTATAGTTTTGCTCTTACGGTGTAATAATCTGACTCAATCAAGAAGTTTATAATCTGACAATTTGTATTATGTTGAATCAATTTTGACTAAGTTACAATTAATGTTGTGAAAGAAGAGCCACAAAGCTTTGGTTTTCGAGAGCCTTTGCACAAGGTAGTGCAATGTCATTTCTCATCCAACATGAGTTCATTTTAAGTCACAAAAGTTTGAGTTTTAAAACACACTATATAAAAAAGACAAAACACTTCTTTCCACATCAATAATGTTTTGTCAAATAGTCAAATATAATGTAGTTCTTTTGTTCGCAAACTGGATGCTACTTGAGCCATGCAAGATCTGTGTCATTTTATTGAAGAGGTTCACATAAAATTGATGAAATGTTCTCACAAAAGTAATAATTGTTGCTAATTTTCTAGTTGTGATCGAGGATGGAAAAGATGGAGATGAAAAGGCAACCGAGTCATGTGTCGGTCAGATGCAGGTAAGTTCGGTCATTATAGTAATCATAATCTTATTGATAAGCATAAGCATGTATTAAGCTGGCATGTTAAAAGAATAATTCATTCTGAAAGTCAATCAATTATCGATTCGTCTGAAATTACCAAATACATTGTCTTGAAATTCTTCTTAATACAAATCTGTCACTTTAGTCAATGTTTCTATTATTTCTCTCGGTATATCTGGAAAAGAATTATACTTTTTTTTGTAAGACATGCTAGATCTCTATCAACAGCGCACACACTATTTGATTTGTAAGTTGCCAAGCATCGTTATTAGATCTGCCTAGTACACCTTTCCGGCACAACAACAACACGGGACAATCCCATGCTTCTATCTTTTAAACGCAAGAATTGTTATTTCTCTTATCGTCCAAAGCTGTAATTGTAACAATCATTATTTTTTGCTATAGGCAAACCATTTACAATACCTTATCTTTAGAGCTTTGTAACTATAGCGCTAAAGAATACACAGGGGCTATTGCAGTTTCGCGCCTCTCAGCGTGGATACGGATCAGCGTCCAAGAAGTGCGAAACTGCATTAGCGCCAAACCACAGTTGCAGTATTTCCATTATATATTCTAACATCACAACAGTGATACTGGGAAGGACTTTCGTAATCCTCATTAACCCTACTGCCATCATCGTCATCATCACATCTCGAAAGTTTTCCTAATGAGAGTCCCTGCAACATGTATTAGAGCTTACTAGATTCTCAAATCTGCTGCATATTCCTAGGTTTCTAACCCAAACATTGCCATTAAATATTACTTAGTCAATAATGAGTGTGCTTTTCGAATTATTGAGTCACAATAATGTTTTTCTTTTCCCTGACGTAAATGTTTCATTACAGAGAATGCCGAAACAAACCTGGCCCATCTTGATAACAGAATTATGCGAGAGGTTCTCCTACTATGGCATCAAAAGTAAGTCAATGTTTGCCAAATAAAGCTAATGTGGGAAGAATTTACTTTATCTTTCTCTACGCAAGTTATTTTCTGTTGATCCTTTCTGATTAAGTTTATTTATCTCTTTTCTTTGTTGCTCGGGCTACATTTGTGCAAGACGGGTTGTATCGCTGCCCCCTCCTAACTGCATTATGAATTGACTGGAATTGAGTTTTGTACCATAGAGTTCTTTAGGTACCCCATGAAATGTTTATATAATTGTTTTCTCGTCACGGAAAGTTTTGCAATTGCTCTAAGTATTGTGGAATATAGAGATAATTAAAGGTAAGGTATTAAGGCAAAAAACATCAGTTAGAATAAGCTACTAATTTACTATTTGTTTCAAAATCATACGAGGTAAAGTTACAAATTTGGTTGCAGAGCGAAACTTAGGAACTCAGTTTGAAACCAAATCCTGAAAATGATGATGAATTAAGACCTAGAAGATGATTTTTTATCTGTAACGAATGTAAATGTCCAAGTTCAATTTTTACAAAAAAAACAAAGCTTTTTGTTTAATCAAAAACTGGTTTGGGGCATGTTTCGTTTGTAGAATATAACATCTACTATTTCTACTTGTGATACTTGATCTTGAATTAAAACCATATGATATTTCATCACTTGGCTTGTGCCCCGAATCTAGAAATATCTGTTCCAAATTTCTAATCTATCACACTCATAAAGGTACGTTTAAATTACCAGATGGTTGTACTTTGGAACTTATCTTTCACCTTAACACTGTAGCTATCCGTTTCAAATTCCTTTCCTACAAACGTTGATAAAGCTTTGCAAACAGACAGAAATTGCATCGCCTAACGTTACTAACTTTTGTGACGTTGTTGGCAGTGTATTGTGTTGTAATGTAGTGTTTGTTATCAATTAAAGTCCAATGAAACACTGCATATGCCAGCCAAGTATTTTTGCTGCTTTTCAGCTCTTTCAGTTCTCTAAGGTTAAGAAATTTCATTTGAGTGAACCAAGTAAATTTAGAAAGCTAATTACTGGCCAGTCTTCTCGTGGGTTTATGCGGTTGTTTTCATCTGTTCCGGGCCATAGTTGAACGATGACTGTCAGAGAGAGCTGGAGCTGGTATTCTCCCGACAATTACCTTGTTTTCCTCTTATTTCGTGATGTCATAGCTTTTGCATCGTGCGCCGAGATAATAGCAAGAAAAGAAAAGTGAAAAACTACTGTCTGTTTGCTAATGTTTTGCCGCAGCATACTGGGTGCCCTTTGGAAGCTATCAAACAATTGTAAAATTCAGCACATTTTTTAAATTTTTGGTCTTAATGTTTTTTTATTCCTTTTCAAATCTGCGTTGCAACAAATATTCGTTCGGAGTCCGTCGAGCTTTCATACTAACATCTTCCAGCAATTGTTCCCCCATAGTTCCAGATCCTACTTCCAGCGCGGGAAAGGAATTATGGTTTTGTACATTGGCTCCCAGTATAGAAAACAACGTTTTCTTTGAAAGCTTTTTGTCTTTGCTTCGCTAATGCAACAAAAATTAATATAATGTTAGATAAAAAGTTCCACAGAAATGTGCTCATACAAATTTTGTCAAAATGACTGTAAGTAAAATTTTGATATGGCTTGCCTAAGGAGTTACTCTGTTTGTTTCAGCGGTTCTGGTTCTTTATCTAACGCAAGATCTTATGTATGAAAAGTACAGAGCAAAATCCATCTACCATGCCTTTAGTATGGTCAGTTATTTTACTGGAGTGCTTGGTGCAATGATGGCTGACAGTTTTCTTGGAAAATTCAGGTATTTGCTTCTAATTTAGTGTGATTTTTATTTATTGCTCATAAATTATTCATCAACGTTTTTTGCTTACTTAAGAAATGTTTATTCAATATTATTGTCATGACCCTTGACCTGTGCTGACATCTAGCTTAACGTTACCCTTGACCTTTGATTTAGATAGAGAGGGGTCAAAGGGGGCGAAACACCCACTGTGAAACTTAACTGTTATTTTGTCAGAAAACTTCTTATTTTGTCGGAATATAACACGTCAATTTAATATTTAAGTGTTAGGTGCTAAGATCAATTTTGAAAAGAAAGATTTTAAAGCTGAATATAACAATTTCTTCCATTGTTCTGAATCAGATTGGCAATCTCTTTCTATAAGGTATGGGGCTTAAAATGCTTTCGAAAAGAAGCCTAAATAAATATATTTTAAGAGTTTACCTTCTGTTTGAATTCAGTTTTAATGTATATAATTTATGTCATGATCTAAAGATGGTTCTTAGATTTGCATTTTCTTAAGTACACCAGTGCATTTTCTTAAGTACACCAGTGTTCATGTATGGAAATAAAATGATTTCAATTTTAAATTCTTTTCCAGGACCATTGTGCTTTCCTTACTTGTCTACAGCATCTCTGAAATCGCATTGACCATCACGTGTGTTCCATCAATTGGTCGCACCTTCAAGTAAGTAAAAAGTCCCGAATTTCATGTTTCAAAACCCACTGCACAACCTCGTTTGAAAAACATTATGATAAAGAGGCTACATATCTTCTTAACCGAAATTTTGGAATATTTTAGCATCCTCGGTTAAAAAAACTTTGCAATAAATACGCAGTGTTTTTTTAAATCACTAACACTTTACTTGAAGCATTTAAATTTTGTTAGGTTTTGTTATTATGTTTTTGTGCAAAAGAGCTGGTTGCGTTCTTTAGTCTTTTATTAGCATAAGGAAGACCTAAGGAGCAGATTCCATATTTATATTGATTCTTATTAGCCTCTGTATAATACAGCAGCAATTTCTTTTAGAGTTGGACCATTGATTTCGTTGTTTTTGACGGCCATTGCATGTGGCAATATCAAGCCCTGTTTGGCCGCTTTTGGAGGAGACCAGTTTGACCAAAAAGATGTAAGACATACTTTAAATGATCTGATGCTTTCCTAAAAGTAAACAGAAGGTTAATTCATGATCGAAAGATAATTCTGATATTTCTTAGCTATCATAAAAATTTGCATTCAATAAATGGTCTTCAATCGCTTGTTGTATATTCGACAAAGCATTACGTGTTCCAATAAGAATTGAAACTGGAGTAGGTTGTATCAGTTGCAGAGCCAAGAATAAGTTACCATCACATGATGGCTGAAGGTGTTACGATTTGCTGTAGGAAAAGATAAAGAATTTAATACATCTTACCCTAACCACATCAATTTCTTACTCATATTGGGAAGCGTTACATTAAAGCATGCATTTCAATGTAGAGAGAGGTCAGGATCCTAAAATTACTCTATGACATTTGCCTTCTAGGTAGGTGATCGTGAAATTCTTGCTATTAGGTTCCCAGTTAACGACAGATCGATATTTAAAACGTATTTTTCGTGCATTCAGTTTGTACTTTGAGTTCCTACAGCTGCAATCGCAGAACTGCTTTATCATGATTCTCAACTGAACTGTTGGCCAACAAGATTTTCGGGTCTCTTGACTTTGTACCAGCTGTTCTAGTTTGCACAATCCAAGCTAAACAAATAAATTGTTTGAAACAAGCATATTTCCAAGGTAGCACACTTAATCATAGCTTTCTGAAGCATCAGTTTAAAGTTTTCACAGAAACAGGCCATGCCGTGTAAAGGTTTATTACCTAATAATAACATAGTCTGTAGTCAGTGCTTATTGGCTATGGTATCATTCGAAAACCCTCTCGCAGATTCCCCGCAGTATTTTGTGTGCAAAGCGCCTGCAAGAGATGTATCCTTATTGAAACTGACATACACATTGGCCATGAATGTATGACATTTCTGTGCGTTGTGTTAATTTGATGACACTGTGCTGGAAGGCGGGGAGGTCGTGAAGATGGGACGAAGGGGTGAAAATCGGAAATCAAGGGGGCAAAATAGCAACGTTTGCTGATTATGGTATAAAAATACGAAAACGAAAGCTTTGTTTTCGTTGTAAGATAATTGCGACCCGACCCCATCGGGAACGTGGGGGTTATGCACCATGAAGCGTTTTCGAAACCTTAATGTTGGGTATTTCTTGGCGAGGTATTTACATACTTGGATGCATTAGAGAAAATTGAGCAAGAAGGAAATGACTTTGTTTTTTTGCTGCAATCATTAACAATCTAATGGCTGGCATGATCTCATCAAGACCATCGTCTTGCATCACACGATAACCGCGTTATCCCTTTTTCTTCCAGACGACGCTTATTGGCAAATTCTTCTCCATGTTTTACATGGCAGTCAATGTCGGCGCTACGTTCACCATGATATTCACCCCAATGATTAGAAGTTAGTATCAAATTTTATCTACCTACAAAATAATTATTGAAAATTGCATCTTTGTTTATTCAGTAGAGTCTAAGAAACTGGTTGCATTTATAGCCTCGATTGTCTGTTCAACTTTACGTGTTTATTTTTATTTTTCTAATCACAATGTCAGCAGTTTCACTTTGTGACCGATAAAAAATGCTACTTCTTAATAATCTATGTATGCAAATCATGCTATTACTGGATTTATGTCTAAACGAAACTATGAAGTTTGTAAACAGTATTTTCTTAAATATGTCAAACATTTTGATAAGACGATAATACTTGTGACGATGAACCGCTTCCATGACTTGATCAGTATAGCTGTTATTGACTAACAAATATGTTTACATTTTCTTTGAAATTGTAATAGCATTTAATAACCTATTATCATAGTAATAACGAAAATATTATAATGATGTTATAAAATGTTGTTATAATGAGGTCGAATATTTATTTTTAAGCGAAGGAAATTGAGTTTATTTTATTCAGACTGAATTTACAAAATTTCCTTAGAACGACTTTTTTCGACAATTCAAGTAACTTTCAACAAGTTCCTGCCTTAAACTCTCTGTAAACATCAACAAAATTACATACATTTTTAAAGACTAATCCAACAAACATTACCGTCATATCTAAGCATAAATGACAGCCTGAACTATGACTAAAAATGTTTTTTTGTCGCTTTCTGAAGCGATATAAAGAGACTCTCGTTGATCAATGATCTTATACTTTTTCTAGCTTTGTTGAGGCGAGTATATACACTAATTTTTGTCTACTTTAATTTTTAGCCGATGTTAAATGTTTTGGTGGGGATTGTTATCCAGCAGCCTTTGGTGTTCCAACTCTGTTTATGGTTATTGCTACAGGTAATGGTGCTGCCATTTTGTCAGCTTTCATGCTCTTATCTGGCATTAATTAAGCTGCCAGTGCCGACCGTGATCACGGTGAAGTAATTGTGTAATTGGAAAATACCAGGAAAGAGTAGAAGCTTTTCATACTAAAGTACTTTTCATATTGTAAATCCGCCATGTTATGAACGTCTGAAAATTTCCAAAGTAAGCAGATAAATTTTTATCCAGATGCGGATCGAAAGTCACGTGAGGGAAAGAAAAACGCGTTTGATTGGTTGACGAGTTGCTCTATCAGTGTTTTGACAAGGACAGAATTACGGTCATTGATAGAGTTTTCAACATTTATTCAAAATTCTCTTTTCCAAAATCTCACCCATTTGAAAAATTTGCCCAATAGAGACCCAAATTATTTGTCATTTTCCAGTGTCTTTCCTTATTGCGTCAAGCTGGTATGTGAAGAAGAAGCCCGAGGGAAATATGATGCTTCGAGTCATCAACATTATTTGTGTAAGTGACTGCCATTCCATTTTTGTTTTATTCTTATACTACAACTGAAAGAGAGAGTCGGGCCGTAGGTGCTCAGCAAATTAGATTTGTATTAGAGAAACTGAAACAATTTTATCTTTTTTCTAAAGGAGATGAGAGTACTTTTAAGTATGATTGCTTCGTTTCACTTTTTTGTAAGCTATATCAACTTTGAGTTGTAGTTTATTTTGAAATTGACAGTCATTAAAGTAAAACTAGTTATCTATAACCTAAAAAAAATAAATCATTTATTTTGTAACAATTTTATAGATATAACCAAGCATTTTCATGATACTTATTTTTGATGTTCTAGAAATATTTACCCATAACTGATCTGCTTCACAGAGTATGATTGTAGTATTGTGTTCTTGATAATTCAATTTGTCACTTCATTGTGCTCATCTATTCATGTAGAAATCTTGAATTTTAGAATATATTCCATTTTATATTTACATTTTTTGCTCTTTTAGTATGCTATTAAGCAAGGATCTGAAAATCGCAGCAAAGGAATAAAATACGATCACTGGTTGGAGCATGCGCAAGACAGCTACTCGGTCAGTTCCTATGAAGTATTGTATCAAGCTTGTTAGACTCTATCGAGCGTGTTGCATCCAATCTCTCATCGGTAGAATTTAATTTGAATAGCTAAACGCAACGCACGATGCAATTTTTTTTCTGCAGTTGAATCCCGTTGAGTTGGATTTTAGCCAACGGAGACTTTGTTACCAGGTTTCTGACTATTGACTAAGTTGGAAATTGAGAATCAGTCCAGCTTTGTGAAAGTCCAAGTTGTCCGGGGTCCAACGTTATGAGCTACACATTTTGTTACATCTACCCACGAATACGAAAATAGCGATTTCAGTATCAGTGCCTTGACCATGTATCTGGGTTGAGCCACAAACTTCTAAGCAATTCCCTTGTTGAATATTCGAGATAATAAGGTTGCTATAATTAGGCCCATCTTTGACGAAGCCTCGATATTTTCCGCGATAATCTTGCTTGATACTTCTAGATTGACACAGATTTCCATTTTAAAACGACCGAGTAGTTCTGCAGTTTGATAGAAAAATACCAGTCAATGTATTGTGACATCATAACACAATACTCATGGCACTATAATTGATTATGCCTGGATATTTTCCACGGTAATCTTGCTTGACACTTCTAGATTGACAGAAAAATACCAGTCACTATTTTGTGACGCCACAGCACAATACACTATTATCTATAGTTTATAGTCTTAGTGTAATGGGGAACCGCAGCTTTTTCGAGGATATCTTGGCAATATTAAATGATATTAGAGATAAAAGACTTTGTACTTGACGAAATGCTTGACTGTCTTTTTTCAGTTGTATTGACCTAGCGTTAAACCAGTGAATTTTTCGTTTAGATGGATGAAATTAACGATGTGAAGGCATTGTTGAAAGTGCTTAAGATGTACATCCCTCTTCCGGTATTCTGGGCGTTATTCCATCAACAGGTATAATTTATCACGTGACATTGCTATTTCTATGACATTATTAACCTATGGTGAATAAAATTGAAAAACAAGGATGCCCCTTCTCTTTTTCTGAATTAGACGCTTTAAAATTGTACAGCTATGTGTATTTTTGAACCGTATCTCTCTCTTCTTAGTACGCCTCTTTCTTTGCATTTGGTGATAAATTGCTCTTCAATAGTTTCATATTCAACAGCTGCTTAAATGATGATATGATTTATGTCTTGTCTTATTGTGATAAAGGGGTCAAGCTGGACGCTTCAAGCAGAACAGATGGATGGCGATTTGGTTAGTCTTGGTCAAAGTTTTCTTATAGCTAGCAAGCTCCTCTCGTGTAAATGGCAAATGCTCCATTATTGCCTTGATCACTGATATCAAATACAAGCTGAATTTTTTAATATTTGCAAAGAAGATGTCTGCAACGGTATGCTTTTTTCACATGAAAGGCTGGAAAGAATAGAAAGGCAATAGAGATAAGAAAAATCAGTTTTTCCTCATAGAATGCTTTTGACCGCGGATTGCAATCAACAGAACCTTCCAAAAGTTTCAACACACTAAATATAACAAAATTACAGACGATAATGAAATTGGTCTTTACTTCTGCAATTATATATTGTCAATGATATTTTAGCTTGAATCAGCATAATTTAGCATATTTTGTGCCTAATTCTAATACTTGCATCCTTAGTTACGAAAAGTTTTTTGCTACTTTTTAGGGCTCTCTCGGAACATTGAGATCGGATCAGATTCAGGTGAACATGCTTTTTGTGTTAGAGACTGCAAATTAGGCAGTTTATTGATCTTGAAATCTGGTATCAAGTATCAGTAACAGAAAATTTTTCAATAAAAAACAAACGGACATGTTTCTCATCTTTATTTTCCCTAAGAAAACGATTGCCAATCATTCCAATTGATTTAATAATTTGAAGGACCCCCATAGCGATTATATGGTTGTGATATTTTGCTTAGATTATTGGCCTATATCTGCAAAGTTGCATTGTAGCGATTTGGTTTTCCAGATATTTTGTTTCATGTCCTGAAAGCTCAGTCATAATTATGTCCTTTGCAATATTTTTGAAATCTTTTCAAAACTTCTATTTCGTTTACAATGCATTTTTGCAAATTTTTTCAATATTTTTTTGATTTGTTAGTGTTTTGTAATACATTTTTGCGTTACTGTGTCATTAAGCGTCTTTATGTGATGCTTTTTATGTGATATGGTTGTTCTTATGTCAGCTGTTGAACAAAACTGGCACCATAATTTTCAACATAGTTCCTTTTTCTCTTGTGTTAACTTTTTTTTCAATATTTGTTAGAAAATTTCTCTATTTCTCAGGATCTTTATTCTGTCCACTCTTTGTTTTAGTTTTTCAATCCAGTTTTGGTCTTGATTCTCATTCCATTCTTCGATGGCCTTGTCTACCCGATCTTTGAACGATGTCGCTGTGGCTTGACGTACGTTTTTACAAACCTGTAGTTTAGAGCAAACATTTTGAAATTCTGGTCATGTTCAATGTGGACACGATGATAAATTCTGGTCATATACCTGTGGACATGATAAATTCTGGTAATGTTCACGGTGGGCATGATAAATTCTGATAATGTTCACGGTGGACATGATAAAATCTGCTCATGTTAACTGTGTACATGATAAAGTCTGGTCATGTTCACTGTGGACATGATAAATTCTTGTCATGTTCACTGTGGACATGATAAATTCTGGTCACGTTCACTGTGGACATGATAAATTCTGGTCATGTTTACTGTGGACATGATAAAGTCTGGTCATGTTCACGGTGGACATGATAAATTCTGGTCATGTTCACGGTGGACATGATAAAGTCTGGCCATGTCTACAGATTGTGTCACAACACGCAGTATCGTGTCTTCGTTGCAGTTGTTTTTCAATTTATGAAGAAGCAGTCATTCCAATGATTATTTTATTCGCATTTCGAAATACAGCTACATTTCCTTGAGGTTTCTGTTGATTGATACAGTCTTTGTGTCAAGGTTACGTTCTCTTTCGATTGGAGTTTTGTATTAAAGACTAAGCATATCAGATTTTTCATTTTCAGTGATGAAATGTACCACTTTGCTACCCTAGGCCTTTGAAAAAGATGACTGGAGGACTTATTTTGACCGCCATCGCTTTTGCAGTTTGTGGTTTTGTTCAAATTAAAATTCAGGTGCGTTTTTGTTTGTTTCAAGGACACTGCTTTTTACGAAAATTTTTGATTCAGATAACGTTCCAGTGATTCAAATAAAACACCTTGGAAATGATCAAACTCGCAATAAGCTAGGTGAATCCATTTCATTACGTGATTTCTATTTCAATTTTGCAATTTGCATTCTCATTTAATCCAACAAATTATGCAAAGGTTTTTTTACTGTTGCTTCGTCTATTGCTATTTGTGCACCTCTTTTTTAATCTGTCTTCTATTCTCTCAAGTCTTAACTAAATAATCTCATTTTTTCATATCCTTATTTGCCACTTCAAGAGCACTACCTGAATTCCTAATATAATGTCGAGATTTTGGTTAAGAGTTTTTTACGAAACCTCATGTTCAAGATACTTCTAAAAGTGATGAAAATGAGGAGATAGAAATGAATTCTCAATGTCAATAGATATACGATTATAAGTTTCAAAATGGCACTACAACATGGAATCAAATTGTAATGTATTAATTTATGCCCTAATATTGCTCTGATTTCCAATTCAGCTTTGAAATCCTGCACTTCTAAGTTTTCAGAATATACAGTTATATATCCTTCTCTGAATTTGGTAAAGGGACAAGTTTTTTCAGTAGCTCAACGCAAAGTTTAATTCTTCTTTAAAAGCCAAATCAAAGATATGATTGTCCATTATTTTTCACCAATTTTAGAATTCAATCGTTTTCAATTGTAGACTGTCAACTCTCCTCCAACAGCACCAACAGGAAGCCAGACTAGTGTTGAATTTATCAACGCTGCCCCCTGTTCAAAAGTCATGATTGAGCCGGATTCTTTCTTCAAGATCGAGCTTGGGTTTGCACAGGTAGTAACTGTAATTTTCTCTACTGTAGAAATATGACTTGTGGTTAACGGGTTCAAAGATTTCTTATGGGGAAAATGCTGTTTTTGTGTTTCTACGTTGATTTCCTTTGGGGAGAAGGGAGAGGGGTGTTCATCGGGGTTTACGAAATAACGAAAATTGACGAACAATTGGCGATAATTTAGATAGGGCGAGAATTCCGGCAATTTCTTGATGGATATACGATTGTCATTGACAGAATTTTTCACACTTAAAGGGCGCAGATTTTCTTGAAAATCGTACACGGAATACGGAATTTTTACAAAGTTTTACGGGTTTGGGCAATTCTTTACCTTTTGTCGTGGAAAAAATGAACTGTGATCGGCACCATCTATCAACAATTTGGGGACGCGAAATTTTGGCTCAAAATGACTGGAACGGCGGATTTCTACCCCCTCGGATGACCCCCACCTTTAGGCATGTTTGCTCGTATTGATGAGCTCCAAAGCTGGGTTTATTCTGATAGCCCCCAAGCGGGCCTCATAGTTTTGTTATCTGACTGCAAATTCATTTGAGATTTATTACATTACAGCGGTCCAGCTTCATCAGTGGAGAGGCTGGTACATATAAAACGTTTCAAGTAAAGATGGATGGTTGCAGCTTCCGTAGCAGGAATTTTACGGGGAGATTTACCGTTCGATTTAATCAGACTTACCAAACTGTGATCATTTATTCAAATGGGACATCAGTGGAGGCCAAAAGGGTCAGTCACAATTTAACACTTATCATTACAATTGAATGATTTTATTTTATTTACTATTATGGCTTTGAGATCGAGTGTTTCTAACTTTTTTTGCATGTTAATCGTTTCTTAAAAATATCAATGTTTTTTATATGTCAAGGCTGTCAAAGCAAATCGTGATCAAAGTGTTGCATCCAAAATTGTCAACATCAAGCTTCAAGCCTATATAAAAGCTTGATGTGCTTTCTGCTGGCCAGTTGGTTCCTCTCATCTTACCTTTGGCTTTAGATGTTAGGGGTTACATGGCAAAAGCCGGCGGAGAATTTCACTGAAAGCAATTAAAATTTGGTTTCTTGCAAAACCTCATCACTATTTGTCCGCGCTTATAGACGCCAGTGATTACCTTTTGCTGTCACCTAATGCCGCAACTGAACCAATGTCCCCTATTTTAGCTCGATCGTGACTTTGGCAAGGCTGATGTTACAACCGCAAATAGCCGAATAAGGTAGGCGTTTAATGCTTCAACTAGCAATATGATCAAGAAGGTCGTGAAATATCTTTACTGAAGCTAGAAATACAATCCAGGCTTTCTAGTTTTAAGTGTGCTTCTAGTGACCATTGTTTAAACGTAATCATGTCCTACAACTCCATTGCTCAACGATGGTCACTATATGTTTTCAGGCTATAAAGAATATGAAGTACGCATGCAGCACTGCTTTACGGTGCAGTTCTTGGTAAATTTGCTTGAAGAGATTGTCGAGTCTCTAAGACTCGTGCGTACTTCTTTTCCTTTTTACACTACCTCCCACATGCATTGCCTCTGACCAGTGGCGTAGCGTCCGGGTATTCAAGGTATTCAGTGAATACCCTGAGATTTCTCAGAAAAAATATTAATACGACGTATAATTGCAATAACTATAAAATGTTTTGGGGCTATTGATTCTGGTTGAATTCGTTACCTTCGATATTCTGCATTTTGTACAAGTACAAAATATCACGAAATTCATGGAAACAATAACGCTGCGACGCATAGAGAAGCTGGGAGATCTTTGAAGCTAATTTTGAAGATTGAGTTACTTCATGTTGAATGGAGATCGGTCATGAATACGCAGTGAATACCCTAGACGGTACTTTAACCAATCACAATGCTCCTTTCCATGAATAATATTTGCCGTTAATCAGCTAAAACAATGGTCTTGTACGCTGAGAAATATGCAGCGTACAGCCTCAAAGTTGGTTCAAAATAGTCTCGTTTTGAGATCGATATAAACAGTTAATGGACGTCGGAGCGGTTGGAGTGGTGGATCTTCATCGAAAACAGTAAACATGACTTCATTCAAAGCTATTGCAGTGTCTGTATTACTGTTTAATAATCATTCTCTCATTTGACCCCTAATCTTAACCTACCAACAGCAAAGTGGAAAGGAAAGGTAGGCTTCTACATAATGCTATGCTAACTCAGATCTGTGCCTCTTGAAATGCCAATTTTGTTATTGCTTGTCAATCAGGGATGCTTCTGTTTGTATTATGTGATAGAATTAAAGTAAATGCAGATAGGCCTGGATAATATCCTTATAGTTGCCTGGTGTATTCAGTTATATTGTTGGCCTATTTTGTTTGCATTATTCGAGCGCATTTAGTTGCATTATTGTGCAGTCTCGTCTCATCACCTTCGATTCTTTCAATCAACTTGTATTGAAAATATCACGACCAAGCCATGAAGAAAAAGTCTAGACTGCATCCACTGCATACCACAAACTATTTATAACTCGTGTAATGCCCTATGTGAATAACTTTCGAAACTTTTGAAAGCCCTTTTGTATAAAGGTATCAAGAGAAGGTGTTTACAGTTACTTCCTCTTTACATCAGTGCAAATTTTAGAGGATTCAACAACAACTATTGGGACATATTTCGACTAGCAAAATTTTACTGACTTTCAATGATACGTTTTGATTTGAATTACTTATGATGAAATGGTTAGTGGTATTTTGATGCAATGAATGAGTTCGAAGAGTATATTTGCGTTGAGTTCTTTAGCAAAGTATCGTTTTCATCATAGTAATGCCCTGACAGTGCAGTACTTGCCAACCGAACCAGAAAGAAAATTAGATAAATTGTCAATAGCTAGTCCTTTTAATCTTCCTATTATCTCTCCTATTTCCATCAAGCCCCATCAAGCCACACCCTGCCCCACCCTTTTGTTTAATAGAGAATACCCAGTTGAAAAAGTCACGCTACGCCACTGCCTCTGACAGCCTAACTGCTGGCCCTAGGTCAGCATTGGGTCCTCATTCAGTCAAGCTGTACTGATGAGCCCTGATATGGGGCGAAACCGGTCTACAGCCGACTGTCTGTGAGGTGTAAGTGGTTTCTTTACTTCACACTTATAAAGAATATCCCTTGGTAGTGAGCTTCTCGAGTCTAGATTTGTTTTTATATATGAGAAAATTCTGTTTAATTATATGTGCATAGATTAGCTTGATAATTGAAATCTTTTATAGGATTATATACAGTCCAGTATCAATAACACCAAATCTGAACGTGCAACTTGAGCATGTGATAGAGGAAAAGAAAAACAAACAATTCAGCGTTAAACCACAAGAAGAAACAATAGATAATGCCATTCTGGCCGACGAGTACGTAACGAGATAATGTTTTTTATTTTTTACTAACGATTCTAAAAGGAATATTACTGCCTGATGATTGCTTCTCTCCAATTTATTTCTGGCGTTCTGCGACAGCCACAATCTTTTTTCTGCTAGTTGTAAATAAAAAGAAAAGCATTTTGTCATTTTGAATTTGGCGAAGGGCCCACCCCTTCAACTTACTTTTAGGCGATTATTACCAAAATTCTGTCAAAAATTTTAGATGAACAGCATTAGCTATTTAATACAATGCTTTGATGGTTAGACATGGTTTAATTTTTCAACAATTTTTTCTACTACAATGAATGAAGGTATAAATTTTTGATACAACTTTAGCTGTCCCAAGAAATCTTAGCTTCACCTTTGTTTTCATCCGGTTCTTGTACAAGGAACAAAAAAGAACATTTGTTTGAACAATATATCTTCACCTTTACCTCTCAAATTGCATCTCAAAGCTGCGCTTTCGTTCCATCTCACTTTCTTTGTTTGTTCTTTAATATTGCAATCAGTGTGGTGAAATATTCTTCCAAAAAGGCCTTTATATCTTCATTATCTACCTTACTAACCTTTTTTATTATCTATCTTTATATTTCTATTTTCACCATCATTAACTTATAGTCTGTTAAAAAAACGAATCTATCTACTGCAGATACACAGCTTCTGCCACGATGCATAATACCACAATGAAGGTAGATCTGGAGGTAAATTCAAAATTTATTCGATCAATTCTTTATTCATTCGGTGGTTTTCAAGTAATCGTAAAATTGGCTTCGGAAATTTTAAAACATACCTGTCTGATACTCTTTAGTATAAAACGCTAAAGATCTTTTTAGTTTTTCCAAAGATGTTTAAGACTCTGACTTTTGAAGATACATATCAGTTTACCCCCTTTCAAGATGACGTCCTAATCCAGTCCGAAGAACCAGTTATTCAGAAACAAGTTAACGGACTTTACACCACCCTACACTGTCAATTGCGGAATTGTTGGTGTTTTTCACTGTGAAACGAGCTTCAAAACCGTAGAGGGTTTTTGCTGCACTGCTGACCGTCTATATCACAGCTTGTTGATTTGAAAAAGCATCGGGCTACATGCCACACACATTGATTACAACACGATTTATGGTAGTGGCCAGTCGTATGTTCTTACGTCATCCAGTGTTTTTCATCTGCTTTAGTGCGGGATAATTTTCACTCATGTTCTACAAATTTTGGTACATTATTTGTTCTTTTTACTGCTACAATGTGATTATGCATAATTGTTTACCTTTTTTGTAGCTAAGCAACAAGTACATGAAACTGGGTACTTTTGGTGCGTATACTCTTGTCATTTCACAACAGATGGGTACTACAGATCCAAAAAAGGTATTTAAATTTACAGTGAAGGATCTTATCACTAATGTTGACAATTATTTAAAAACAATTCCGTTGTTGGTGATAAACAGATTGCTGTCCTCTCGACTTTTTTAAACTGGGAAGTTTATTCCGGAGATGCTCTTCGAAGTATGTAAAAACTTTCAGGAATATTCATTCTATCTGATACATTGAAGAGGGTACATGTAATCTCCTTGAGAAAACTAAAAAAGATATGACCCCTCACTAACGGAATCTTTCTTTCTTAACAACGGAAAAGCTCTCTTTACAACAAAGATCGCTGTCAGTGTTTTAGCAAACTTTTTGGAAATCCCTTTTCATGGTAAAGCATTTTCTTCCAGTATATCAAAAAGTTCCTCTTCTTCAATAGTTGTAAAGGTTTCTCCTTCAAATCAGTTGTAAACTACCGCTCAACAGTTTTCAAACAGCGTTGTGTTTAGAAGCATCCCCGAAAATCACAATATCACTTATTTAATCCAACAGCTGTATGGCAAATTTTATGAGGATATCAAAAGCACGTCTGTTCATCGAATCTGGCAGCTGCCTCAGTATGTTGTCATCACTGCCGGGGAGGTTATGTTCTCTGTTACCGGCCTGGAATTCGCCTACTCCCAGGTACAAATTTATATCTGCAATGCTTTTGGAAGTCTGTTTTAGCCTCTATCCTCTGTCTAGGTCGGTCAATATTGTTTTATATGAAAACACAAATAGTTTAACATTGAATTAATTTTACAATTCTAATTCACAACATATTGGGTTCGCATCGTCGTTTTTTTCATGCCTATAACTTTGTATCACATTATTACTCATTGCAAGATTCACAGAATCCTGAGAACAGCCTGCGTTTGTCCTATCCTGCGTTTGTCCTATCCTGCGTTTGTCCTATCCTACGTTTCTTTCTTCTTACATACCGTCATTGAGGACCAGTTATTATTGACACCTTTCAAATCCAGCCAACGATGTGGAAGTGTCGAATGAACGTAGTAATGCAGAGCATGGTGTAACCGTGTGAACAGAACTTAAAACTTTTCTATGAACAGAAATATTCGTATCGGATTAGGTCAGGTAATCCTATACACAATCGATACCATACAGTGTGAAAAGGGCCAATGTTGCTTTAAAAAGAAGTGAAAAGAATGAACGAAGAAATAACTTGTAGTTAGTTCTAGAGAACGTAAATAAAAACTTTCTCATTGAGTCACACGAAATTTGCCATCTTGCCAAATGAGAAGTTACGCTCTTCGCATAGATTAGAGGAAATGATTCAATCATCTAAACTACACGCGAGTGAATGAATGGTTCCGTCTCATTTAAAGTGAGGTGTTGGAACCTCGTTATGCGTTGTAAATTTCTTTGACCCTTCACTCATACTTAAATTCTTTGCTATAAAAGCTATATTTTTTATTCCAGTGGAAATTACTTGTTTTTGGGGATATGACATTTTTAGCAAAAAGGATGGGATGCAAAAACCCCTCCTGTTAAGCCACGAAACACTTCCTTAAAACCGAATATGTTCTCTAAATACTTTTCTGATCCCTCCTCATTTGCTTCTGCAACGGCTCTTGCAATAGTTTATAATCACAAGGATCCTTCAATCGCAAAATCGTTTTTTTCTAACATTTTGATTTGCTTCTCAGGCTCCACATAGCATGAAATCTGTCTTGCAAGCGTGTTGGCTTTTAACTGTAGCATTTGGCGATCTGCTAGTAGTTATTTTCTCAGAGGCAAAACCAGTCACAGGAGTGGTGAGTCATAGTTCCATTAATTGTTTATGACACACTAAGATAGCTGTATCTTGAATAATGTTGCTTGAAAAGAGCAGGGGTGGATGAGAGAGCTTGCTTGAGAGGCCTTTTGGTATAGATTATATTGTTTGCTACCTCCAATCATTGCCAAAAGAGCTTGGAACACAAGGACCGCGGGTCATCTTAAAGATTGAAGATTGAAGGGGCTAGAACGTTTTGGAGGAGGTGGGGGGCCAAACATGCTAAAAACTAAGAGCAGAGCGAATTTTTGGATGGCTTTAAGTATATTTCAAAAACTTTTTGTGGGGCCTAAATCCCCCGTAGACACCCCTCCCCCCCGCTCCCGCGGTCTCTGGACTCCCCAGCTATATGCGTTGTGTGTCCATATTTTTCAATTCTTTTCCCAATTACTCCTTCTTCCGCATTCCCTTCCCCCCTAATTATGATAATTTAGAAAAATATCATAGACGTCGTATGAAGAAACCTATCATAGAATTCACCGAAATTTTTGGCAGGCATTGTAACTTCCAAAGGTAGTTTTAGGACACAGAAAAGCTATGCTTATCGAGCAGTTTTCTGGTCCTTCCTCTCGATGTGACCACACCTCGCAATTCCCGCGTCTGGATTCACAGAGAGCTGGTGACTCTCTTCATTTTCAGAGAAAGCTTGGTCATGTCAGGGACTCGACCCACGGACCTAATGTCGTGTTTGTTATGAAAACATCAGCCGCTAGGTACTGTTCAGGAAAATGTTTTGCGAATATTCTCTTACAGGTAAATTGACGTCCAAGATTTGTGGTACAAAACGTTGCACAATTTTTGTTTTTCTTGTTTGTTTCAACAACACTTGATACTTTGTTTCTAGGAAAAAGAGATGTTTCTGTACGGCGGATTCATGGGTATTGTCGCCATCATCTTTGGTATTATGTGCACCTTCTACACATACTCTGACTTCAGCGGACGGGAAAAGGAAGAGCCACTTGATGACAAGGCAATTCTGGGTGAAAACGGTATAACTCCAAGCTCATCTACAACAACCTTGTAAGCTGTATCACCTCTGCCAAAGTAACAGGAAGAGACAAAGAACCAGGAAATGTCGTATAGATACTTTATGCTTTCAAATGCTTTCTTTCGCTTCCAAGTAAAATACATTCGTAAAAGTCTATTGCTTTGCTTATAGAACATCAAACCCTATAGATTGCGAACGTTTCTCCAATAAACACCATATAAAACTGGCACAGATACAGACATAATAGTAGGTTTGGATATAAGTGAAAACTAGACCAAAATGTCAACGGGTGATCCTCTGCGAAGGAATATACCTATGGATGTTTTGTACGAAAGATTTCACAAAGATCCATGGAAAGATTTTTATTATATTTCAGCACTTTTGTGACGTCATCAGCGCGTTTGTCCGCGTGACGAGAAATACCCAATCCCATTTTTACCGTCTTTTTCGATTTTAGCAGGGACATCTTTTAGCTGTATATAATCTGAAATCGCTTGATTTTGATGCAGAAATTCATCAATGTTCATTATTTCTATCGAATTCATAGCAATAATAAGAAATCGTATAGGGATCTAGAAAATTGGCCATTTTCTTATTCGTTGTTCTTATTCTTATTCTTATTTCTTATAACGTTGACAATGTAAATTCTTATTGATTCATGATTCTCTATTCTTAGGAATATTTTCGATTTTGTCATCATAAGATATGTAGACCTAGTAAAGATGAATTAGTATATAATTTGATAAATGATCCATGATCACAGAATTTATGCATAAATATTGTTAAAATTGACGCAGGATTTTCAAAAAATGATATATTTTATTGATTATTGTGATTTTATAAACGCTGAGCGTGAAAGTGTTGTACTTTTACCAATATACCTTCTAGCCTTTATCTCACGTCGACGTAAATGTCGATGTTAATGTTTCAAGATACTCAACATGTAGTTAATGAGGCCAAGATACGCGCCAAAGGTCTTTGGACTTAAATGAATAACTGTCCAACTTTTCGAGAAAAAGGATATTGATTGTTAATGGTTGAATTTTCATCAAAATTGACAACTTTGACAAGGCTATAGCCTTACTTTCCGACTGGTTTTTTGGGTGTTCTAAAAACACCTTTCTTTCGTTCAATTATCTATCAAAGATGCCAAAATCATGATCTGACGCCTTTTTCTAGCTTTTCTAGAATAAGAAAGTTGATTTTTAGGAATAAAAATTTTCATCAAAATTGACAATTTTGGCAAGGCTATAGCCTTACTTTCCGACTGGTTTTTTGGGTGTTCTAAAAACACCTCTTTCGTCCAATTATCTATCAAAGATGCCAAAACCATGATTTGACGCATTTTTCTAGCTTTTCTAGAATAAGAAAGTTGATTTTTAAGGATAAAAAATTTCATCAAAATTTACAATTTTGGCAAGGCTATAGCCTTACTTTTCGACTGGTTTTTTGGGTGTTCTAAAAGCACCTTTTTTCGTCCAATTATATATCAAAGATGCCAAAATCATGATCTGACGCCTTTTTTCTAGCTTTTCTAGAATAAGAAAGTTGATTTTTAGGAATAAAAATTTTCATGAAAATTGACAATTTTGGCAAGGCTATAGCCTTACTTTTCGACTGGTTTTTTGGGTGTTCTAAAAACACCTTTCTTTCGTTCAATTATCTATCAAAGATGCCAAAACCATGATCTGAGGCCTTTTTTCTAGCTTTTCTAGAATAAGAAAGTTGATTTTTAAGGATAAAAAATTTCATCAAAATTGACAATTTTGGCAAGGCTATAGCCTTAGTTTTCGACTGGTTTTTTGGGTGTTCTAAAAACACCTTTCTTTCGTTCAATTATCTACAAAAGATGCCAAAACCATGATCTGGGGCCTTTTTTCTAGCTTTTCTAGAATAAGAAAGTTGATTTTTAAGGATAAAAAGTTTCATCAAAATTGACAATTTTGGCAAGGCTATAGCCTTAGTTTTCGACTGGTTTTTGGGTGTTCTAAATACACCTTTCTTTCGTTCAATTATCTATCAAAGATTCCAAAACCATGATCTGAGGCCTTTTCTCTAGCTTTTCTAGAATAAGAAAGTTGATTTTTAGGAATAAAAATTTTCATCAAAATTGACAATTTTGACAAGGCTATAGCCTTACTTTTCGACTGGTTTTTTGGGTGTTCTAAAAACACCTTTCTTTCGTTCAATTATCTACAAAAGATGCCAAAACCATGATCTGAGGCCTTTTTTCTAGCTTTTCTAGAATAAGAAAGTTGATTTTTAAGGATAAAAAATTTCATCAAAATTGACAATTTTGGCAAGGCTATAGCCTTAGTTTTCGACTGGTTTTTTGGGTGTTCTAAAAACACCTTTCTTTCGTTCAATTATCTACAAAAGATGCCAAAACCATGATCTGGGGCCTTTTTTCTAGCTTTTCTAGAATTCATCAAAATTGACAATTTTGGCAAGGCTATAGCCTTACTTTTCGACTGGTTTTTTGGGTGTTCTAAAAACACCTTTCTTTCGTTCAATTATCTATCAAAGATTCCAAAACCATGATCTGAGGCCTTTTCTCTAGCTTTTCTAGAATAAGAAAGTTGATTTTTAGGAATAAAAATTTTCATCAAAATTGACAATTTTGGCAAGGCTATAGCCTTACTTTTCGACTGGTTTTTTGGGTGTTCTAAAAACACCTTTCTTTCGTTCAATTATCTACAAAAGATGCCAAAACCATGATCTGAGGCCTTTTTTCTAGCTTTTCTAGAATAAGAAAGTTGATTTTTAAGGATAAAAAGTTTCATCAAAATTGACAATTTTGGCAAGGCTATAGCCTTAGTTTTCGACTGGTTTTTGGGTGTTCTAAAAACACCTTTCTTTCGTTCAATTATCTATCAAAGATTCCAAAATCATGATCTGACGCCTTTTCTCTAGCTTTTCTAGAATAAGAAAGTTGATTTTTAGGAATAAAAATTTTCATCAAAATTGACAATTTTGGCAAGGCTATAGCCTTACTTTTCGACTGGTTTTTTGGGTGTTCTAAAAACACCTTTCTTTCGTTCAATTATCTATCAAAGATTCCAAAACCATGATCTGAGGCCTTTTCTCTAGCTTTTCTAGAATAAGAAAGTTGATTTTTAGGAATAAAAATTTTCATCAAAATTGACAATTTTGACAAGGCTATAGCCTTACTTTTCGACTGGTTTTTTGGGTGTTCTAAAAACACCTTTCTTTCGTTCAATTATCTATCAAAGATTCCAAAACCATGATCTGAGGCCTTTTCTCTAGCTTTTCTAGAATAAGAAAGTTGATTTTTAAGGATAAAAAGTTTCATCAAAATTGACAATTTTGGCAAGGCTATAGCCTTACTTTTCGACTGTTTTTTTGGGTGTTCTAAAAACACCTTTCTTTCGTTCAATTATCTATCAAAGATTCCAAAACCATGATCTGACGGCCTTTTCTCTAGCTTTTCTAGAATAAGAAAGTTGATTTTTAAGGATAAAAAGTTTCATCAAAATTGACAATTTTGGCAAGGCTATAGCCTTACTTTTCGACTGGTTTTTTGGGTGTTCTAAAAACACCTTTCTTTCGTTCAATTATCTATCAAAGATTCCAAAATCATGATCTGACGCCTTTATTCTAGCTTTTCTAGAATAAGAAAGTTGATTTTTAAGGATACAAAATTTCATCAAAATTTACAATTTTGGCAAGGCTATAGCCTTACTTTTCGACTGGTTTTTTGGGTGTTCTAAAAACACCTCTCTTTCGTCCAATTATCTATCAAAGATGCCAAAACCCTGATTTGATGGCCTTTTCCTCACTTGTTTCAATCTCTTACTTTTTACGTAATAGTATATGGTTTTTAGGTCATTAGCTGTCATATGATTTGATCATTTGGAAGTGTTTTTTGACTGGTAAGACCACAATCTTCCTGAAGAAATTATAGTATGACGTTAGTACTATATACCACAATGGGCTTGACAATAGAAAAAGAATTTGTAATGGGATACAGTAGGATCAACTTTGTCATCAAAATTGACAAGTTTAGTTTATGTCGTTTAACTGCTTTGCAAAAGGTTTCTCTGAAAAAACTCTACCTGTATGAGGACATGAATGGGGACTTAACGTGTCCCTTCTCTCCACTAGCTTATGGGTCCAGCCTGACCCGACTGGTGCCACCTGGCAGGGTTCCCTAGCTCAGGGCAACTCGGGGGGAGACCGGCAACGGGGGGCGGATGAGCTACGACTCCAGTGGTCAACGGCTTCGGGCAGAAGAACTCCTGGAAAGAGGGTTGATGTCCCTTTAAAAACACCGTATAGGTGGCTCTGGGGGCCCATTTCTACTATTAGCCCCTTAGTTTTATCTATGACCATGACAACAAACCAAAACTCAGATTTTGGGATGGTTGGAGGGTCATGGTAGCCAACCTTCTGATAGAAGATGGTACCTTATGATGAGGTGTCCAATTTACCACAGCTTTACCTGAATCGAATCGCACCCTTTTAAAAAACCAACTGTAGCCTTATCAAGTTGTTCTTTTAAAAGCATTAAAGATATTTGTGAAATATGTTATTGATGAATTTTTTAGGAAAAGAGAAAACTAGTAGCACAAAAGTCTTTCTGATGTTATAGTACCAGCCTACTTCTTAAAAGGTCTGCTTTTTGTAATAATGACAACAACAGCTGATAACGATGCAGATCATTACGTAAAGAACCAAGTTAGTCAGCTGTTTTACGAGCAAAGTGGGAAATAACTTGTTTCGTAGAAACAGCAAACAGAAAAGCAACTGCAAACATCACAAGAGTTTATTTACGTAGTTTTTCACTTAGTCGTTATCCCTAATGCAGCTGGGGAAACAAGGGAACTCTTTGCTAATGTGATTTTACAAAAACAAAAACTTTAAGCTGAAAACATGTTCTGAAAGGAGATCTTGGTGGTGAAAACAAAGCTATGCTTCAGGGAGATCTTTCTCTCGAAACCCTTGCAACATCAAGTCCCCAACACGACATTGCTATATCCATCTCATTTCTGTTTATTTGCAATGGTGGCGAAAAAGTTATAAATTTCTAAATAGGTGCAAGGCGAACAAGTAGGAAAACGAAAAGGCCAACAAGAAAATGGACGTTTTCTGGAAAACGCTCTCCAATTGGGCTAAGAAATTATGAAGTGCCCTTCCAACTTATTTCTGACCACTAAAGAAATGGACAGAAATACAGAAAAAAATACATTAACATCAAAATATTTTGCATAAAATCAATAAAATATATATTCCTTAAATGGGTATTAATACAACTAAACTAGTAGCAATGTCTAATAGATGGGGATGAAAACTACCTTGGGCAACTACAATTGTTTATTGTCTTAAAAAATTGTAATAGTCAGTAACCTTATTAATTTGTTCATAAACCCCCGTCTCAGCATCAGTAAAATATGGTCTTTGTAAGAAAAGGAAAGGTTATACCAGAGTGTGACATAGATGAAATTGTATCGTTGAAATTGACTCCCAAAGCTCTTTACATAAAGGTGACTTTTGATTTCATCATATAACTTTTCACATATCTATTAACCCGGAAACATGGGACAGGATTGCTAACCCCCCTGGAAAGCCAAAAAGACTTGCTAGCCAATCCCCGTGTTTGGCTTAAAAACTTAGACGCAGGAAAATTTTGTTTCGTGTATGGGAAGTCCAAGTTCGGAAACAGTAAAAGAAGAGATACAGACGAAGCAACAGCAGTACAACAGCAAGGAAATCTTTCATCGACATGAAGTACCTTATCGGTGTGTTACTTATAGGCACATTGGCTTCCTTGTGTTTTGGTGAGTTTTAATCTGCTTCAGACATTTTGATACCGACTGAGCTAGCTTTGTTGGGAAGATAAGAAGCCTGTAGGCCAACGAAGGAAGGGGAGGGGGAGCGCCTAAGAAGTAAAGGAAGTGATATCAAGTTATCTGATTTTTGTTTTGACAAAAAAGGTTATGAGAGCCTTGAAGGCAAGCAGGGCCGCCGAGAAGTTTCGGAGGTCCGGGCGCAAAACCGAAAGACGAGGCCCCTGCATAAAGAATTTTTGTGGCCACACCCTCCAGATTAGCTCAAATAGCATTTCAGAATATTTCTTGCAGTCGTTTCTTGCAATCGTTTAGAATATTTTTCTATTTTTGGGCATACTTTTCGCACGTTTGAGTAATTCAATTCTCAAAATGGAGTTCGCTACTTTATAAGGCCCCCTGAACCTCGAGGCCGTAGGGCGATTTGCCCCCCATCCCGGCGGCCCTGGAGGCAAGAAGAGGGTAAAACAAGAGGCATAACGGAGGCAGCTAGGGCCCTTAGAAATATAGGTGAAACAGGGCCTGTTTCTACAGAACTCAAGAAAATCCTATCCTTGGGTGTAAAACATGATGAATAGAAAAACAAGATGCAGAATCGAGAATTCAACTAAAGTGCCTCAAATCATGTATCGCCAATTTTTAAAAGCTATTGGCAAGAAGATGAGTAATAGGACAGAGTTGTCCCAGGCAAGGGGACAGATATTTTTGAACATGTCTCTAACGGTCAGGGATGACATCTTCGATCTTATGGGAGTAATGGTAATTTTTGTATCTGTAAAAATGGCTACAAAACAATGGCGATGTCTCATTTGACCTACTTTGTGTCATGTTCTGCCTTTTTAACAACATCATCCACTCGTTGTTAATCTAACAACTAGTTAACATGAAAAAACATCTTTTGTTCGGGGACAAAAAGTTGCCATTTAAAGTAAATAAATTCATTCTGGAATCTATTAGGTAACATGACCCACGTTAAAGTCAGCCGAGAACAAAAAACCCAAAATGGATTTATGAATGACAGCTCGAGTAGAAGAGCTCTGTAGATTGTGATTTTCAAGAACTCCAACAAGAAAAAAAAAACTAAGAGTATTTTAATAGATTGAATTTGGTAAATAATCAATGATACAGATGAAGCAAAACCTTGCTCTAAATACAATCTTTCTGCCTTGTGTATTGACAGTGGGGTTGGTCAATAAAAATGATTTTTCCTAACTTCGATTTTTTATTATATTTGTATCAACATTAAAACACCCACAGCATTATGTTTATGAACTTAAGTTAACGAAGAAACAAGAAACGTTTTTAAGCTCAAAATTACGCATTTGTAGTTATTTAGTACTAGGGACGAGTTTTTAGCTATCTTTTCTGGTGGGTTTACATTTTAAAGCAAGGTTTATTCACAAAAAATTCTTAGATACAAAAAACGCAACACCAAGCAACACAACACGTCGAGCACAAACCTCGCATTGATGTGACAGAAAGACCAACAACATCATGGTTAACTGATTAACAAAAGTGACGTAGAAATCTAAGGCTAAGGGGTTCTACAGTCCTTGGGGTGCAATTAAGACCAACATCGCCCCCTTCTATAGCATCTATTTCAATAGCAGAGATATCAATGCTAGTGTAGATGGGGTGCGCAATGATAAGAATCCTTCTAAGAATGACGGACCACGCTTCTTTGCGTATAATTGAAATTTTCTTCTGTTCTTCCTAGCTTCACCTAAAGAGACAGTTGGTCACAAATGTGACACTGGTTGTCCGTTTATATACCGACAGGTTTGTGGCAGTGATGGAGTGACATACGACAATCTTTGCCTGTTAAAAATTGCAGCATGCAAAGCGAATGAGAACATTTATGCAGTGAAGGAAGAACCATGCTGACCTGGCATACCCCATCCTTTTTTACCAAAAGACTTTAAAGCTGATAGCATTGCTTTACGAAATATGAATAGTTTATGAAAGCTGAAGTTAAATAATTCTACTCCATTGCCTTCTACTTCATTGTAGTCACAACCTTTTGTACACGGAGGGATGAAGCATACGTGGAGTTTTTCTGTTACATCGCTATTCTTTAGAATGATGCATCGAGGGTTGCAGAAAGCGAACATGAAACTAAAAGGTTTTTATAAGATTTACCACATTAAAGCGGCTAGCGAGAAAGACAACCGAACCGAGGTATTCAAAAATGGCTTAACAAATAGAACAAACATGGTTTTTTCTCTAGCGAAAATTAATTGTTGATAGTGGGGAACAATGATTTTTTTAATATATTACTGCTAAGGCGAAATGGTTTGAGAGAGAGAGTGATGATAAGATATATCCTTTGAATGAATTGGAAATAAATTATCTATCCAGATATCATGCAATATGAAAGATATTGAAAGAGAAGGTTTCCTTTTCTTAAAAAGAAATTCAAAACTTTTCGGTGACAGGCACCACCTCGATGCCCCCCCCCCCCCCTACAACTTTTTGCAAAAATGGAAACAATTAAGAAAAGAAAGAAACCACTTTTCTAAAGCCTGATAGCTTCTTTTTAATCAGTTTTAGCACCCGCACATTTTTTAGACTCCCCATTTTTCTCAACGCACCGCGGTGCCTGGATGATTAGGTTCTTCTGCATTCAAAATGGCCTTAAAATTGCCTTTTGAACAAAACATGAATTAGAGAGGAGCTAAGCTGGAATTTTTAAAAACCTTCATCAATATTTTAAATGTTTACAGTAGCCTTGTTTAAAACGGATCCAAATATGAACTATGATGTAATGCTTGATATATGAATTCCGCCAATTAACACCATAAGAACGCTTTCAATATTTTACCAAAGATAATTCAACATCAATGTTCTTTAAAGTGTTGAGACACTTGTAAGTGCTGTTAAGTGTTGTTTTGTAATCTTCAGGGATATTTGAAAATAGGCACAAATATTAAATCGATCGAAGGATAATTTTAGCTGTTCTAGATGTTTCGGAGCATCTTTGAGTGTTTCTGAGATCATTTAAACAGCCCAGAAAACAATGTCACACCAAGTCAAAAGTCAAAAGGAACAGAGTCACAACAGCAGTTCTTAAAATTGTTCTCAGGTAGCCGATTTCAGCTAAACTTCAACATAGGTATCTCTCTTAAATTTCCAAACTACAACTGCACTATAGCAAAACAAAAACCACTTGAAATTCCTACCGAAAAACGCAGGTCGTAGATCCGGAGGCAGCGGGCGACAGCATGGTTACGGCTTTGAAACAGGGAATAGAACCTATGATAGCTTCCAATAACAGAAAACAGCAAAAAAGCAGTTCGAGTAACGAGAATCCTGTTACAAAGTGGGGAGAGAGAAGCAACTCAAGCTTTCATGCGTGAATGCAATCGTTTCATGTAAAGAATGCAATCGATACACGAGTGTGGAAAAACAACACACAAATACATTTACTTAAAAAAACAACTAAAATGAATGAGCTTTATTGATCTGCTAATAATATCCAAAACAATAAATAAATTTTTTATCAACCCCTCTTTTTTCAATTGGACTATAGCTATAACTGAATAATTCGCTTTTTACAAATGAGAGAGAATGGCCTTCACGTAACGGAAACGTGTTTTATGCTACGTAACCGCACTGGCAAAATCCGTACCACACAGTGAAGAAATCAAACAATTTCTGGGACTAAGACGCTAAAGCTGTGAAAGTTTCTGCACTTATGTAAATTCTTCCTTGAATGATTCTCAGCTGTCTATTGGTCAACTTTATCAACAGGAAATACAAGTACCCTCTTATTGCCAAGATAAATTTTCTTCTGTTTTGCAAGCAAATTAGCATGGAGGAAAATGGCAGAGACAGAGAAAGTAGGTACGTCATAACGAGAGCTGGGTGGAACTTGATGCACCGCAATCATTTCATTTCCTTTTTAAGCCTTTATCCAATAACGTTTATCGCGTCAAAGAGCAGCGGTAGCTAAGCAAAAAAGTATGCAAATTTGGAAAGGTGAACAGTTAGACTACAAATGAGTCACTGGTTCAGATGCGGTCGTTGGGGTTAATCTTAGGTCTTTGTAAAATTATATGTCACAGCGATGGAAATAATAGTGTCATTTCAAAAAATTACATTAAATATATTGCATAAATAGCAATGAAAATGTAAGAGAGGCATCGAAATAAACACTGAAAAGAATCTAGCCCAGCAAGTGACTAACCTACTTATTCAGCTCCCTCGTATCTGTTAACAACAATGTCAAGATTTTGCATAATTTAGTGCCAATCCACGAGAATTCCTTCAGTTATACTCGTTGCGGCTCTGCGATTCTCGTGTAGCCAGCTTTTCCAAGCGTAAATATCAGGTAACAGGTTGCGATCATACCAATAGCCTGCAAAGGAAATGCCGTATATTCAAGCAGAGTAGCAGGGTAACAAATCACTGTCACGTCATCAACGATCCAGCCTCTAAGTTAGTCAAAGTCAAGCTTAAAAACCATTAGTTTTATTGGCCAAAAGCTATGGCAAAGGTTACTTAAAGAAATTAAAAAATTCCAATCACTACATATCTTTAAACGGAACATATTATCTGTAGAAAGTTTGGAGTGCAGCCTATAATTGGGTTTTTATACATTTAGGGTTTTCATAATAATTACTTTTTATATTGTAAAAAAGTTGGCTTGAATCAGCTTTAAAACACAGCTTAATCTCGTTGCCAGCAGTAAATAAATTGATAATAATTATTCATTATTATTACCATAAAATAATTATTCTTCCTATAAATGGGTGGCAAAATCTAAGCTTTACCATGAGTAAGAAATGACTGAGATTTTAGTGAGAAATATTTAGATTTTAAAATAAATTTGAAAAAATGTAAATATATGTTTGAATTTATGCACCTGGAATATGGCAAATCCAATTCCAACACCGACAATTGCATTCAAACTGCCTTTGACGTAATCTGATAATTTCTTAAAGCATCCCTGAGAAGGAAGATATTGGGATTCAAAGAATACAATATCGTCAAAGAATAGAACAAATTTCCGGGAACACAGCTGGTTTCAAAGAATTCTGGTTTTCGATGAAAGCGACAGAAATTTCACTTCCTTTTTGATGAGGCATTGTTAGGAGGGGCATTAATTGGGGAGCATCGAATTCAAGTAAGAGGAAATTTGAATAGGAAAAACGACAATTTATCAATGAAATTTGTAGTTTAACGTACTACGGATGTCTACTGCCTATCACAAAGTTGCTTTATACCTTCAAAAAATACTACTATAATTTTTTATATATATATACTTCAAAATCTCAAATATTAAGGAAAGATGAATTTCAGACAAGATATCAGTAAAGATAAAGTGTTGATAAGTTGATGGTTGGAATTCCAACTTTACATTTCGTTCACACATATTAAGAAGAGCTGGTGTCAGAAGAAAGCTTCTCTGCATTATAAGAAAGAAGCGGATGTTGTTTGCTAGCCATATACATTTAGAAAAGGCGACATCGAGAGAGCTGTGATGACAGGGAAAATCGAAGGCAAGAGAGATTGTGGCATACAGAGTCTCGCGTATTTTCATAGTCTCAACGACTGGGCATCCAACGGATTGAGCGGATAGGAGAGAGGATTTGAGGCTCATGACCAATGCTTGCAACTTGTCTGGCACACAAAAATGCAATTGCAAAAAAAGTCTAAAAGATTTACAAATATAAAAGCAGCATTTTCAAGAAAAAATTATTTTCTATACAAAAAATTATTTTCTAAAGCACAAAGAACAAGTAGTAGTGAAATTATTTGTTTCATAACAAAATAAAATTCATCCAACCTCTTGGTAGACATTTGCAATGAATATGTAACCGCATTCGGAATTCGGATGGCGGCAGCATGATTTTGGAATCTCTCCAGTCGCAGTCACATTCTTCCAGTCATTGGGACCCATTACACCACAACAATGTAACTAGAAAATGTAATAAATTTTGAAGGTATTATAAGGCACTGCAGATCCAAGGGACCGTGGTTCGAGTTCTTGATATGGCAAAACTTTCACTTAAATTGCAGAGAGATGTCAGCTCTCTGTCATTCCAGGCTTAAGAATCGCTAGGTTTGGTCACATTAAGGGGAACGAGTAGGAGACTGCTCGATAAGCACAGCTTCTCAGTGTCCTAAAAACCCCTTTCAGGTGCTAGGTAGTAACAAATACAAATCCAAAGCTACATATTTACTTTTGCATATCACTTGTTTAGATCTTTGAATTTAAGAAAACTGAAAATGTTAGGAACAAATGCCGTTAATGTGCATGCAACTTTCATAAGGCTTTAAAATAAAGAGGAAATCAAAGATGTATCTATTTTGATCAAAACACTATTTTTACATTCATTCCAGTTGAGGTCAACTTTCGAAATTTGGTACTTTTGATGCTTAGAATAACTATAGAGTTTTCTTGAATCTTGAAATTATCGGGCAATGATTGTAAACAGATTATAGATGAAAATGTGAAAAGAACAAGAACAAGTAATGATCCTTGTGGAACATAAGGAATAAGAAATGACACTCTACATAAATGTTGGCCCATCTACTTGCTCTCGTTTCTTTGAATACTAGAAAATCCAGAGCAAGGCAGAAATTAGTGGAGCAAACAAGTTAAAACTTTACTAAATCATTGGCATTATTTCACGTAGATCCACTCACCTCTGACTGCATTTTATTGAAAGCATCTCTGATGAATGTTTCATCTTTTAGGGGATATTTATGCAATGAATTGGTAAGATCTTGTTTTACACTGTTTGAAATCTATGCAGAAAATAGACAAATGGTGTGATTGACATGATCAAGAATATGAGGCTGTGGTGTGAACAAAAACATTAAAAAGTACCTTTTTGCTATAAAATTTGAAAAAATCAATATAAAAATTTAAAAAATGTCAAACAATTTATGGATAAGAAATTAGCAGAAACTTAATTCTTTCCAGATGGCTTGAATTCTACATTTCCCTCCATTACAAAGTTAGGATAATATTAAAACATTGCGATTTATTATCCTGGTCATGATTTTGAATCTTTTTGTTGTCTAAATAGTGCAAGAAAAACCAAAATACAATTTACTTGGTACATGTATTTTAATTCTTATACTATAAGGTGATTCAATTTTTATTATAAGCAGTTTCAAATAAATTTTCAACAAATAGAAAATAATATGTAACACAATAGTTAATAGCTAAGATGACTTTTGTGTTTGGTCACATTTTCTAATAGCAAAGTGCAATTCTGATAGATGGATAATTATTTATAATTGGATAAAAACTTAACAATTCAAAATAGCTTTTATTTAGATTTGAAGTTCTGATATTTTTACAGATTTTTGTTACATACCACATTTTAGTTACCATTTTTCATTGTTTTATGTTACGTTTTTAGATAATTTTGCTAAGTTGTGAGCATTTTCAAAATAGAGCACAAATGGTTATGGTGAGTGCTGTGAAAAATAAGTCTGCTTAAAATAGCATAAAAAGCCCTTAAAATACGACAAAAATATATTATCCAAATCCTGTTTGGTACGATTTTATCCAAAGACTTTCAATTATAAAAAGTACCCAGCATTTATATAAGATAACCTTGTTACTTTGGAAAGTCTACATTATCAACTTGGGTTGCCTAAATTCTTCATGTAATTTACAGTGTTAGGAAATGGAAGAACAGAAAGCTCATCAAAAAATTGTTAGATATTTGTCCCTGGCTGATGTGATGCTTTATAAATATTGGACAGGAATGAACAAAATTTGATATGATGTGAGAAAAGGCCTGCTTTTATATTTTGCAATCTCGTGTACAATGACAGGATAAAATGTATTCAACAGATGTTGTATAACTTAACATTAAGACTTCCACAAGCTGCCTTAAATTCTAGATAAATATATAAAATCCATCACAAATGTTCAGAGTTGGCCAAAACCTGCCTCAAATTCTTGATCATGTCATGCAAAAACTTGACAAGAGATTCCTTTACAAGAAAATTGAATGCAATATTTAACAGAGATCTGATTAGGGATTTGTTTGGCTTCCAAAATCATTTTTGAAAAGAAATACAGAATAAGAAAATAAGATCTTACAATTTTTAAATAATTTTTGAGCTCTTAAATTCAGCTAGTAGCAACATAGAACATACCTCAAAAGCAAAAAATGATGTGCATTATGGCATTGTATACTACATATGATAATTATCATACTGGCAAATATATATTAAAATCACTATACCCTGTTTCGGTAACTGTAACCAAGACATCCTGCCAATATTTCAAGAATAATAATCATGAGGAGAAATGTGAAGAACTGAAAAAGAAAAAAAACATTCAACAAAAGAACTGAACTTATCAACAACTTTTCAAGATAAGTACTTAATTATCATTCTATACACAAGAAATGTAAAAAGCACAAACAAATCACATATCAGCTTTGATTTTATTAATATATAGCTCTAGAAATCAGCTTCTTATAATGCACAGATGCAGCTGCAACATTGATATTCTTAAATAATGTTAGCAAAAATACCTTAAAGATAATTAACAGCATTGGTCATTAAAAAAAAGATAAAAATTTATTCAATTTGCAAAGGAACTGCACAGACAGTCTAGTAGCAAAGACAAGTTTAAATATCATTGCTTGAGTATTTATGGATGTGGCTTTTTCTATATCAATTTTGAAACATTGACTGGTGATTGCATAAGGCATGAAACACAGAATAAGAACTTGGAACCGTTCTGTTCTCGACACCAAAAACAGCCCTGGCAATATGAAATTCGTTAGCATGCTGTTAATCACATATAAACATAAGGGGACAGTAAACAATAAAATACAATATCAAGTTACCACTCCAAGGCAGCATCTGTTACTTCTTCCTGTTCCATAAAGACCAATGATGGCAGCAACAAAAAATATAATGGATAATCCAAGAATAATTGCTGCTGGGACAATTGCATACAAATCAACAGCCACTCTTGTGTAGCTGCTCCAGTTTTTTACGAAGAAAACTGCAAGGTAGACAAGCAAAGCAGCAAAGCCCTGAAAGGAAATTAATATTTACCATCATAACAGTTTTCTGATAATCTCACTAAGAGTGAGACTCAAAGTAGCAACTAAGAACCCTCCTGTTCACAGACTGGAAACTTTGTTGCAATATATTACCAGGGCACACCTCTGTGCACTTTTGCATATTGGCCACACAAAAATCCCTAGATAATAACAATATCATTACCTACTCAAAAAATAGCTAAGAATGTATAATTTCAGGCACACAGTCTCAAATTTTCAAAATAAATTGTCCACGCAAGAAACAAAGTTTCCAGTCTGGTCCTGTTCTATACATTAAAATCTCTATAATTAAGATAGCACATTTTTCTTTATACTTTCTGGTAAACATGCCCAATCTATCTAAAGATGATATCTAAAGATTAAGCTTTCCATCAAATATTTTCATTGGTATTTCAGAATACAGAAAATCCATTGCTAGATAAATTTTTGAGATTTAAAAAATAGTATAACGCAGGCCTTTTCAGGCAAAAAAAATTTGCAAGGGCAATAAACTGCTGCACTTGGATCAGCTTACCTGGGCAATCACCCACCCAATGCTATTTGTTAAACGAAGTTTTTTAGAACCTGAGGGGAGATTAGGGTATTATCTAGCCACAACTGCCTAACCTGCCAAACAGTTTGTAACCAAAATATTTGATGTAAAAATATAAAATGTCAACAATGAGGAAATGATGCTTTGTTTTCATTAACAACTTGACCCTTCATTCAGGAATACCATAACTTAGAGACGGAAGAAAAGAAAATACGTCAGGTTTGACCAGCTAAACAAAAACATAAGCTAAAACTTGAAATCAATCAAGATCACCATCTAGAAGTTCGACATTTTAAAGTCTCTCTTCAGTGTATGAATCACACTCAGTTTACGACTCGGTTGAAAAATGTTCTCCCTCATCCTCCCCCCGATTTCATCCTCCCATGTTTTAAAATTCTTTTGGAGCTTCAAGACAAGTCTGTTACTTGACGGCTCCTCTATAACAGTCTTACGTTTTTTCCTCCATATAAAATATCTACAGCTATTTTTATTATAGCATTTCATTACATTACTGTCCATTTCTTATCATTTTTGCTTAATATTTGTTGTTCTGGCTTATGAGAAACCCACGTCCGATGTGAGGGTCATCAAGGTTCATGTGACAACAGACTTTGAAGAAAATTTGTTACGGATCGCAGAAATCTGGCAATTTCTGGACAGAACGACAGACTTCTACACATTTGCCGGACACAGATTTTCTCAAAAATGATGCAAGGGATAAAGAATCTTTTTAAAGTTTTAAGGATTTGTGGAATTCTTCACCTGTTGTCTTTTAAAAACATCTCTTTGAATAAAGGTCCTATCAAAATATTTAAGGTGCTGAATTTTGGCTAAAAATAAAAGGAATCACAGATTTCAACCCCCTTGATGGCCCCTTTTTCGATAGCACTGGTTTAACATAAAGCTAAAAGGCCTGAAGGAAAATGCTTGACGATGCCACAAGATGTGAACTGAACAATAGTGACAACAACAATAGCGACATTTGTTGCTATTTTTCCCTTAAGTGATCTACCTTTCTCTTGTGGGTAATACATGTTTTTGAGAGGGTGGTCATTAGCTCATGTTAATAATTTGGAGAGGGTGGTGGTAAGGGCGATTGCCTGCATGAAACAAAAAAGGCCTGGCATAACCTTAGAAAAACTGAGCTAAGCATCTACATTTATAATGACATTGGGCATTAAAGAGCAAAATAACAAATATACATGCAAAGAAGATTGTCACAAAGCAGAATGATCTGCATCAAATCATAGTTTGTCATTATTTTCAGCAGGTGTCAATGAATGTGTATATAAACTCTAGTCAACGTATTTACAACAATTAACAAACACAATCGATAATCATTTCACCATCATGTACACTTATGTTAACAAAGTATTAGGACACCTTCGATAAAAGAACTACAGATGATGCTGTGTTGTACACTTTTGCAACAAAAACTTGTTCAGATATAAAAAGCAGTATTTTTTTCTAATAATCTAACCCTATGTATCCAAAATGTGGTTAAAAGTTGGAAAAACACTTCAACTTCTGAATCATAAATATAAAAGCATTGGATTATTACAATTTCCTTTTAGAAAATAACAGCAAAATTTGCAAAAGAGTTGTATGGCCTAAAGATGGCAGACTCGCATGACCCTGATAATTTTTTAGAGATGCCTTAATGAATTCAATTTTTTAGATTGACATTTGCATAACAAAAAGTTTATAAAGGAAATTAAAAAAAATTAAACCTTTGAAATTCAAACAAAGTTTACCGAATCAACAAAAAGGTTACAATTTATAAAAATTATTGAATTTACTCAAGCTAGTATGTACTTTTAAAACTGCATAGCACTGTACTTTTTAGTGACAATTAATGTTTGCTATGAAAGAGCATTTTCTTTTCATAAAGCTGGAAAATTGGTATTTCTTATGATTTTTATAGCCATGCTTTTGTTTATGTTCTTAGAGTTAGCTTCTTTTTACTTGAAAATATATTGTCTGGCAAGGATTCAAACTTTTTACATCGCACTTCCCTCAGAAAGGACCTTTATAAACTCTAGTCAAACAGAAAGGACCATCGTAAACTTTTTACACTTTTTGTATGGAAAAACTTTTTACACACCACAAAAGCTCCACTCATTGAGCAGACAACAAATGTGGAAATGGACCAACATTTTAGATTCTGGCGACTCAATCAATGTCACCTACTTGGATATAAATAAAGCATTTGATACAGTTCCTCTCGAGCGTCTATTAGTTAAATTGTCCTCATGGAATAGTGGGGAAGACACTAGAGTGGATTAAATCATTTCTGACATCTAGAAAACAAAGAGTAGTTGTGAACTGAGAGGTCTCAGACCGGTCAGATGTCACTAATGGAGTGCCCTAAGGGAGCGTCCTTGGATTGATTCTGTTTCTTTGCTATATAAACGATCTTCCGCCAGTTATTCAGAATAAGGTGAAAGTGTTTGCTGATGACATTAAAACCTACTCTGAAGCTGACAGTATTGAGGATAGCAGAAATCTCCAAAAAGATCTTGATCAAATCAGTGATTGGAGTAAGAGGTGGAATGTTACGTTCCATCTGCAAAAGGGCAAAATATTGCGAATTGGGAAGAAAAATCCCTCATTTGATTATTGCATGACAGATTCCGATGGCAATGAAATAATATAAGATGTTGTAGACCAAGAAAAAGACCTTGGTCTTACCCTAGACAAGGAGTTAACTTTTAGACAACATGCTGATCTGACTGTCTCCAAGGCTAATCGAATTACGGGTTTCATAAGACAATCATTTACATACATTGATGAAAGGTCTTTTTCAATGTTGTTCAAAACACTGGTGAGACCGATACATGAATATAACAACACAATCTGTCATCCACACTTTAAATCTATTGATGCCAAAATTGAATCTGTGCAAAGACGAGCTACAAAAATGATCCATGGAACAAGGAACCTAAGTTATCCCGAATGCCTTAAATCTGTGGATTTATCAATTCTAGCATTTTGATGCTTAAGAGGAGATATGATTAAAGTATACAAATATCTAGATGGAAAGTATGATGTTGACACCACATGAGTTATTCATGCATAGATCAAAGAGAATTTCACAACACATGTGGACATCAATTGAAACTGGTAAAATCTGGTTCAAGGTTAAACAATCGGAAGAACTTTTTCACAGAGAGATGGATCAGTACCTGGAATAGCATTGGGAAGAACAGAAATTAAAACTGGAATTTTTTGTTTAAAGATTTATTTCTTTTGTTTTGCTGTTAAAAATCAAGAACTGAGGTGGCCCAACTGCAGAAGGAAATTAGATGTGTCTGGAGATTGTCTGGAGTAGTTCTTGAAATTCTAAGTTACAAGAAAATAAATGTTCCCTCGAAGTTCCTTCACTATTTTTGAAATTTCAAAGTTCCTGGGTTTTTATCTCCAATTTGTAGGTCCTACATGGTTTTTCCACAACCGATCCCTACCGCTGCTCTTGAGCCACCTCCAAATTGATGAAAATAATAGTATTTTTAATTAGATTAATGAACAAGCGCAGCAGCGCTTACAACATCAAAATTTATATGATATGATATAATACTTTTTGAGCGCAAGTGAGATTTTATATTTTATAACGTTTATATAAGGTAACGATGTCCTAAAATGTTATGGGCGTGTCGCCTATTAATAAATAATGGTTATATTATAAAACGCTAATCAATTGCTTAAACAATTCTCGGTCTTCGAAGAAATCCTATTTTTACTTTTTATAGCTTTACATTGCATTGATCGTCGAATGCTGAGAAAGTCCTGTGGCAAATGATTCATTCTTCATGCCATGACGAAAGATTGGTTGTTTGCTGTGGGAACTTGCGCGGTGAAGACACCATCTAGCATGATACCAAAATTTCAATCTATCCCCTCATAAAGTAGTAAATCAAAGTGTAAACTTACAAGATAAACAAGGTTGTAGAAGTACAGGAATGCCTTCCCACAAGGTGTCGACATAGTTTGGTTCTAACTAATGCACAACAAGATGCTTCTCGCTCTCTTACTCAACTGTTGCTGCTGTTGAAGAAGGGGCCAGCCTCCTTTCCGAACCGAAATAATAACAATAAAATTAAAACTTTCCGAACTTTAAGGGAAAACTGAAAGGTGGGTTCAATTCTATAAGAACACTCAGATAAATACCAAGCACTAGTGGAAAGCCACCTGAGATATGGAAACTTGAGGTGGGGCCATTTGCCTGTAAAAAAACTGCTCACTGCAGAAGATACAAGATAGGGCATTTTACTTTATTGAATCCGCTCCTATTAGGGATCAGATACTGTAGAAACTATCTAGTGTACCAACACCAAAACTATCTGCTGGTTAAGAGATTTAATGTTAAAGTGCCAAGAGAACACTAAAGGAAACACAACAGTTGTATCCAATCCTTCTTCATTGTACACCTCAATACTGATAAGAAAAACAGGATACAAATTTTACGTCAAAGATTTTTTATAAATAAATTTAAAATGCATATGCAGATTAATAAATGTCGTTAAGCTGTTTGTTTAGACCGATGAATAGCTTGACTCAGCCCATGATTAGCCTGAGTCAGCTTAACACGCCGTTAACCAAATCTATTATGGGTACCTACACAAACATTAATTACGCAAGCAACGATATGAATAAACAAGAAGAAAAAACAAATCTCTATGCGAAAAGCATGTGCTGCAGTGCTATATTAAACGCGCTGGCATGAATGAAAAATCCCAACAGATACCATCCGCACGACTAAACGTTGAGATGGTTATCGCATATGACCGAGCCATAATGGTGCACAAGATTTTAGAGGAAATGTGTCTAGATAATCCTAATGAAAAGTTAAGTGAGGAAAAATCAGGTCTCAAAAAATGAAACTCGTAGAATAAACGACTTGCAAATTCAAAGACCACGGTTGGAAACTTAAAAAAAGGTTTTTCATATGTCGGTGCAAAGGTCTGGAATGATACCCCAAACGACATAAGAAATATGGAAACCTTTTCAAACCAAAAATGAAAACCTACCTCTAATAAAGTAAAATCAATATAGAAATAAGAAAATGACCTCCTGGTAGACCAGTTTTTATATTTGCCTTATTTTGTTTTGTATGCAAATACTCTTTTATATCTAAATACTATTTTTTGTTACTGAAGGAGTATCATGTTTATATAAAGTATTTGAAATATGAAATATATTTGGTCTTGAAATTGCAAAATACTACATATAACTCACAGAAACAAGCATCAAATTGAACCTTTTCACGTAAAACATGTCTCGATCTTCTAAATTCTTATCGGACTCCCCATCCCTACTTAGATTTGTTTGCGCTGTCCCTGACTTTGTGTCAGCGACTTTCATTCTGAGACCAACAGATACGGTAAAGAGGCTTAAAAACACCTAGAAACAGAGTCGCTAGGGATGTTTGAAAATGCCATTAATTCTCAATTAATAGGTCGTACATCATTGTTCGCTGTTCTTTACTCATCCTCGATGAATTCAAGATACTGCAAAGAAAAGACAACTAAACCACAGAATTGTTCTAGACTTGAATATACAGTCTTACTCTTTGTGTTGACTACTGCTCTGTTCCTGATCAACCGCAAAAGTATCACAGCCTTGGTTACTTTAGTGCGTTAACACGGCAAAATGTCTGCTAATGGAACAACTGTTTCTACATGGCCCTACGAGCCAATTGATATTAATCAGGGTATAATACTTTTTCTTCTGGCGTTTGCTGGGGTGGTTGCAAATGTTGTTGCATTCTGTGCAACACTGCAGCTCCCTAGAGCTCTGCAGTCATCGATTAATACATTTGTACTCGCGTTGTCTTCAGTGGATCTTCTATGCCTTGTCCTGGCACCGTTACCAACATTCATATGCTACGTCACGCGGTCCTGGGTTGGTGGACAACACATGTGCAAGTTTCAAGGCTGCATATCAATTTTTGCAGCTTTTGCGTCAGGTTGCTTTGCCACCGCAATGGCCATCGATCGTCACGCGGCAGTTTGTAGGCCGTTTGCTTACAAGAATTTTCTCACGCAGAGGTGGCCTTTGCGTGTAACCATCTCTATTTTGCTTGGTTCTTTAATTATTGCAGTATTGCCATTGATTGGGTTTGGTGACTTTGTACGAAATCTTACTGGAACATATTGTGGTTTAGACTGGTTTGCTTCAGCTCCACTTAGCAGGACTTACGCAATCATGTTTGCCTGCATGGGAATTTCTCTGATTCTTGCTGTGGTTTTCGCTAATACGAGCATTGCAGTCAAAGTTTGCCAACGGACCAGAAAGAACTCTTTTCACAGAACGCAAGAGAATTCCCCTGAAAAAAAGTTAACGAGGACAGTCGTGGTTGTTTCTGTACTTTTTGTAATCTGCTGGCTTCCTTATATGGTAAGATTCAAGCCATTTCCACAATTTCATGAAAGAGTTCTTGTCTAAAAGGTGTCGGATTTTTATGAAACTGTTGCTTTACATCTTTGAGATATTCTTAACGTTCTAAAAGGGTCATTCTTAGACAGAAGAGGAGAAAAGAGACTCTATCTATCAATCCCAGCTTAACTGTGATATTCAAAGAACGGGAAAAAAGAATGACAAAATGGCGTTCTTGAGCTTTGACATCCAAAAGATTTTATGATAGTAATATATTAAATATCATTAGATGTTATCAGGTGAATCATGTTAATTACATTCAATGGAAGGTTCCATCGATATATACACTACTTAGCAAAACACACTACTTACAGTGCCGTTGGAATGAATTTCATATTGGGGGGAGGGTCTACCCATTCTATTGCTTCCCATTCAGTACACTGTTGTAAAGGAAAAATACTACAGGATGACAATTATTGGGGGCACCAGCCCCCAAGCCCCCCCCCCGTTTCCCACGGCCCTGATTGCAAGATTACTTTTCTACAGCACTACCTAAAACGTTACACCAGGGAGCAAATGACGGTCTTCCGTGCGAACTCAGGTTGGGTACTTAAAGGTGGGCATGAAGTTTGAGTAAGAAACTTTTAATCTTCCTTTTCCTTTATTTTCCAATAAGTGCCCCTTTCCAAATGAGGCGTTTTTCAAGGGCATCGTCAAAATTGGGGGCGTTTACGTGAAAAAATAACAATTTTTTTAAACATTATCTTGTATATTTTACCTTTTAGAGATGCGTGTAATATGCTTGCTAGCCCTAAACAAATCCTAACATAACCAACATTAAATTGAAAACTGTTTTCAAGGTTCGTATCATATGCAATCAAGCTGGGTGGTGGAGAGATCCTTGGGTTGACGTTCAAGTATCAAGATTGATGTTACTCAACTTCGCACTCGACCCATTTCTATACACATTATCGAGAGCTCAGTGCAGAAAGATTGTTGGAGGATGGTTGGGTTATTGTTGCACACCTTGTATGAATGCCCTTAAGAAAACAGGAGACGTCAAAAGAAGCACGCAGGATTCTTCGACAGTACCTCCATTTACGGTTAGCAATAACGAGGCCTATCAATGCACAGAGACAAGCCTCACAGATCTATCAAGATGACAGTCATCAAGAGATTCTATCGATTGTGACTCAGATATTCTGTAATTCTAGCGACTGTGACTCAGAACCTTCGTGTATATTCTGTAATTACTGAAAGTCTTTAAGGCAGTCGTCACTCTGAAAAGGGTTTTCTCAGTATGGTAGCATACAGTAAGTATTTAGAAAGGCTTTCTAAAACTAGTTACAATTATTTGAGTATGATTATGCTGTGATTACGCAAATACCCCATCGTGCAACGAAAAGTCAACGAGGGAAATTAATAATTGTAGTAACTATGAGTGTAACGTTTAAGGGGGGGGGGCTTGCTTAGTATGGGTCTTACTCGAATTTTATTGGCTCATTGCCCGATTGCCCGAATGGGCCTGAACTTCAATAAATTTTCCTGATTTAGGGGGAGGAGGAGGGCCGCCCCTATGTCACCTACACCTTTGTTTACATTGCGTGGCTCTTGAACATTTTGCTGATGGCAAAAATCTAGAAATTCGTCCGTCAATAATCTCCAATAATTCAGTAACAATAGTCTTGTATACCAAACCGATAGAGATGCGAAAACTCTAAGACCTACAGGCTTGGTTTGGAGAAATCTTTTCACCAAATAAGAGGAAGATTTTGTTTACAAAAACAAAATTCTTTATCTTTGTTCTCAGTTCATTGTAGAAATTAAATTACTAATAATACAAATCATCTTACTAAATGGCAAATCATCTTTCTTGATTTTAGTTCAACCTTTGCAAAATTTTTGCGCAAGAATATTTCCATTTCCTGTGTTATTCATCTCACAAAAGTCACGTTGGTGTCCAGGGTTAATGTAGATTTCTTATTGTAGATTGTTAAACATGGTGTAAATGGTAGGAATGCTTAAATATTAAAGCACGATGTTTAGTGTTTTAATTATTTTCTAATATTTGAAACATAGCCCTTTGGTTACCTTCTCCGTATTAAATGTTAGCTTTGCTATGAATGAATCTTAACTATGAAACTATGAATCTTTTAAAAACTATGCTTATATAAAAACTAATTGGCGTATTTGCTTAGGCATCCTACAGCCGTTTTCTTGATTCTTTGAATCACTTTGTTAACTTTCAAATTTATATAGTTTTCTCGTTCTTTGTTTTTTGTGAATACATTCGAGCAAGATAAAGTTGTCAAAAGTTAAGTCAATGAAAGTATTCCTCGAACTTTTCTCAAAATGGTCAGTGACTACACAGCATTAGGTATGATAACTTTTTTTGACCAGTAACTACTCATCGATCCACCATGGAGAAGTTACCTGGAAATTTCCTGGTTCAGTGCAGTACTTTGCTGGTTCAAAAGAACCATTTAGTATTCTAATGTACTTTTCATCATAAATAAAAGAATGAATATCTGATGGTGGTTAAAGGTAAGTAAAAATTTACATTCAGATGCTGAGCCATAAGAACGCGAGAGAATGATTGGTACGTTTCTTTAGTAAGTCTGTGATCGCTAAAATCTCACCTTTTTAACAAAGTCCAATAGGTGACTGCTCATCTCTTACCCAGAGAGAAAATAAAACCCTTCTATCCATGAGCCAAATCTCGATTCAAATTTTTGGAACGAAAACAGAAACAAATTTGGACATAGTGTAATAGAGCTAGAATTTTGTCAGCTAGTATGTAATAGATTTATTTAGCAGTTGCACTTTGTTTTGTTTACGTATCTACTTTGTATATTACGTAGATCATTAGGATATAATAGAGCACCACGCAGTTTTACACAGCATTCCATTCTTTTGCGTATGATTACCCCTCATTAGGATTACACCATGTTGCATAGTCATTAATTGGGTAACATTTTATGCTTAGTTGTGCTTTTCTGTTATTTCCTTGTACGTATAAATATATGTAGTTTGTTAGATTCGGGGAGATTCGGAGAGAAATTCAGAAGGTATAGACAGGTAAGGTTAAACATCAGAAGGAAGCTAACCGTATCGCCCAAGAGGCTCGCGAAAGCTCTTGCAGCCCAGTTTGCATTTAGGACAGGCAGTGCTTGAGAAAGACTGCGCTGTACCTCGTTATATATTTCATCAGATTGTTATATATCTTAAGTATTAGAGTTCGCGGAGAACCGTCGTTGTTTATGTTAGCTGTTTAGATTAGAGTTTAGCTTTGGGATGTTATAAGATGGAAATGGAAAGGAAACGTATAGCCGCTCGCAAGAAACCTAATTCTTTACAGTATCAGTCTTCCGATTACTCTCGCGATTTTAAACTTCTATTTTACAATAGATACAGCGTAACTTTTAGCTAACGAAATTAAGAAATTCGAAAAATGCGTGCAAAGTTATTGTCACGATTTATTGAATTTAAAGATTCATTGAATTTATTTATTACAATTGAATTTTTAATTTGCTAAACGTGTTACAAGATAAATCATTATTTTAAACAAGTTTTAATGAAATTTTTTAATTATCAGGGTTCAGCCTCAGAGAGATTTGTGTGTGTGGCGAAATCAAGTTATGGGCAATTGCAATTGGTAGCATGTACAGGACACACACTCATTGAGGGGTAAATCTGCCACCTGTACCTGTATCAAATCTTTTTCAGTATATCACACTGTTTCATCATGTTCGATGCCTTTATCGTTATCGTGTTTTGCAACTAAATTATTGAAAACCCCAATTAGTCAAAGGCCTGGAACCGCTGTTTTCCGTTTCTGATTCTGGAACATTTCCAAGAATTTTTTATTTGAACTCGTTTTGAACTCGAGGCACAAATTTCAATGGCGGGATAGTGATGTTTATCGTACTTTGTTCGTTGCGTTTTTGAAGCACTAAATTCTAGAAATTGGAAATGGAAGAAAGACTGCTGGCAGCTTTTTCTTCAGATCTTAAAGTATCAGACGAGAAGAATGACACTTCGGCACCACATCCTCGGTAGTTAAACAATTTCATAGCTCTGTTTGCTTTAGCTCGCTCAGCTTTGCTGATTTATTTTGCTTTAAGCAACGTTACAGATTTATTTATCTATTTTATCCTGAGTTTGTTCACTACTTGTAAAATCTGAATTCATCCAGAACGGTGAAACTTAATTATGCTATTTTCCGTTCAAATACACTCATTTTAAAAGAACCAGAGAAATTCTACGCTGCCCAAGGGTGTTTAAATTCGAGTGTCAAATGTTTTCAATGTTGTTCTTATTTCAAAATTGATTTCTCTAAAACTTCAGTATCACTGTTGATTAGCTGTTACGTGTGCATTTTTAACTAGTCATGTTCTTACTTTTTTTTACTATTTGGTCAAATGAGCCTTGTTGTTTTAATAAAGAAAGTGTATGTGGAGAGAGTTTTTGTTAATCTACGGTTTTTTTATTCAAAGAACCCAATCAATTTTTTGATTATCTCTTCTGTTACCACAAATAAAAGCTACTTTTGCAAAAAAATTTTGTTTTCAATAAACTGCTTTTTATGCATGTTGTTATTCATATTCATATACAGTAGACTCAGGCCAGATTGGATTTTTTGCCTTGCGCAGCACAGGTTTGTTCTGTAACTGTAAAACGTATCTTATAGGTAATAATTGACTCTTTTAATGAAATTTGAATTTTAAGAACGTCAGAGTCTCAGATCATGTAGCTGAATGCTTTTTACCTTTAAAATATATTTTGCCAACATTTTCAAAATTGTGTTCGATTTAACTTTGGTTTTTTTGTCCCCTCTGATATTTTTCTTTTTTTCTGGAGTAAAAATTCTAAATGCCTTTCTAATTCCAAAGTACCGAAATAGGAAATGCTTTATTTAATCAATTGATCGTTCTATAGCATTTAACTAACTGTTTTTTAATTTGTTTCCCTTCCCCCATCTTACACACTGTTATGCTAAGATTATTCGAAAACCTTGCAAGACATTTCCTTTTTCATGTCAACAGATAAAACTATGGAACCTAGTTATGAAAACCTTAAGAATATTGCCTTGAATTTTCCCCCGGTAAAATCTATTTGAGGTGCTGTTTCTGGCCATTCCTAAATTAATATAACCTAAAATTTTTCTTGCCACCAACCATGTGGCAGCCTTTAGTAAATATGTTTAAATACATAAAATTAACTAACAAAGACTAACAAAGAACAACGTTCTAGCTCCAAAATAGCATAAAACAATCTTCTGACTCAGCCTGGTACAAGAAACATAAAGTAACCAATGTTTATGAAAACTATATTTTAGATATATGCCAAGGTAGATAAGATAGGCAGACACGAAATAATTGGCCTGTCTATCTTATCACTAACTTAGCCTGGTAAAAATGAGATTTGAGTTTGATTTTGAGCAACCTTTCAACACAAGGTACATAAAAGTTGAAAACAAAATTTCCCCCAAAGAAAATCTATATGTTTTTCTGGCCTGGCACTTGAAATAATTAAGAACCCCTTGTCTAGGTCATCATTACTTTTTGCATGTGTACACACGAGCCTGGATTTTGTACACTCATATGCCAAAAAACAGCAAACATGTGAAGGATATTTTTATCATTTCTGGGATTAAAATTTTTCAAAATTTTCAAAATTTGAGCAGATTTTGGTTTACAGGAACTTTTCTCACCTGGTTGGGTCCCCATAATTCTTATTTTTTGGGAATTATGAAAAATGTTTATCTTTGCTTCATTGTTTTTATCACCATAATTGATGCTACTAATGTTTTTCTCTAAAATGTATAACCAAACATTACATAATGCGTTTTTATGGTAATTAGTCTCAGCAGCACATGGTAATAAATCTTTATATGTGCTATTTGCAAATGGGCAATTTTCATGGACATGAACCAGATTTCCCATGCATCTTTCAAAGATTCCAATCTGGAAATCAGGTTATAGTTACACCAAATGTTGATTTATAAGCCAGGGTGGAATCCATGCAAAGCTCTTGTCAGATATATACCAACATTGGATATCAATGGTGCAAGCTACATGGATTCCACACTGGTTTAAGGCTGTGACAGTAAGTGGCGTATGACTGTAAATGGAGTTTAACTGAATAGTTTTTTGTATTGTTGCTTTAAGCTGAGTCTGGTTACTATTGCTGGAAAACTTAATTGGGAAATTCATTTGTTAATTCTTAACCAGCAAAGTAACCCATTGGTCTCCAAACTTCCATCCTACATCAAAGACACCTCATATTTCCTTAACAAACTCTGCTCAATTTCTGCAATTCCCAATGACTCTCTCCTCATCACCTTCGATGTATCATCCATTTACACCAATATTCCTCACACATAAGGCATCAAAGCTTCCAGGGTACACCCCAACAAACGCACATTTAAAACTCCCCCAACATAAACTATTTACGAACTTATCAACATTATTTTGACAAAAAACAATTTTGAGTTTAACCGACAACACTTTCTACAGAAACATGGTCCAGCAATGGGCACAAGGATGGCACCACTCTATGCAAACCTTTTCATGGGGACCTTTGAATCTGATGCCCTAGAGAAAGCCCTGTACAAACCTCTTCTATGGTGGCGTTTCATTGACGATATTTTTATAATTTGGACACACGGACAAGACAAACTCACTAACTTCATCAATACACTTAACAACACCCATCCCACTATTAAATTCACCAGTGAACAATCTAAACAACCCATATATTTCCTTGACGTCACAATTTCCATTAACAAAAACAATACCCTCTCCAGAGATCTCTATGTCAAACCCATAGACACACACCAGTATCACAGAATAGGAATTCTGTGCCAGTATCTCCTCAGCACCTCCCCACACCCCAAACACACCAAACAGTCAATCCCATACAGTCTTGCCTTACGACTACAACGGCTCGAAAGACGAAACATAACTACTACAATACTCGACAAAACGGGGTTACAAAACAAAACAGACACGCAAACAAATAAGGAAGGCTTCTAAAAAACGAGACAAGACTGCCTGAAAACCACAAAACAACGAAAAAATCACAGAACACCATTTGTTGTCACCTACCACCCCTCTTTGCCACAACTATCTACCATCATCAAACAAAACATCAACATATTACAGAACTCTAAAACATGCAAAGAAGTCTTCCCTGACGTACCTTTACTTAGCTACCGCAAACCTAAAAACCTCCGGGATATACTGGTTCGTGCCAGAATAAAAAGTGGCACACCCAGTAATCCCAGAGGCACTTACAAATGCCACTGGCGACGTATCTGCATAACATGCCAACACATCACAGACGGTACTCTTACATTTAATTTTACTAACACTGACAAAAACTACGACTAGAACAAGACTGGACTGCAACTCTAATAACGTTATTTACGCATTACAGTGCAAGCGACGTTTAACAGACGAATTAAAGACAGATTTAACGAACACAGGAGACATTATGAACAAAAAAGTAGACAAGTCTGGTGTTCCAGAACACTTCTGCAGCCCAGAACATACCATCAATGACCTTACAATAACACCATTACTGCAACTTAATGACAAACGAGAGAGTGTTGGACGAGCCAAAGAGCAATACCTCATTGGCCTGGCAAACACTCTCACACCGAAGGGCATGAACCGAACCACTCACCGTTAATCTTACAGCAAAAGACCATCATCATCATCTTCGTCACTTTTTCTACTACCCATACATTACTGTTTTAAAATCATCATCATTACTCTCTATATATCATATCACTTCCTGTTATCATTTTCTTTTCTCTATTTCATTAATTTTTTTCATTTTTTACTACCATTGTCACTATTATCATCATTATTTAATACTTTCATAACTTTTTATTGTTATCACCACTACCCACCTTCGTTACACTTTCATTTCACCACCACAACCCACACTCTCGCACTCGCCACCCTTCCCTCTTCCACACCTATTACATATTTCTCTCCGCTGCACTGCATTCACACCATTCCACATGAACCAATCCGACACCACCATCGCATCTTTGAAATTTGTAAATTTTTAATTCGTTTACTTTAGCTCTGATGAAGCCCCGTATGCCGGGGCAAAACATTAGCCATCACTGATTTGTGTGTTTGTTGTTGTTTATTCTCGTCGCGTTGCGGTGTTCCTTATATACTACTAAAGTATGATAATCTGGTATGAATAACTAAAGATTTTAATTTTTATTCTTAGGCTTGGTCAGTACAAGTCTAAGACATCTGGTACTGATGGCCAAGAATACAGACGTATACAAATGATGGAAAGGCAGAAGAGGTAAAATTATAAACGATTATTGCATATAATCAAGTCTGGCCACAACGTTTATAAATTTAAACTTTTTCGGCCTTTTCAGCTGCCATGTCTAGTTCCTGTTTGCTAGTTTTATGCACATGCTTTTGTAGTTTCTGTTGTTAAATCTTAAATGATTTTGACACAAGAAGAAAACACAAGTTCTTCCAAGACACACATGCAAAAATTTGTCTACACGCTACACTCCAAAAGCATCAACACTTCTAAACAACATCCCACAATAATCCCTTGCACAGCAAATACTAAACAATGTCGTCAAAGACAACAAGCAAAAATACCAAAGAAATACCCAAAGAACTGTGACAACACGCAACTCTCAAATGAAAACAAAAACTTAAAGTCAACTCTCCATGCACAAAACAGCTTCTGCCCTATTAACTGTTCTATCATGCAACTAAGTAACAATTTTTGGGCTATTAAGGCTGATCAATATGGGCATATAGTGAAACAAGGTTGAGATTTCCTTCCATATGACAGAGCTTAAGCATTTCCTATATGCTATCTCAACTCCTTTTACAATGATAACTTCAGCTCTGAGATGTCTTTTCAGCCCAACAAGAGGTACTAACAGCCTGAAGCTTATCATACACATCCATACCCTTACAGATCTATGGACTGTTTCTTCAACAAATGACAATTCTGCTAGAACCAGTATAAACTTCATGATCTGTAAAATTGCATTTAAAACACTTTTTATACAATCATAACAAAGAAACATTTTTATGGAATACTGTAATGCCTCGAATAAGCGCCTGGGCGCTTATTTAATTTTTGAGGCTCCAAGGTACATGCTTATTTGAGGGTGGCGCTTAATCGAGGGGGGGGGCGCTTATTTAAAAAGTAGATTTGGGTGCAAATTGTGTTATTCATTAATCTTTCTTGTTGAATTGCTTTCCAATTATATTTTCCGCGAAAGCGCCCAAAAGTTTGGTCCGCAAAAGTGCCCAGTTTATTTGAAACTACCATGGATTAGTAACACTTCCTTGCGATTCGAGAGTCAAATTAGGCAAGCCATAACTAAATGTTTCTTTGCTGTCAATCCTCGCATTGTTTACAGCACTAGGAGAGCCCTTCCATCCATTCAAAAGGATTGCGTTCCTACCAACCAAAAAATTTCCGTCATTTATGAATTTACGTGCCAGTGTGATTCTGGCTACGTAGGACGCACAACCCAAAGATTGGGGGATAGGATAAAACAGCATGTTCCTTCCAACATAAGAAACAAAACTGTCCCTCAAAGAGAACAGCCTCCTCGATCTTGTAGGTCTAGAAACACTGTTAAAACAAGTGATTCTGCCATCGGTCAACATCTTTTAGACAACCCAGATTGTGCAAAACTCTATAATGACGACATGTTTCGGATAATTGGCAGAGCCCGGTCGTCCTTCCATCTAGCAGTTTTGGAGTCGATCTAAATAAAAACGAAAAAGCCGCCATTGTGTAGACAGAAGAAGTTCGTTTTCTCCCTTGGACTCCATTGGCTATTTTTCTTTAGGCTCGCGGCACTGATTGGTCAACTATACCGGTCTTGTGCTTGCGTTTTTCTTATTGGCCTATTTCGATCCACAACTGGGTATATATTTTTCATCGTGTTATTTCGGACCCTTATTCTGACGTTTTATGCTCTGAGGAGTGTCAGACGAAAAAGGTTTTAGTATGTCGTAAAATGTTTGCTTTTTTCAAAGCCATTTTCAAATTCTGTACCGCAAAAAATTGTTCACAATTATGTTTTCGTTGAAAATTTGAATAAGCACCCATTTCTGAAGGTTGAAGGATGGGCGCTTATTCGAGGGGTGGGCGCTTATTCGAGGGGTGGGCGCTTATTCAAGGAGGCACTTATTCAATAACTTGACCTCTAGGGTGGGCGCTTATTCGAGGGAGGCTCTTATTTGAGCGGGCAGTTGTTTGAGGCGTTACGGTAGAGATGGGCAGCTGGTAGTAGTGACTATAAGCCAATATTCATCTGTTCAGATAGGAAAAGCAAACATTTGGGGATTTGTCTTATATTTAGAGATATATATAGATATTTATCATGAAAGTTGATGGTGATTGCCAGAAGTAAAATGACATCAGATCTGGTAGAAGTCAAGATTAATGATATATTTTCAGAACGTCTATGCTGTTAGCTCAGACCTGGGCATGCTACAGCCTGCAGGCCACATCTAGCCCTTTCAATGTTTCTGTCTAGCCTGGGACAGTGTGTGATCAATCAGGCTGTGAACTTTTGTTGGAGTATTTTTCAACTTGACCTACACCACAGTTTTATAAATTTGTTAAACTATTTACATAATATCCATAACTTTCTAATTACCAGCAGCAGCTAAGATTTATCATAAATTTATTGGTTTTTACATTGGGTGAAAATGAATATTGTGCTTAAAAAAATTATCCTTTGTTTGGCCCTCCAACACAGTTCTGGTTTCTCATGTTGCCCCTTACAAAACTAATTGACACTCCTGTGTTAGCTTCTTCTTTTTAGCAAAGTATGCAAAAATGTATTCAATTTTAACAAGCAAGTCATCATTTCCAATCTTTATTAGATCTGGGTCATTAATATTGTTGTCAGACTATTTTATCATGTTAATTAAAGAACTTAATATGTTATCATTTTATCAGGAGACGGTTTGATGCTTTAAACTACTCAAGAAAGCTTGTTGATGGGAAGCTTACTGCAGATGAACTTGATGTTTCAATGGATGTTGTTGGAGAAGTGAGTTTGCATTCATACAACTGTATCTGCTGAAATTAATACTTTTAAAACATGAAGATTACTTATGACAAGCTCGGCCTTCAGCCATTATCAAACCAGATCCAATTTTAATAGTTTGACTTCTCTAATGAGGTTATGAACATAAACGCATTAGATCTATTATCTTTCATATCTTTTTTATGAATTTTGTATTTTTATGTGTTTCTATGTACTCTCAAATGCAATAGGCCTGCATAAAATTGTTAGACTTGGCATCCATTTTCAATCGATAGACGTCCAAAATTATTTTGTTAAAGGTAATATTTCAAAGAACCTTAGTGGCCTGATATACGATTAAAAAATATTGTCAGGAAAGATTTGCTCATTATCTTGTTTGATTGCAGGAGAAGGAAACAGAGAAAAGATTCAATCCTTTTAAAAATCAGGTATTGTGTCTTTTTTCTTTTTTATTCCTTTTCTTTAATAACAAGAAGAATGGTCACACTCTTTTTACTTTCTGAAAGGGTGTTTTGCAAGCAGGGAGCACCTGTGCTACCAATAGGAACTGCCCATGACAAACATTTTCTTGCAACATTTGGGTTGAGAGGATTCTTTGTATAGGTTTTAGATTGGAAATGGCTTTCTGTAATCTGCAGATCTGGGGGAGTGAATAGTTAGGATTTTGTTTTATTTGTACAAGGGTTTGCAACCAAAACGTCTATTATTTAGAAAGCAACACCTCGCAATTTTTAAGAATTATCCATTCTGGCTACATAACCCTGCTGTGCCCTGATCTGTGGAATTTCTCTCAGATCCTCTTTCTAAGGCAACAATATATCAGTGTGTACACGATTGAAAGATTCTTCATTTTGATCAAGCGTTCCGTTTTGTAGCTCATGTTATCAGAATATTTTGCAATTTGTTAAGATTGGCTACATAAACCTTTTTGGTACCAAAATGTGGAATATCTCTCAGACACCCCTCCCAAGGCAGCAATATATCAATGAACTGATTCTTCATTTTGATCAGACGTTCTATTTTGTAGCTCATGTTATCAGAATGGCTTGTGGAAGTGCCCCCTGATTTGGAAGAGGAGTGGCTGATGACAGTTTGTCCAGTTGGAAAAAGATGCCTTATCGTTGCAAATAGGGTACCTAAAACTTTCTGCAGCCTTGAATCATATTCTAGAACTGTACCATCTTCTAGGGTACTACTGGATTATACTTAAAAGCTCACCTTTTATGTAATTTTGTCCTTGGACCAAGGACCGAGATTCGGGGGGGGGGGGGGACATTGACCTGGATATGCAACTTTCGTATTCGAATGCAGGTCTGGGATTTTACAGACAAGGGGTAAAACTTTAAAAACTTAAAACTTTAAGTAGCATTAGTAAAATACTTTTATTTTGTAAAATTTGGCTGTTGTTACGCTTATTTGTCAGGGCTGCCCCAGGGCTGCCCCCTCTCCTCAAACAAAAGTTGTATCTCGGCTTTTGCCTTAGATGATTGCAGAGTCTTGCATTGTTTAATCAAGCATCTTGATACAAAGCCTTTGACAAGCGAACATGTTATAGTTTTCCCTTCTAATTCTCTGAAGACAACGAAATATTAAGCTCTTGACACCATAAAATCTATTAATAGAACTAGAAAGTGGAAAGATAGCATATTGAACATAAGGTTAATTTCCCTTCGTGTTTTTGTATCAGTATTTTCTAACAGGGCACTACATCAGTTTACACGAAGAGTGGATTCTGCATTAACAGATTCCCATCACTTCTTCCAGGTGGATCTCGGAAAACAGTTAAACCAGGAGGTAAGGGCCTGAAAATGCCAGTTAAGTAGTTGTGATGAATATTGCTAAATGATAGCTAGCCCTTCCGAATCCTTATTGATGCTAATATAGTATATAGTATATAGTATATAGTATATAGTATATAGTATATAGTATATACTATAAAGTTTATAGTATTTAGTATAGAGTGTATAGTATATAGTATAAAGTATATGGTATATAGTATAAAGTATATGATATATAGTATATAGTATAAAGTATATGGTATATAATATATAGTATATAGTTTATAGTATATAGTATATAGTATAAAGAATATGATGGAGAAATTTGGGAAATTAAAGACTTCAAGAGTTAAAGAACTCGAAATTCTGTCAATTCAAAAGAAAATTTTTTATCAATGAAGACATAACTACACAAAAATAATACAGCTTTTTGTATCGTATGCAGACATCTGGTCTTAGACATCTGGTCTTAGTGTATACGACACTTATAATGCTTCACTACAATTTAGCCACATAGATATGTATTTTGGAAATACGTGGTTTTGGTTGAACTCCTCCGTGCAAGTAAACTCTACGTTTTGCCGGGCAGTAAAAAAATTTTTCCCGGTATACATCAACACTTAAAGTCTCTTCTTGTTGTTGTTGCCAGCTAGCTTGAATCTCAAAATAACATATAGTCGCTAAACATGTATGCTCGCTTTATGCTTATTCTTGTTTTAGCAATTTTTCAATATAACATTTTGCCCAATCTATTTGAAAATATTTTGCTCCATGTTATGCCAATTTAAAAACTAGATTTCCAAATGCTTTTAACTTCTCTTGAATTTCCAATGCAATAATTCATTTGTTCTTGAGTCTTAATGTTAATTGATTGATTAATCATTGTTTTCATCCTTTTCTGGTATCTGTAATTTTGTTGGTGTTGCGTTGGTATGTCTCAATACGAGTATCAATACCTATTGGAAACTTCTTGACCTTCCTAATCAAAACTTTACACGATTGTCACAAAACGTCGAATTTTTCTCACAGCATAACATCTAACCGTACGATAAATGCGGAAATATCATTATAGTCTATTTCTCAGCGAAATGTTGGTGTTGATTGTATATCGTACCAACAAACGTAATAACTGTAGCTTTTTACCTATGTTTGCATTTGCACCTAGTTCCTAACTGTTTTGACCCACAAAACATGATGAAATTTGTAAATTTGAAGCCTGATATAGTGCTGCTATGACACATCCTATAGTGCATGTGACAGAGTTTTGTACAATCTATGGTATTGATTTAAACCTTATCTTACTCCTCGTTCTCCAGATATCAGCTTCTAATTTTGACCCGTGTGCGTCACTGAATGTTTGTTCTTATGAGTTTGCGATATTGTATCAAGATTCAAAGGTACAATTTTCTTTGTATTTTTAATGAAGGAAATCAGGAGGACCCACGTTTAACTGGCCAGGTGTTTTGTTATTTGTTCAAGGAGATTTTGCTTAGTGATAATGCTGTTATTTTTGCAGAATACAGTATATTGGATTGTGTATATAATGAAGGAGAACGGACTTTTTATGTTATCGATTTGACCTGTTGGAAAGGACATCCAGTGTATGATAGCGAGGTAATTTCAATAGGACGCTTTTAATAAGTTGAATGGATATAGCAGATTAAATCTGCGTATCTCTAGTTTTGATTGCAACGATAAATTCAGAAGTCGTCTTTTTCAGCCATGTCACATTTGAATTCTAATGGGATAATAGAAGACAAATTTAATTAAACATTTTTCCTATTTATTATACCTTAGTGTATGTTGTACGGTTAAGCTGCCCATCGACCTGAGGCATAAATGAATGCTATTAGAAAATAAGCCTGGCTGTGTTGATTATTATTTCAAAATAGGATTTCACTCAAGCTTTGTTTTGTTGAGAAATTTGAAAATTTAATGTTGTTGGTTCTTTGGAAGATTTTTCTTAGAGATGTAGATATGGTGAACTATGTGTAACTTAATCGATGCCTAACCACCCTACCTAAAAGGATTTCCATTATGGGCACTCCTGGCTCAAGTACATCTTTAAGATAATTGCTCACTTCTATTTAATGGAAAGTCTATAGTAAGTTTGCCAAATTATATTAAAATTATATTAAAAAGTATTTTCATGCACAGACCGAATTTCGATTTTACTGGCTCAAGACGAAGTTTGAAGATGAGAAAGAACTATCAACAAGGTCCCGTGTGAATCCGGTAAGACACTTGAATGTGATTTGGTGTTTCTTCCTTTGTTGAAATGCCAATAAAAACGGACAAGAGGCTTCCTCGTGCTCGTGTGCTCATTTGTTTTATAAAATACCACCTTCTACTTCTTTTCCTTTTTTCATACACTCCTTTCACCTCCCCTTTTCCCACCCTTTTTATTCCTCTATCCCCCGTACTCTCTCCCATTCCGTTTCACCCAGATTTTAATGTCAAATTTTTCGTAGGAAACGCCCAGTTTTGTTTAATATCTCCAAGTTCTTGAATTTCTCCAAGTATACATTCTAGAGTCGGTATATTTTGCTATAGTAATAACTTTTCATCACCGTGAATAATAATTTGCAAATTGGCTAGACTTAAAACTTGGCTAGAAATATTTGTTATGTTTCTGGTTTGAAGAAATTTTTTACGCCGTGGAGATAAATAATTATTCATGCATTGTAGGCTATCGATACCTTTCACCATAGGCAGGTTGGGTTTACAGTGTGATGAAACTTTTGCTACCTTAACTTACTTAGTCTTACCGTAAGTTGTGCAAGAAAAGCTAGACCATTGATGCCATAGGTACCATATAGTAGTTTATTTGTTTTCATGCTTAGCACATTAATAGCCCATCTTCCTGACTATTCTTGTGTTTCGTGCAGTATATCTTCAAGCCCGCACCGTGCTGCAGTTGCAAAATCAGCGATATTCAGCAGGCTGTTGCCTTCTCTTATTCCTTCAAGGTTGGTGAAATTCTTAAATCCCAGCGAGACAATACTATACTATGTACTATTTACTATTTACCATATACTTTATACTATATACTATATATTATATAATATATAATATATAATATATAACATATACTATAATATATACTATATACTGTATACTATATTATACTATACTATACTATACTATACTATACTATACTATACAATACTATACTATATACTATATACTATATACTATATACTATACTATTCTATACTATACTATACAATATTATACTATATACTATATACTATATACTATATACTATATACTATATACTATACACTATATACTATACACTATATACTATATACTATATACTATACTATTCTATACTATACTATACTATACTATACTATACTATACTATACTATACTATACTATACTATACTATACTATACTATACTATACTATACTATACTATACTATACTATACTATACTATACTATACTAATACTAAGCCTACATTGATTAAGGCTGTAGTTGATGATTTCTTAACAATGATAACAAACATACATCACTTGGCTTAAAAGAGTTGGAGTATTATATTCTTAACTCGTCAAGTGTTCTAATCAGATATGAAACTTTCAGTATGTTTTATGAAAGAGGTCATGCTTTATTGTTTTTAAAACTAATGAGATGTAGTCAAAATGTCATTCAGAAACTGTACAATTTATAATCACTTTACATGAAAGGCGCCCTTTCCTCTAATTTCTTACAGCTGAAGGTATTTTTAAATTCTAAATCATATGCAATGCTTATATGAAGAAAGCCAGACGCGTTGTTTGGATGACAATTGATCTTTAGGATTAGGTACATTTACTTAAGATTATGCAATACCAAGTAAACCGTATTGAAAGTCGATGATATAATTTTAGATGTTGAATTCATCATGTGATCATTTATAATTCATACTTTAATTCCTTTATCTATAATTATCTTTAACTTTTCAAGTCAAAATATTTCTAATTGCTAACTTTGTTAATTAGCACATCTCCCCCTTTTTCAAGGTCAATTAATGTTCAAATTTTCGTCTTTTAATATCAGCTGCTTTTTTGTTCAAAAATTCCCATTTCCACTTTTTCCCTTGTTAGATAGCTCGCTCAATCTCAACTTGTTAGATAGCTTGCTTAATCTCAACCAAGGGTGTATTCATCTAACTAGGTGACCTAGCAAGTATTACTTTGAGACATCTTTTCTTAAGAATATTTTCTCCTAACTTTTCCGTTTTACAGATCGATGGACTTCTTTTCTATCATAAAAGAACTCATTATACACCAGGTCGAACTCCCTTAGTAGGGTGGCTGAAGCCTTCCATGCTACCAGATGTGCTTGGTATCCGGGTTCCAACTTTTATAACAGACAGTGTGCCTATAGTCAATAAACTGTCTTTTATGAAATCAACCGCCAGTGCATTGCCATTGAGCGAAGCACTCTCTGTCAGTAACGGTAAAACACGGAATGATGTCTCTGATCAGCTGGATATGGAGTAGCTAGATAGGTCTGTTTTCACATCAGCGGAAGCTGGCTGGCGTGTGCAAGATTATGGACCCGATCGACCATTTTGTGCTGTAAAGTTTACCAGTGTACAGGTGGTGATGTTGCTTTTGAAGCTATCTGATGTTCTGTAACTTATAAAAAGTTTCTATAAAAGGGATGTATGCCACCTTGCAAAGATTTCAAAGAAAGAAGTTTCAAAGGATTCCCAAAAGGTATCTCTTGAGACTGTGCGGTACCCTCGAAATGAAAAGAGACAAATACGATACCAATATAAAGTATGCTCAAGCGACTTTTCGTGTTGTTTCATACAAGAGGAAATTGGAAGCAAAAATTGATTTCCTATGTTTTCCTATATTGCCTAGCGATAAAATTTTTGCTGATTAGTTCAATCCATTTGCAATTCTCTTCTTATTTTTCTCGCTGACCTTAAGAAATTCATGTTGATACCCAATACCTGATTGATAATACCTATGAAAAATCACTTATTCTTGCAATTTTTGCATAGCTGTCCGAAAGCTATTTGAAAGCTTTATTTAAGAAGCTGTCCGCAGGAACCCAAAATAGGACCGCACCAAAAAATCATAAGATAGTTCATGTTTCTACGGTCGTGTTTTCCCCATAATGAACCTTCAGTAGACAGACAGCGCTGTATTCTAACAACATTGTGAATATTATTTAAGTATCTGTGATTATTCAACATTGTGAACATTCCGTAAAATCCGCTCCTTTAAATATCAGTTGCCTAACTAAAAACTGTAAGTGAGTTACCTACGGTTCGGGAGAATACATTTGATTTGCTAACCTCGTTTTGGTAACTACCTCGTTTTCTTCGCTGCTGCCTGTCCAGTATCCCTCAGCTCCCCACGCCTGCAAAAGCAGATTTTTGGCTCTTCAATTATTTTAACAGAATACCTAGTTGATACCTGAGCTAAAAGTTTTGTTTACACACAAAAGATAATGACGAGACAAAAAAATTCGTTTGATGGCCTGCTTTTAAGCATCATCCCACTAAGTCAGATGGATGATGCTTAAAAGCAGTCAACATAATTCAACATTATTAAACAAGAGTCATTCATTTCTCAACAGAAACTTTGCTTTTAGCTCCCTTAGTAGCTTTTGTCTAAATTGCATTAATCAATCCTTTTGATTAAAATCGGCTTTGCTTTCAAACTGGCTAACAAGTATCCCACTATGCATATGAAATTTAAGTTCGTAGATTTAGATTAAGCAGTTGAATTTCACTTTTTGACGTCATCAATTCAAGCTGTGTTGGTACCCGTAGTCTTGCTAGCCATATTGTGGTGTATGTTTAAATCGTATACTTTATATGCTTTAGAGATGTTGTGAGACGAAAATGTAAAGATAAAAGTTAGTTAAAAAAGAATTTTACAGTTTTAGTTTCTGACCGCAGGACATAAAATTATGTAGTTATGTTAAAATCACATTGATTTGTTAAATTATTATAGAAATGGTATTTATCTGTATTTTTTTAAAATAAAAGGTTAAAAATGTCACGCTCTAGATTTTCTGATTTAACCTGTTCAAGATATAACTAACCTCTTGGTGATAAGATCTTTGGAAAGTATAGAGATTGCGATAGTTGAAATTATGATACATGGGCATAAAAAAATCTTCTAATTTCAATTCAACGTTATTATTTCACACGTATTTGATTAGACAAGATTCTTGTCAAGGCTTTACAAAAAATCCACAATGAGCATAGCTCTCATCTCAGTTTCCTAAAAGCTACCTTCGGGTGCTAGGTAGAGACAAATGGAAAATGAAAATACAGGTCCGTTTCGTTATTAACTTTTTTGATTAATTCTTAGTTTTATTACCTATATAAACAAAAGCGTTTAAGATCACTTCTAAGCACGTTGACGAAAGAGCATGTCCTTACCGCCCATGCACAAAAGAAACTTGCGACATAATATTATGATACTCATCCTTGAAACTTTGTACACCAACAGTCTAAATTTGGAATGAAAAGAGCGGTTTTTTCGGATACTTTTAATCGCCTTACCAATAGCCATATTAAATCCCTCCGAGTGGTTCAGAAAAAGTTTTAAGCTAGCTTTAAGGATGGATCAAATTCCACCAGATTTTCTTGTCCTCGTTATTTTGAGAAAATTTTCATGCCGCTGGAAAAATATTTGTCGAATACAACTCCCTAGAACTGAAGAAGTTTTGCTAAAAGCGAAGCATTGGAATCATAATTTGTTTGTAAATTGCCTTTTAGTAGCAAATGATATACAGTGGAATTCTGCCATTGCGATGTTGGTAGGGACCAAGAAAGAAGTTCATGATAGCGAGTGTACGGTATAGAGAAGGAAGTTGATTTGAATAATTCTAAAAACAAGACAGTAACCATAAACCGTGATTCTATGGTGTAGGCAGGAATAATTAATGTGAGGGAAGAGAAATTTAGATTTTTCTGTAGAAATCTAAGAAGCGTTTTTCTAACAGATGACATAAAATAACTATATTTGAACTGAACTGAAACAGAAGTTAAACTCTTATCAACTAATTATTCAATGCCAAATGCAATAAATCATGCTACTAGATGATATTTGTGGTCTTCTCGTCTTAAAAAAGGCATCTTTAAGTACCATAAACTTGCTGAAAAATACTGTCAACCTGATTAAGCCGAAATCGTTCTATTCAGCTTTAAAAATTCTTCATCAAAACTTTTCGCTTAGATGAAACAAACAGACAGATATGTTTCATTTCCAACAAATTAACTGTTAAACTTTACAGGGTCTTTTTCGCCCCCTCTGACCCTCCTTTATCAACGCCACTGGTGACAAGTTGACGAAAACCTATCCATTGGAAAAACTTAATTCTTTTACCAGCTTTATGTCAGCGATTTGCGGCATATTCAACTTGCTTTACAATATCGAAAAATTAGGAGTGTTGCTTCCGGTTTCGAGGTCAGAAGTAAAAAGTTCTAAAACTAGATTACACGCTTTTTCTATAAGACGACTTGGCTCCAGTTTCAGCTTGGCGTTTCTTGTATTTCGCATAAAGTCAGTCTTAAATGCTTCTTAATTTGATTCTTATTTTTTTGATGGAATCTCCTGTGCATAAGAGGGTCCAGGCATAACAATATTTGCTTATAACTTTCTGTTTTTCCTTTGCTATTCTTTCATTTTTCAGCTTTTGCTAGTGTATTATTTCTTAAATTTTGTAGAATTTTAGCCTGCCTTGTTTCTTATGTTGTTCTTATTTTTTGGGCCAATCTCAGCCTGATGTTTCTTATAAGGGTTTTTCTTGATATCGCACTCAAAGCGTGCATAGGTGATATCACACTCAAGAACACTAAATGTAGTCTTCTTGTTATTGTCAGCGCAAAAGCGGAGATAAAAGTTTCCTAGACATAGAATTGAGTACAGAATTTTCAGGTGTCTTTATGTGAATGTGATCGAATCGTCAACAAAAGTAAACAAACTGGAAATGTTTATAGTACAGCCTAAGATAAGTGAGTGATAAAGAAGCCATGTTTCGCTTTTCTTTGTCAAAATACGGTTAATAATGAAAGCTTTGTGAAGGATATTGCAAAATCTAGCGATATGATTTGACTTAATGGCTAAACTATTCAATATTGTATTTTGCACCTGCATTGCCATTAGGACTTCAATAGGTTTGATGCTTGGAATCGCTTTGTTATGAAACATATTCATTTAAGAAACAGCTCAAGGAATCATACAAGCATGCCTTTATTGGATGAGCTTATGGGGGGCGGAGAACCCTTACTTAAACGCATAAATAACTGTGTTGTACAGGAAGTCTGGCTACATTTTGCATACGTGGATTGAGCAGCTGTATAAAACAAAGATTGAGCAGCGGTAAAATACAGTTGACATCAGCTATCTCGACTGCCCGCTATCTCGAACATTCGCTATTTCGAACCATTTTCTGTTTCCCTTGGTTTTGCTATAGGGTTAAGTATAGAAAAAACGATCGCTATCTCGACTGCTCGCTATTTCGAATATTCGTTATGTCGAACCGTTTCCTGTTTCCCCTAGACGAAAAGTGTTCGCTATCTCCAACTTTTTTGTTTTTGGTTATGTAAGAAAATTAAAAATACGAGTAAAGAATCTGTTTAAACGGCAGATGACAGTTAACAGATTAAAAAGACAGTGTTATAATACAATTTAGATGTTAAAATCAATGGATCAAGGGGTAATCCCAAGTTTAAAGGCAAAGTACCGAACAGTTTTGGTGCAGAAATGCATCAGAGCAATTGATCAACAAAAGTCTCTACCAAAATTTAGCATTTTGGAAGCAATGGATATATTAGCCGCATCGTGGTCTATGGTATCTGAAACGACAATCGTTAACTGCCTTGCCAAAGCTGGCTTTTCTTCCGAAAATCAACATCAAACAGCATCAGATGAAGATTACCCTTTTAAAGACTTGGTGGAAGAATTGACGAAACTGCAAAATAGAGATCGAGAAATTGCTCCAGCCAACACAAGTGCAGAGGAATTTATTGACTGCGACGACCAAGTCTTAGCAAGAGCAGCATTGCCAACTGAAGATGAAATCATAGCTGAGCTAATTGACGAAGAAGTTGTTGAATTTGAAGAGAGATGCGATGGAGGTAATGTCAAGATATTGCCTATTCCCAGAGAATGGAGAAGTGCTCCGTGAGCATTTCGTTAAAATGAAAGGTGTTATAGAGAAGACCTGGTTAGAAAGAGAAAACGAATGACATTAGATGCTTATTTTTCTTAATGAATTGGTTTGACTTGTAATTTTGTATCAGTGACTACATATCCTTTGAAAAAAATTGGATTTTTTGGGGTCATCCGATAACTCGAACATTCGCTATCCCGAACAATGTTTCGTTTCCCTTCAGAGTTCGAGATAGCGGATGTCAACTGTAGTCCCAAAAATGCCCGGTTGCTGTTCAGGAAAAATCGTTTTCATTAATTGGTTGCATAAAGGTTTCTGGCGGTAAGATATTCCACCTGTGACCCTCTACCCTCTCAGTCTGGAAAAATCAACTGAAAAATTTCAGGCCTTAACCAAAATGACTTTAATCTTATTTTGGAAAGCTCAGAAAATGCAACAATTGTAAAGAATTTTTGCGGCCAGAGGTGTGGCTGACTTTTGCACTCAAGGCAGGTGTCGCTTTATTTAATTAACGGTAGGCCTAAAAGTACACCGTTGAATCACCCGTAGATAGCAAAACTAATCATTTTTTAAACAATTGTTTCAAAAAGAGGTGCACTGGTAAAGTCGATAGGAGAGATTGGAGAGGATTCAAGAGATTCGGATACTGGTAAGATTCGAGAGGGGCAGAGACTGAATGTGCGAAAGAAAAATGGGAATCCACATCCTTTGAATGACCAGAACACTCCCTTTTTGAATAACTTCTGTGTCCATTTGAGGGTGGCCGTCGCCTTGCCCCATTTGCTACGGTACTTTAGAGGTCACTATCAAAAGCAGAGGCAGTAGTCTGTCATCTAGCAGAGAATTAGGTATTGGGACGATCACTATCTTGAATCGGTGCATTACTTGGCTCTCTTGAGCTGATTATTGGTACATTACTTGGCTCTCTTGAGCTGAATATTGGTACATTGGTTGGTTCTTTTGAGTATGGGCGAAATTAGCCCCCTAGTTGTAGAGCATTACTATAAATCGCATCATAAGCTATGATTTAGGAATAAGCCTTAAAATTGTGTAGAAACTTTATATTGATGACTTCGTGAAGCAATTCATGATGTTAGATTTACAATGAAGGTTAGCTGCCATTTCTATTTTCTTTGTTGAGCGATTCAAAGCCTCTTAATATTGTCGTCGCCATCGATAAGCTTTAATAACTGAACCTTTTCAAGCAGTATCCCACAATAGAAAAACAGTTTTACAGTTTCCTTCCTGCCGAAACAATAATACACAGCAAGTTTCTGTCTTGTTTTTCTGAGAAAATCAAGGTTTCTTGCTCGTGGACGTTGTTTCTCTTTGTCTGCTTATCAAAATCATATTATCATCGCTTGAATCATAACAAATCTGACCATTTAATCATAATATAGGTCGGATAATATATACGACGAGAGCATGTTATTCCAGTTTACGATGTTTTATTCAAAGCTTTCATTGATTAGGCAGAGCATGAAACGTAAACACTATATCTTGCTTGCAGTTAATAAGATAAACAATTACATTTGCTGAGGTTTACTTCAACAAGACTGCGCATCAAGTGTTGATCGTATTCAGATTTTAAGCATATAATAGTATAATTAAGAGTCAGGCATAAGTCATTTGAGTTGCTTCATGAGAAGTGGCATCTTGACATGGAAAAATCTACATGGATTGACACTGCGTCCAAACAAGATTTTGACAAAACTAGAGTAAATAAATATACTTGACTTGTTCTCGAAAAATCGTGTCCTTCTTACAGCTTATCAAACCTCTAAGAATCGTACTTTGAACGAAGCGGGAAAGATATGTGTTAGCTTTAAAGAACTTGTAAATTGTGAAAGTATTCCAAATGTATGATTGGTAATGAAACTCAAAAAAAAGTCTATGAGTTGGAAGAAAGGGTTGAAAAATATAGGTTAGTAACGGTAATGTGGAGAAATGAGGTGAAATACGGAGAAAGTACTTTAAATATTGGCTTAAGTATTTTTTCGCTTTCGCGCGCCATAAGCAAGTTCCAAGTTGCAAGATTAACTATTTAGAAATTAAATGTTCTATAAATATAAAGAAATTATTTTATATCACATATTGGATTCGTGTCTATTCTTCGCACAAAATGACTTTGTTTATCGCGGAAAATCGATTCAAATTAGAATAAAAATTAACTGGACATTTGTTGACATGATACTTTAGTTAGTAATATGTTCATAACAAACGTAACATAACATAACAAACATAATATTGCGGCCATAACAAACATTTCAAACATTTACTGAATTCTATATCATTTATGACTGCACATCTATCATTGCAAACTCGTCAATGACAATTTTTTATTTAATTTTAAATATAAGCTTCAAACGCAGGTGACTTTTTATTTATCGAGTTGCATTTTTATGAATGACGGCATTAACAATTATCAGTTAGGACAAACCAGCTCTGTGGAACAAGAAAAATATCTAACCATTCTATCTTCCATACGCTTGAACAGGCTTTTGAACATGCACGGTTGTAGAAGACTTTACATTTCAATACAGCTTTCCAATATTTCCTTGCACTGTATTTCCAACTCGGCATTATAGAAATTACCTTATGTTTGTAAATTGTAAGGGCTTTGTGATCGGTTTACCTGTAATTAAAATCTTGCGCTTTGATACACAAACTTACATCTTCTACCGTTTAATCAACAGAAACAGAACCCAGTAGGTCAACATTTGATCTTACAATCGATTACAATGGTATGACATACATTGAAAACAGTTTGTTAAAATGCAATTTCTTTGATGCAGGCTGTTTTGCTCGGGGTTTCCAGAACGATATAAATAAATTATTCAAGAGAAACATTGACCTTAGCATTCAGCTCGGCGGGTAAAGCCAAACGAATAGGATTAGAAACCGATTCAGAATACGCAACGGATTAATTGTGCGTGCTCAATTAGATCCAGCTGTTGCAAATAAAGCCGTTAACCTCGCGATTTATTAACTGCGATAGTTCTAACTGCAGCATCTCGCAATTGCGTGTGTTGGTGATCGATCAATGAACAGTTGTGTGTTAGTTGCATGTTCTGACAGCAAAAGATTCTCACTCTAATCGACTAGAGTACTTGGGTTGTACGGGCCATGGATATGCCTGTATTCTATCCACTGAATTCAGCTCGTATGTTGCAGAGATTAGTTAAGGATACAAGCTACAGGCTGCATTTATAAAGGAAGATAATTTTTTGAGATATTCGCTTCTTTGACTTTTGCTAGAGCAAAAGAGCTGATTGAGTAAGGCACCGTTTCATAGAAGGAGTTTTTCAATGCATTCAATTATTCAATCGCACGGAATGATTGTGGTTGGCAAGATTTTTAACTGATGCATGGGAATTTCTGAGAAGGAGAAGCTAGTGTTCATCATTATAAGCCAAGGTTTGTTGCAATATGTTTTATCACTTTGACAATTCTACTAGCTGAAATTCTTTTGAGTAGTGTTTTTGTTAACTGAGTTCTAAACCGCATGGAGATATTATTGCAATGTTAAATAAGCCCTTCTACAGACTCGTTAATTGCTAATTGAAACTAATGTAACAGGTGCTACGGTTGACATCATGCTTTTGGTGGGAACGTAAAAATCAACCATCAAACTATATTTATTTGTGGCTTCATTTACTGAATACTGCGATAGTTCTCAGAATAGACTCAAAATAGATACACGAAAATGACAGCATTTGAATCTAGCAAAGGTTGTTTAAAAAGCTAAGTAGACCAAAGACGGTTCAAGTAAGGGGCAGGAACACAATAAAACGACGACAAGAATTCAATATGTTACAAAATCGAATTCTAAAATAAGTTTTGTGTTTTAAAGAATTGATAGTTATACCTTTAATTGATTCTGAAATTCTATTTTACAATATTTTGGATTATCATCGTCGTTGTGTTTTGTTCCTGTCTATTCTTCACGTTACTCATGACAAGATTTACAGAATCCGAATGACAGGCTATCCTGCGAACCTGGCATACAAAGAAAGTTTGTTTTATAATATTATATATTGTTATAATATTATAAATATTGTATCGAGGGTGCTTAAATACGCCAATTCAAAGAAACATGCACTCGGGGGATCATTAACTGGGGACAGTGGAATTCTCAACCGCCAAATTGTAGGGAAGTTTGGGAGTTTGCTATATTGTCGGAATTTTAAAAAATATTTGTTCTCACAAAACCGTTACTCGATATAGAAATACACATTGCACGTGGGTTGCATCTGTTGCTTCAACCTGCTTTGATTTCATTACGTTATTTGCCATCTTATATCCATGTAAAAATCAACAACCTGCAATCACACGTATGTTTTAGAAAATAAATTGACGACCTAACCTTGTTATCAGTAACTTTGCTCAAAAATGCAACAACAAGAGGAGCTGAGAAAACAGTTTATCTTTTCATATTTCGTATGATTTCACTAAAACTTAGAAGCTACCTGTAACTGTGGATTTCTAGCGTAACTTCTATAAAACACATTTTTCCATGCAATGAGAATGAATTCTCTGACTTATCGCGTAAGTTATAGATCCGCGCTTACACGCATTTTTTTAAAAGAAACAAAGATCGATGTTGAGTACTCCAGTTTCTTAATGTTCTGGAAATTTCAATACACACTGTTTCTTAGGAGTTTCTTAACTATGATGTCATGAATGATGTTATGAAATGTTCGTGACCTTTTTATCACGTCAAGAGATTCGCTTCAGTTCTGATGCTGTATTTAGATGTGGGAAGCAGAAGCGGACTGGCCCACCGGGACACCGGGAAATTTCCCGGTGTGCCTTTTGCCCCCAAGTTATTTTTCAAAAACTTGAAAATTTTCAAAAGGCAACTAACCTTCGGATAAAACCAAAACTGATTACAACCATAAATTGACCTCCTGTCTAAAGTACGTTTCCATGAAAAGTTTAGAAAATTCATTGAAGACGAAAATTTCATCATCAGTTTCTGCAAAATTTTTGAAAACCTTATAGAAAACTATATTTTGTTTTGAAAATGGCTTTGAAAAAAGCAAAAAAATTTAAACATATTAAATTTTTTTCTTCGGAAACTTTTCAGAGCATATAACGTTAGAATAAGGGTCCAAAAGAACAAGATGGAGAATTCGATCCACAACTGGGTATTTATTCTCTATCTTGTTCTTTCCGACCCTTATTCTTACGTTTTAAACTCTAAAGAGGTTCAGACGAAAAAACTTTCAATATGTTAAAATTTTTTGCTTTTTTCAAAGCCATTTTCAAATTTAGTAGCGCCAAAAAAATGTTCATATTTTTTATTGGCAGCAGTTAATGTGGTAGCAGCCAGAAAGCCTACTCTCACTTCCAACCCTCATTAGCTTTTAATTTTTTCAAGCAAGTGCGCAATACTTGAATTAATTCGATATCTGTTGAGGGGGTAGTAGGGGTTTTCACTAGCTAACTAGCACACTGTTTGTGAAACCCATGACTTTTGACTTACCATATTAGTTTTTTGACTAATGACTAATGCGAATTATTTCGCGTATCTGATATCGAATAACTGAGAGGGCTCGCAAATTGGAAAAATTAATTGAGCACTACCCTGTGCTCTTTCAAATCAATCAAAATAGTTATAACTGGATAAAATTATCGATGTGTTGGCCATTGAGTATGGTAACGTTCCCATATTACATAATCAAAGATGGGTTGGGGAGGGGGGAATTCACAAACGGTAACAGTCATTATGGCTATTTCTTAAAGCTTGTTAAAGTAATTATTAAGGGAGAAGGGGATTTTTCAAATAATGCCGTTTTTTGATGACGTAATATGTGCATATTCCTTGTGTTTTCTCTCTTGAACAATAGTCCTTTTTCTTTGGGCCATAAACTATCCCTTAATAGTGAAAGCTGCTCTAGGTATGATAACGAACAATACTTTCTCAACGGCCTGTTGTTGGCAAGCTATTTTACTTTGCAATTCAACTAAAATCTCCTATGCATCATGATTTTTGTACGTTACAACCAGGAGTTTTGTACCCTGAAAAAACTATGACTAATTGAAGCCAAAAATTTGACAACTTTTTAAAAACTCTATACAGAATTTATTGAGGATTGATGCCCTCATGTAAGAGCCTTCTGTGAACTTAATGGAAAGTTAAACCGGCTGTTTTGATAAAACTGGTTTCAAATTTTATTATTAAAGTTTCTAAACTCTCTTCAAACTTTTGTCCCGGAATAGATACTGTGTCTTTTCTTAAGAAATTCTTTATCCATTTTACCATGTCTACGCACAGTTTCTCATACCAAAGGTGCCATCAATCTGCAAAATCATCAATTTGTGCCAAACGGACGGCACCAAGATCTCTTAAAATCCATTTGTCCAAGATATGTTATCAGATATTTTTCGGATAAGTCTACAGTTTTAAGCACATGTTCAATACCTGATCATAAATCATATCTTTTGTAAATGATTTGCAACTGTAGCGTGGAAGCAGGAGCAACACAGTCATTAGGCTAACAGGTGTTGAGGTACCTCTTTACTTTTTTTCAAAGATATGCTGCAAAACTTTTGAAAATTTATGAGAATGAAGTCATGTATTTCGTCAAATTTTTAAAGATTTCGAGATCGAGTTTAATCGAAAAGAATCTCGTCTCCTAGGCCAGAAAAGTTGCTTTCTTTGTAAAATCTTGAAAAAAGTGTTTCACTAGCTAAAAAAAGGCTTTGGGCTTTGGTCTAACTTTCAAAATCTATAATTCGATATCATCATTCAGCAGTGGTTTTAAGGACTGCGGGGCACGGGGCCAAAGACATCTGCGGGGCCCTTGTTCTTTACAATTTGTTTCTTTTTTCTTAGATGTAGGGCCCTTTTTGGCTACCATAATCGTGGGGCCCTGGGCCATGGCCCGCCTCGACCCACCTTAAAACCGCCACTGTCATCATCTGATACCTAAAATTGAGGGCAATACATCATTTGATATATACAAACTTTATTAGCCGTGTAGACGTTTCAAATACAGTCAATTTGATCGAGAATCTTCTTCATGCCAATGCCAATTGTGAACAAAAAACTTTGATTTTCGACATGGGGCATGTTCTAACATTCTAAATAGGGTGATTTAAAAAAAAATTTCCGAGGGCCAGCCCCCGACCCCCCGTTTTGTTTCCTATGACAGTTTTGCAACACGCAAGCACACGCAAGCACAAGGCCGGTATTGTTGACCAATCAGTGCCGCGAGCCTAAAGAAAAATTACCAATGGAGTCCAAGAGAGAAAACAACCCAGATTGTGCAAAACTCTATAATGACGACATGTTTCGGATAATTTGCAGAGCCCGGTCGTCCTTCCATCTAGCAGTTTTGGAGTCGATCTAAATAAAAACGAAAAAGCCGCCATTGTGTAGACAGAAGTTCGTTTTCTCTCTTGGACTCCATTGGTAATTTTTCTTTAGGCTCGCGGCACTGATTGGTCAACTATACCGGTCTTGTGCTTGCGTTTTTCTGATTGGCTTATTTCGATCCACAACTGGGTATATATTTTTCATCGTGTTCTTTCGGACCCTTATTCTGACGTTTTATGCTCTGAGGAGTGTCAGACGAAAAGCTTTTAGTATGTCGTAAAATGTTTGCTTTTTTCAAAGCCATTTTTAAATTCTGTACCGCAAAAAAATTGTTCACATCACATACATTGTTTGGATAGCATGATGTCATTTTTCGCTCCACCCAACCTTGGACTGAGCATCAATCAGTCTTTTCATTGGCCTTTGCCAATCGATTCATCATTGGTCGAATTTGTCACACCTGTAGAAATCCTTTATGATGTCATTAACTAAAATTTTGCTGTTTTATTCTAAAAGAAATCTCAACATCTTTTGTCAAGTGCGATACCATCCCGGACACTGAGCTTACTTTAGGAGACTCAGCAAGTCGAACGCAACCGAAAATTTATCCTTGTAAAATGATTTGCAACTAAGTAGAAAATGTCGTTTAAATTTACCCTGTGCTTTTCTATTAGAATTCGCTGTTCATTACTTTTCAGTTCGCTGGATCATTTTTAGGAGACATTTTAATCACTAGTCTTTAATCACGATATTTCCTAATACGCAATATTTCCTCTATTTCATGGCATGCATGATATTTGGTATGGATTTCTTTTTTGAATGGCATTTCTTCATTAATCCACTCAAGCTTTTTAATGCACTTCTTCGTATCGTCATATATGATTGAATGAAATTGTTCAGCAAACAAAAAATTGACGGAAGCAAATTTTTAAAATTGGATTTCACCAAGGTTAGAAATAAGCTTTATCAGGAAAACCAAGAAAACTGGGTAGGTGCCATTTATCAAATCTTTCAAAGCTATGTTTATGAAACTCCATTCGTGCCTGCACTAAAAAATGAGCCAAGGCTCAGACCAGATTCGACCCATTCCCAAACCTAGCACCAAACCAGCTGAAACCTTGCCCCAACACAGCCCCAACACAGCCGCAACCCAGCCCCTACCCAGCCCAAACTCAGTCCCAACCCTGACCCAACTCAGCCGCAACCCAGCCCCAACCAAGCCCCAACCCAGCCTTGACCAAGCCTCAGCCTAGACTCGACTCAGACTCACAAACTCCTGTCAACTTTTTCGACTCAATTTGACTAAATCAACTTTTACATTTAGATGTAATGCATGATGTGTTGATTAGATAAATCACAAAGTATAATTTTCTAGCATTTCTTTACTTATTCCCTGGAAGCTAGTGACGTCATTTCAGATAGCCCATAAATGCTGGTAGCGCAAAAGACTTTTCTTGTTATTGACAATAATGATTTTGCAGTGCAGTTGTAGTGTTGCATAGTTTTAATATTGGCAACTATTTAAGAAAATGGCACAACGTTTCATAGAAATAAATGCTGAAAAGTCAGATTTTTTTCAAAAGAAAGCATAAAGATATTTTGACTTTAAAGAAGGCGGTGTGTGTACTTCCTCCTAAATAACACTGACATTCGTTGACTTGTTAAAAAATCGAAGAGAAGAGTTTATGTCCTAGCATGTCTTGATGAAATATAAATGAGTTCTTTTTTAAATAATGGTAACAAAACATTAAAACATTTGCAGCTTAATACATTACTTGATGAGATTTCTCGCAAAATATTACAAAACAAAGTAGTGCAGATAAACTGCTTTTCAAACACTTACTTATGATTTCAATCTCATTTAATATGATGCATGAATTAATTGATCGGTTTTGAGGTTCATCAATTACTTCATTTAAAAACAGTGCACTACGTTTTGAAAAGAAGGCAAATTCATGCCGGTGATTTAATTTGACCTAGCTGTGACAAAACGCTAGCTTTATCTATTTTGCACAGCTCCGCAATGATTTCCTACCATAGCTACTTAATAGAATGGGCAAAACTTATAGATGTTTATATTAACGATCACTGTCAATGCCAGCTTTCAGTTGGGCTTCTTAAAGATAAGTTTTTTGTTTTTGCAGGAATAAAAGGAGGTACGTCAGCAAATGAATGCATAACATGCACCATGTGTATGCAACGCATATTGACCATAACATGTAGAAGATCTTGGATTTAGCTGCATCTTAAATTCTGAAGTGATTGTACTCGAGGGTAGGTTTATCTATTTTTTTGGCAAATTGTGTACACTAGCAGACGAAGAGGTTTGTGTATTTCTTCCCTCAATTCTCTAACGGCAGCTGAAAAACTTTCAGGTAAAAAGGTTTGCAAAAGAAAGCTCTTAAAATTGCATTGTTTTGTGGCACTAATGACTGAAAATGGGAAAACGTCGTTGGCGCAATGAACGTGTGTTGATCAACGTGAAGGGCAAGCAGTATGAGACATTCGAACGAACTTTAGCCCGTTTTCCGAATACTTTGCTTGGGAATTACGAGCGTCGACAGAAGTATTACAACCCAGATACAGGAGAGTATGTATTCGATTTCGATACGAGTGAGAGCGCGTTTGGAGCTATACTTTTCTATTACCAGTCCTCTGGCATCATGTCAAGACCTTCGGACGTAAAGGAGGAGGATTTTGAGGAAGCCATGCGACTCTTTGAAATATTCCAAATGCATTTGCTGCGACAAGACATCGATTTACCTCAACATCGTAGAGCAAGAAAGCTCTGGATGATGCTGGAATACCCTGAAACATCGCTAGCAGGGAAGATAATGGCGAACTTCTCGTTTATGATGATTCTAGCATCAAGTGTGACTTTTTGTATTGAGACAGTGGATAGGAAGCCAAAGGAGATTGGAAATCGTCGTGACAATGTCTGGTTTACGCTTGAAAGTATATTCATCGCGTGGTTCACACTGGAGTATATCGCGCGGGTAATTTCTGCACCGCGTAAGTCCGACTTCTTATTCTCGCTGCTCGGCCTTATTGATTTAGCTGCGATAGTACCATATTTTGCAACATTGATTGTGATGGAAGACGCGTCAAATGCGCGTTCATTCGCCATCATTCGTGCCTTCAGACTTGTACAAGCATTCAGAATAATAAAACTAACACGTCACAGCAAAAGCCTTCAGCTAATGGGCAAGGCATTGCTTTATTGCCGCGACCAAGTTGGATCCTTGATGTTCTTCTTATCGATAAACGCACTCGCCGGAGCATCGATAATGTTTCAATTAGAATACAAATATAACAAAGACTTTGACAGTATGATTTCAGGTATCTGGTTCTGCATTATTTCTATGACAACAGTTGGATATGGAGATATTGTTCCGGTGACAATTGCAGGGAAGATAGCGGGAGTTTTTTGCATCATAATGGGCTCAATCACCCTGTTCCACTTGTTTCTACCTGTTTATTTAACATACTTCTCTCTTTTCTACAACTCATCAAAGCACATGAGTAGTAAAGGGATTGGGTTTCTATGATCAAATTTTTGAAGATTGTAATATTGTTTGTGTTTATTGTAGAGGTGAAAATTTTAAACTAGCAAATGTATAAATGACTGTGTATCGAGAAATTTTTAGTACAGGACCTTCCCTCCCTAATCAAAGTTTGCAAATGCCATTGATTGGAAGGCCAGTATATATTAGCCAACCAATCATGGTCACATTAGGAGAAATGACGGCTTCTGGGATGATGCACTTAAGGATTTTAAAGGCATCCCATGAATTTCAGGAGTCACATTTTCACGATCTAGCTCCTTAGTTTCATCAAAGGTCGATTGTTGTAGTGTTAATTGCTGTAATTGTGAATCTGAACCTCGATTGTATCTATCTTTTTTATCCGAATCCCGATAATCCGTGTCTAGATTACCCGAATCTCGATTACCGAAAACTTTAATTATTATCTCGATTATCTAAATAGCTGAATCTTAATTGTCTATCTCTTCATTATCCATATATTGATTATCTTAAATTATATTGATCTTTTTATAATCCAAATCACGATTACCTGAACTTTAATCACCCAGAACTTGATTATCCGAATCTTAATAACCCGATCGGAATGGGATGCATGTCATGATGAAATGTCTTTGAACGCAAAACTGCACTCTTATTATGTTCTAGCTGTTCCAGCTCTTATTATGTTCCGAAGTTTCCCTGATTCGAGTAAATTTTATCCTGTTTACAAATGTTGCTATTTAGGCCTGCATCGGACAGGGGCGTAGTAGACATAAGAGCTTTGAGGGCGGCAGCCCTTCCAAATGTTCTTAAAGTTTTCAAAGGTCCCTACCCCTTTTTATGTAAAATTTATAGCAGAAATCTCATTTTGTCTGTAGTGGGATACTATCATTTACAGAAAGTGCCAAACCTCTCTAGTGACATTTTCAACAATATATTCGCACTTGTACATTCTGTGCAAAAGACGATTAAAAGCTCTTGCGCAACCGGCATGCTTAGCGGTAGCTGTTATTTTATACGAGAAGTTAACTGGGTTTTGTATTTTTATGCAGTACGATATTAGGCCTGTTTTGAAAATAAAGTCGCAAGGCATGCCGCTTGCGCAAAAGCCTTTAAATAAAATCATCTTTTGTAAAATCGTTATTTAGGATACGTTTTAAATGCAAAACAAAACCGCTTGACGCCAAACCCACAAGTAATAGTTAGCTACAACCATTATAAATAACTGAACAGAATTATCGGCTCTGCTGCATATGATATGTCATTCTAAATCACAAGGAGCTCAATCGCTGAGACATGTAACGAACAACAATTTTACTTACTCGCTTGTATCCTGCTATATCTTCCACCTGTTAACTCTCATTTCACATTCTCTCCAAAACAGAATTGTTTTTACGAAACATGAGCGGCAGTTCAGCCAAACGCACTCACGCTGGATTCTAAACCAAATGATTTCCGTGCAGTCTTTCTTTGAGTATTGCGCAGCCCTCCACCTCTTTCCTCTGGGAAGTCAGACTTCTTCAGTTAGCCTCATGTGATTTGAGGCAATAATTCTACCTTATTACCATGTTTTGTTCTACTTTTGGAGTGCGAGCCTATAACCCCATGTGAATTGATAATTGCCTGTTTTGAACATGAATTACCAAGGGATGCTTCCTGCTACTTTATGTATAGAAGGCAGAGACTGCTGGATAGGAGGTCAGACGTGGATAGGAGGCAGAGGCTGCTGAGAGTCAAACTTGTCAACTTTCTTTAACTGATAGCCTTAGATAGCTTTTTAAAGTGAATTAACCTATGCAGAAATTTGTTAGCAACATTTTTTACGTATATCAAATATGAATATCAACTTTTTACGTATCAAATTAACCATTAAAATTTTTTTTGGCAACATTCCCCAAAGAAATTGAGAAATTTCACATTTCGCGTGGTAAATGCAGAAAAACGAAAAAACAGCTTTCGTGTCGATATTTGAAATCAGCACGATGAAAACTATTAGTAAACTGGTTTTGATTTTTCACTTCATTTCCCATTTTTTCGTTTTCTTTTTAAATCATAAGCAAAATTAAAGATTCAGCGACAAGGCACCACTAGATGGACGTTATTTTAAACTAAATGGTATGGTCGCAAATGTTTGTTTACAGCTTGCAACAGAATGTGCCTTCAACCAAGAAACATGTTGCACCTTGCAAGCAGCATATCAAGATGCTCTGCTATCTATCAGAGATCTCAAGGAGTACATTGATCGGCTAGATTCATTTGAACTCGTTTGGCACTTTCTTGTGAACCCTGTCCCCATAACAGATAAAAAAGGTTTAAGAAGAAACCCGATATGAACAAAAGTTTGTAATAAACAAGAAGTTATTCAATCAAAAATGCATGTTTACAGATCTACAGTGAATCATAAGAGGGATTGGGTCAGAAACAAAGTGCTATTGGCAAGCATTGTAATGCAATAACATTTAAATAAAACAAGAAAAGATGCTTTGTTGGTATCCTAGATAAATCAATAATTCATATCAGCTGTATAGGGAAGCTAAAATTGGATACTATAGTTGATCCTGTTATCAAAAGAGGAATAGGTTTAATTGCTTGATGACATATGCAATGGTGTTTACATTACTAAGATAACATTAAGCATTACGCATAAATTATGCATAATGCGGCAACACTTAGTATTGAAAAGCAAAATGTTTATTCAAAAGAGCATATTAAAATATTTTGCTTTGAGTAAAACTTCAAATTTTGATTGAATATAGGATTGATGCCTATTCATCGTAATTATCATATTGCGTTTCAACGCGGGTCATTTCGATTTTAGCAATAACAAATGATTCATGTTTACAAATGACACTTTGCAAAACATCAAAGCTGAAAACCTCTATGTTTTCTAGGCCTAAACCAAACTTCTGTATTGGAATTACCTGCGTTGGAATCGGAGAAATCAACGAGAAGCGATTGCCTTCTTAATGATATTCATTGGTATATAGTCTTGTCTAGACTACCAGCACATAGTCATGTCCACATAAATTAGCAGAAAAACCGGCTTTAAGCATGAATAAACGTAACTTACTGTACTTTACAAACCTAATCATTTTTTCACGAATATTCAGAGGCCAGAACTAGTTAGACAATATCTCACAAGAAAAGGGCATTTTCCTGAGAAATTGTGTTTCAGTATAGCCCCTTCCTAGAAACCCCCTCCCAGTATTTAAGCTCGTCCCTTCAATTTTAATGTAATGTATGTTGCGCCATTAGCTTGCCAGAAGCTTTTTTATACTTGATTAAAATATCATCATTGTTCAGGCCATTAATCTGTATCATATTTATCATGTTTCTGGTGTAAAAGTGCAAAAATTCAGTTTCATTTAACTTTGGTCTCGAAGTGATATGCAGAGTAGAGTATACAGTTCTAATACTGCTTTCCCTGTGAAATAAAACTTAATGAAATATATCCAACTGAAATATATCTATGATACATGTCAGCATAAAGAAAATAGCTTAACATGTATGGATGATATCAATTGCTGATATTATATACGATTTTGAATCGATTTAAAGGCGATCGACAGATACAGTACTCCAGAAGTAAATCTTCTTTCAATCAAGAATTGACCAATCAGCGGGTGTGATTCCACTTACATGCTTATTGATTGGTCTATATTGATTGACAGGTTGATCCTATCAATAAATATAAATAAAATGTTTTCCATAACTTCCCTCCCCTGAAAGCAATATATCATAAGCAACTGAAATTTCCAGCAGAGGCAGCTTTGAAGCATTTGTAAAAGGAAGAAGCTCAGAAAATATTGCTGTGAAGCACAACCTCATGGGTAACTATTGAATTCTTCATGCCTCTGTTTGTCGCTAGGGCCTTTGTCCATTATAAAGCAAGCGTAGGCCTGTCAGTGGCGGAGCCATGGGGGAATGGCGGGGGGGGGGAAGGACTAGTCTCCCCACTTTTCCAGAAAGTTGGTCCTTGGGATTCTTGCAAACCTGATGAGAAAACTTCGGGGGTTTTGTTATGTACGTTATCTAGATCATCACATTTAAACGACATTTCTTGAGACAAGAGGTGTTTCTTTCGGAAGAAAACTTTTCAAACAGGGGGAAAGGGTGTGGCCCAAAAGGGTGTGGTCCCTGGCACATCTCTTGTAAATCCCCCCCCCTCCTATCCCAGACTGAAGCCGCCACTGTTTATACCTATGTGAAGTGTTACATGTAGAAAAAAATGAGAAAGAAAACAACTCAGTCAAGGTAGAGACTTTCACTATACCTTTCATGTTTACAGAACCATCGGCAAATGGCAAACAATTCACGTGAAAAACATAATGGAAAAGTAAAGGTGCATATAACAATACTGTCACGTGACTTCCTTTTTTACGCGTTCTTCTGATCAAGTTTAATGATGACCTACAACAAAGAAGAAAATATTATAGCAACAACAACAACAGTAACAAAAAACGATAGCAAAAATGAAATACAACTCCAACAACTTCTGAAATACAACTTTAGTTAAGACAAGTCTTGGCATACTCAACGGGTAAGCATTTGATATTTACCGTTTCTTTAAATTTATTTGAAAACATCTTATTCGGGAAAATTAACGAGAAAACAAAATAAAGAAAATTAAGATCAACAATCGTACTTTTTGTGTGTAATAATTATTACGAGCTTAACAAGAAAGCCTATAAAATCAGCGCTAATATTTTGGGATAGAAAAGTTTTTGGAATGCAACAAAACCAACAAACTAAGTTAAAGAAACAAAACTAAAAAACGTGTTGTTACAGCCTTCAGGCTGCAAAATGATTTCTGAATCCACAGACCAAAATGATTCAAGGACGCGCGCTGGACTATGTCCTAAAATTTACTCGTATATCAACGTCTTAATAATACATTAACCCAGATAAAAATGATGTAATAAAAATCAAAGGAAACTGAAGCAAAAATGTCTAAAATCACCTTATTTCCAAACAGGGGCACATAAAGAGTTTCTTCCTTCAAATAATTCCCTACGTACAATACTAGCTTGTTTCTCTTCTTTGTATTGGTCATGTGTTGTTTATATCATTAAACTTCCTTTTACGTTGTTCATACATTTGCAAACTTGGATTAATGTAAACTTGTAACAAATTTATGTATACAGTGCAATTTAAAATGAAACTGAACTGAACTTATACAAATTCATGGCACCTGTGAACTCGATAAAGGTAGCCAAGGAATAAAGTCCAACTGAAAATGGTTCAAACAGAGAAGGAGATCCGGGGGTCAAGTAAAGTCTGTTTTCTGCCTATGCCAGTGGGATCTGTTTCGATCAGCTTCTAAGTCGGTAACTAGAAAATTATGAAAACTCACCGATTTCACGAGTGTGTATTGTTCAAGCCCATATTCACCTCTGTAAGAAATAAAAAATAAAAAGGGTCGAACAAAACTCCAAACAGATCAAATCCAATTGCAAAGGGTTATGCTGTTTTTTAATTGAGAATATGCAGTAGGGTTTGAAAATTAAATTATGAAGTACATATGTTAAGGATCAAACATTGGAGAACGAAATAAACGATGGTAAGTGAAAGGACGATAGCGGAGAAAACGAGAACAGACTTTTGTGTGCATGTATCGGGTTTACTTTCACTCAACTTTAGTAAAAATATCAACTGCTTGAGAACAAAAATTTTCTGTAAAATAAATGTGTATAGAAATTTGGCAAAGGCACAGCTAGACTGGCTTTGTACCTGTCGAGCAGACAGACTTTAAACATTCGCAAAGACTAATAGGTTAAAGGATATTGATTGGCCAAAACAAAAGCCAATCAGAAAGCGTCATTGGTTCAATTGGCTAATCTCAAACCTAATCGGGATAAACTTATTGTCGTAGTTTAACGACAGTAACCTAAAAACAAGCATATAGAACTGGCAATACAATATCACTGCTTTTTTGTGCTATATTCATGGGTTCCAGAACGTCAGATCGAAAAGGGTTTGGCGAAATGTCTCCCGAACATAAGACTACGGATAAAATACTCAAAAAAGAGGACACTCACAATTCTCTGCCGCTGCCAGACATTTTGAATCCACCAAAAGGGCTCTGGGCATTCAAAACATCGTAACAATTGACCCTGTGTTTGAATTAGGAATAAATCGGTATTGCGGGACTGGGTTGTCAAATCATGTTACAAGAAAATTGCTCGTAAGTAGATAATGCAGACCATTCTGGCCAAAGGACATTAAATGCAGAAGTGAAAACACCCTCGCATGACGACATAACGAACCAAATTCTTACTTGATGTTTATACTGACAAAAGCATGATATCATACACGTAAAATCGCGAAGTTTATAATCTGAAGGAATCGTCATGAGAAAATGTATGCACTCTTTTTTGACTCGGAAGAAAGCAGTTACTTTAGACATAGCTTGCATAGAGCAATTATGAAGCATTTGCGGCTGGCAATCCCCTTGCTTAGAAATTCCACGCTCACTCACCAGACTGTTCCAGCTCTGATGCCATGCGCCACTTTCAAAGCTCTATTGAGGTCTTTAGTGTGAACTGCAGCAGCAAGACCGTAATAAGTGTCATTGGCTCTTTCAATCAGTTCATCAATGTCTTTGAACTTGATGATCTGCTGCACTGGTCCAAATATCTATGAAATTAATATTTATGTGCCATTAGGAATCATTCTACATATAATGACTTCTCAAGAACTGAAGCCTGTTGAAAATGTGAAATCGAAAGATTTTCAATCCTGTGCAAGACAGAAAGAGATTGCGAGGGGTAGGCCAGCAAAAAACCAGAGAAACTGCTCTGATGAAACCTAGCGAAAAGGACTTTCTTTTAAAACTTACATTTAAACCCAAAACATTGATGCTATAATATATTGTGAGAATAAGGGTGTGAGATGAACGTTCAGGATTTGAGACAAACAACTCTGAAATCGTAGTTAAGACTCTAAGACTTTAGGTTCACTTTGAGGCAGGGTTTACTCGTCGAGGAATGTCCTAGAAAGGGTTTTCATTGAACTTCTTTTGTCAGCAAGAATTCATTTCAAATCACTATATTTTCAACTCAATGATACTTGACACATCTTCTGATTGAGAACGAACTAAAGATAGGGGGAAAAGGGAAAGGTTGCTTGGTATACTAGAAATCATATTCTATTAGCAAACATACCTCTTCTTTGGCAATGCGCATGTCATCAGTGACGTCAGAGAAGACAGTTGGCTCGATGAAGAATCCTTTGTCACCAGCCCGTTTGCCTCCGCAGTTCAATTTTGCACCTTGCTTCTTTCCACTTTCAATTAAGTCCAGGATCTTGTCAAATTGTTCCTTGTCAATCTGTTACAAAAACTAATGTCTTTAAACTGTTGAAAAAGTGAATAAACAAACAAGTTTCTTGATCTTGAAAACAAATATTAATGTGCTTGCTATACGTAGCTGCTTTGATTATTTCAAGAAAAGTACGAATAATACAATGCATATAATCAGGAAATACTCGTTAGATAAAAACGGTTTAATTTTTAAAGGTTATGTTCAAACGAATCATACAACGATGTGGATATTGTAATTAAAAATTGAACCTGGGGTCCCTGTTGCGTTGAACTATCCATAGGGTTTCCCACTGTCCTCTTTTGAGCTCTCGAAACGCTCTTTTTAACAAACTCGTCATAGACAGACTCTTCAACAAATGTACGGCTTCCTGCGCAGCAGCACTGCCCTTGGTTGAAAAACAACGCAAAATGACTCAATTCCACAGCTTCATCAATATCAGCGTCAGCAAAAATTATGTTTGGACTTTTCCCTCCAAGTTCTAAAGTGACATTTTTCAAGTTACTTTTCCCCGCGGCCTGTTGAATAATTTTACCAATCTGCAGAGCAAACAAAAAAAATCTATTAAAAACTGGCACTCCAGAACAATAACACACATCATTTAAATCTTTTTTATAGCCGGGTATGATAGCTTGGAAAAATATTATTATCAATCATTATTACTATAATAATTAATTATGAATCGTATTAATCGTTGAAAGCCAAGGCTAATGATGAAATTAATTTTAAGCCCCTGAGAGGTGGCGCTCATTAGAGGGGGGCACTCATTAGAGGGGAAGGGGGCCCATTGCAAAAGATAGTAAGGAACTCAAAAATGTAATTTTCCCAATGGAAATACTAGGTTTTAAAAGTATGTTTTAACCGATGACTATCGTGATGATTTGCTGGTCTCCATCTGTGTTTGTAATATTTAGGGGCGCTCATTGAAGAGGAGTCAGTCATTCAGATTTTTGCTCAAATTTGACCTGCCACATTCACCTGCTTAATTTCCCTACCAAATTTCCCTACCAAATTCAACTGCCACATTCCCCTGCCTAATTACTCTACCTCGACCCCGGCCTCCTTTCCTTGCCCTCTTCTGAGGCAACAGCATGTCCTAAGGATACTAGAGGCAATTTTTTTTATATGCTAAGAGGTATCCATTGCCTTTCTGCCATTTACATAAAAAAATTTCTTTGAAAAAAAATAAAAACATTTCAAAATTCAAGCAAAAAAAGCAAGAAAAAATAAATATTTTTGAGATCATCAATTTATATGAAGGTGTATAAAAGGCTCTATGGCAAGTTTCCCTTGTTGAAACCTATTTACGAATTCGTGCCAACTGTAGGGAGAAGGAGTATTTTTAGATACTTTTATAATTCCTTTAAGTCTTACACCATCTTAAATGTAGGTAAACTGAAGCAATGATAAAAAAGTATAAATGTACCTCAGTTGAACCAGTGAATGCAACTTTGTCCACATCCATGTGCTCCGAAATGGCAGCTCCAGCTGTTGGACCATACCCAGAGATAATATTGACAACACCAGGTGGAAATCCAGCCTAAGGAACAATGAAGCTATGTTTCTAACTACACATAATTGGTACTGACAAAAAACAACTATAACTGATGGAGAGTACTGTATAGGAATACACCAGTCATCTAAAAAACTGGCTAAGGCAGGTATTTAGCAAAATAGCAAGGCAAGAGAAAACGATATAGAGAAAGCAAGATATAATAAGAGAACTAGTTCTCTTATTTTATCAGGCAGAAAGTGAAGAAAGCTCGTGGTCTTTGTCAGAGCATGATCTGTATCAAGGGCAGTAGGAAATATGCTCTCGTTTGTACCATGAAAGGCTGTGACTCTAGAAGTACCTTTTATTGTTTAAGATGCAAACACGGTAAATCAAATGGGCTCAACAAGGAGAACCATGACAACTATGAGGGGACAAGAGACCAATTTTCTCATATATTCTGATACAAGCAACCACAAAAGTAACAGTACCTTCATAGAGGCATATTTTTCAACATTCTTACAAAAATCCCCCAAGAAAATTAAAAAAACTTCAAAACAGTTGTCATTACTACTCTCCGAGCCAACGCCATGACGACTATGGGCTCAAATCTCTTTAAAAACCAACAAAACATTTTCTTGGCGATGTTTAAGACAGTGGTTAAACGAATCGAAAGTGAAAGAGGCAATATGTTTGCGAAATTGTGATCTTTCTTCCGTGTATTGATTTACGACAGCCAAAATTTGACACTTTTGGTAAACAGACCAGTTTCCCCGTTGACCTGTAGATTGGGCAAAAGTCTTCCGGGTTTCCAAAAAGCCATGCAAATCTCTTCTTTAACAATTACTATATATGACGAGAAATGGACCATAGTAAATCCCAAGACCTGAACGGAAACATTATTTTTACGACTCTGAAGACATCAGTGACCACTAAAAGCTAAAAGTAATGGCTTTACCTCTTTTATAAGGCTAGCAACGTACAGTCCAGTCAATGGAGTTTGCTCGGCCAATTTCATAACAACTGTGTTTCCACAGCAAAGAGCCGGTCCAAGTTTCCACGCTTGCATAAGTATTGGGAAGTTCCAAGGAATTATCTGGCCTACAACACCGACTGGCTCGCGTCTTGTGTAGTTGAAGAAATCTCCATCTGTCAGAGAAAAGTATTCTTTAATACTTTTATTTCAGCATTAGCGAGGCTGACATTCATTCCAAGCCTTAAATAAAATTTTCACTTTCTCACTTGATGTTCCTTTTTTCCATAAATCAATTCAAAAATTCATGAAACCTTCTTTTTCTATTACTCACTTCACAGAACCATCTATTACTCTACATCTATAGCTGAGCAATAGAGTTGTCAAGTGATGACGTCAAAAGTGTATTTTTAGAATTTTTGAAATTTGTTCCAATAATCTGAAAGAACATCATGAAATACCTCTAAATCTGCAAAATCAGTTAAACTTATTACGTATTGGCTGAGATATGACCAGATGAGCACATGCTCTGGCCCCATGAAACCTCTGTAATTTAGTCTCAGTTCATAACTTTCTGAACTGAGCCAAAATGGCAGTAATCCGTTAGCAAACTTAAAATCTTCAATTGGCCATTGCTCATCCGATTTTTGACAAATTTAACTGATTTTGCGTATATGGAACTATTTTATGGTGATCTTTTATGTTATGTGGTCAAATTGCAGACCCAAAGCACTAGTTACGCATCAATCGATCATGCAACTCGAATATATATGGACATACTGCCTTTGATCCGAGAAATCAGACAGAGGAATGAGCTTACCTGTAGGAATGGTCTTTCCGTGTATTTTGTCTGCCCATCCAGCATAGTACCGATAGCATTTAATGGTGAGGCTCAAATCGATGTTGTAGGAATCAGAGTAAGGCTTTCCGTTGTCCAGTGTTTCCAATTCCTAAAAGTGCATTTCTATTTAAACAACAAGTAAAGATCTTATGCAGGGGAATATAACAGATTTTTGAATTGATTGCAACCCTTAGCTTATTGTTCAAAAATCTTCTTTTACGCCAAGTGGATTTTTTGCTCTGTCCGCTATATGATTTGAAATACTTGGTAGGCTTAAGAGAAACTTTTCTTAAATAGGTTTCCCTAGAAATACTTTTTGACAGCGATATCATGAGATGCAAGCCAAAGTGGTCGCCCCCTTATGGATACGAAAGCAGAGGACATTTTTGAGCAAAGATTGATATTAAGCGTCCATAAAGCTCATTGACATCTTCATAACTTGACTACATGCGCCCTTGTCTCCACCATTTGGTTGCCCATACGCCCTTGTCTCCACCAAACACCCTTGTCTCCACCAAAGGCCAACATATAATTAAAAAAAGGAATTCTTAAAGTTTTATTACTCGAGACGATCATACTGTGATGTAATGCATGAGCCATTATATTTCTTCAAAAAGGGTTGCAGAGACATCAAAACATCTACTTTTCATATTCAATTATGACATACATATCAAAATAAATTATGTTATAAAAAAATTGAATAAGTTAAATTGCAATATTATCAAATATTCTTTTAAACTAGGATTTAAAGCGGAGGCCAATGTTTATATTCACACTGCCATAACTCCCACCCCACCCTTATAAATTAATGTTATTACAGCTTTGCCATCTATATACGTACATTTATGCAACATCACTCTGAGTAAAGTTTTGCTTCACCTTAAAACAACTAAATGAATTCAAACACACTAAAGACTTCTAGACAGTTAAAAATACAATTGCACTGCAAAATCAAAACAGAAGAAACTCGATCTTTCCACAACTCGATCATCTTAAATTGGACTAAAAATTTGTGACATAAGGTGAGATCCATGTGATAATTTGTCTAAACGAACACGGTTAGCTTACATCTTTGAGTGAAAAAAGATCTTATCATAAAATGGTTATTGAAATTTCCAAATTAGAATAGTGATACACGATTTATTTTTAATTAATACATGTTTAATTCAGAATTACACGAAGGATCAGTAAAAACGGGTGCTTTAATTCCCGAAGCAATCTTAGAAAAGGGGATTCTAGGATAAACCTAGAAAGCATGTCGTATAAAATAAAGCAAAGTCAGGTTAAACTCTGAAAAATCAGAGTTCAAGTAGCAATCCATACTGTCAATTTCTGATTTTAAAATTTTATAACTAAAGTTACAAATCTTTAATTACTCAAGAATCCGTAAGGTCCATTAAAACATGAGTAACTTTGAGTTGAGACGATGGAACAAGGTCCTTCTCGGATGGAATAAAAATTGAGAACAGACTGTGTGACAGATAACGAGAACATCAAAACGAACTGTTCTGAAATGTTCTGTTTTCCGTACCAGAAATTTCATTGTAAGCTGGGGGTGGCACACTGGGTATGCCGGGCACCTCTATTGAAATCTGCTCTGTTGCTTGATTGGCGCTTGGTTGCTGTGTTGGCAGGAGCAATCCAGCCATGCTATCAGCATCATTACCATTTATGAGATTTATGCGATCAAAGCCATCTGGGTGGTATACAATCTGCGGTCCATCTTGTTCACCAACCACAGCCTCGGTCCCAAGGAAAATTTCTTTCTGTATCGTGTATTCAAGTTTTTTCGTTTTCCAATTGAACAATGCTCTGTACACCCAAGTCAATCCAAGAAAGTTGGCAAACCAAAAGGTAACTAGATTCATCCAGAAAGACCGGTGTTTTGTATCGGTATAGGCGCATAACCTTTTCTTGAACCCATCAATGATATCCTCGCAAGTAAAGCAAATTTTGTCATCCCTATGCTCATTTTCTTTAATCATTTGATCTCGCATTTCGCTGAATTTCGTTGTAGTTTCGAGGTCACCGCATTTAACGTTTTGATCGAGCTTTAGACGCGTAACGCTGTGCAAGTCAAACCGCAGGCCCTCCGGATTAGAAACATCAACAGACCGGCCGATAGGGAAAACCTTATTCTCAGTATAGGTAGTAACCATCTCTTGATAAGTTTCAAGCCGTGTCTGAGTGTTTCCTTGTGCGTCAGTGTAATAAACTGTCCGGGTTCTTGTCTCCATGTGGTAACATTCTATCATCATTATTCTTACAGGATCAGTACTTCTTAATTTGTTCACGTAGTCAACAACAGAAACATCTGCAGAGATGCTTGCAATGTACTCATTTTCGGGACTGCAGCAAGCCTCGATCAGCATATAGAAGTAACTTAATATCACCATTACGATTCCCATAATTGTGAAATCTTCCATAACTTCCCCATACTGATGACACTGATAAGCATTGCATCCAAAAAGATAAATTAACCACACAATGTATGTGACAAAGGCATGGAGAGAAATGATGCGGAGGGCGCTTTTGTCTTTCATGATACCAAGGATCATATGAATTGAAGGTATGGCAACTTGCAGTAGGGGAACAATCGCCAAAAGCACGGGTTTAGTCCAATAATAGTCATCAAAGTTAAAAGGCTTTTTTTGCTGCTTGGGCCGACGCCACCATGGGAAGGTTCGCACTGTAAGCGGCGCTTTTGTTTTTCGCGGGGTTCGTACTGTAACTGGTACTTTTGTTGTTTTTGTTTTTGTTGTTGGTGGCACATATCTACACTGCTGTGGGCTTGTCCACTTAGAGGAAACGCTTTCTTGTTGGCACTGTGATATAAAGAACGACGGTTGGTAGGACTTTTTGCAAAAAACTGTAGCAAAGTTCGATTCTTCGAGACCGTAAATAACAACCTGTCGAACTGTAGATGGATAAAAGTATTTCTGACATCGCGGTGACACTTCGCTACAGGTAGGCCCGCGGTAGGCTTCGCCACAAATGCAGACAGTTTCATTTGTAAGATTGCTTTTTATGCAGACGCCTCCATTCAAACATGGGTTCCATTCAGAGCATGAGGGGACAGTGCCATTAATGACTCTTTGCGGAAGCCCTCTACAACGAATGCCAACAGGGTTGGTAAATTTCTCCCAAGAAGAGCCTCGAACTGTTTCCCAAGCAGATGTGACGTATTCAGGACGAAAGGCGCTGTCTCTGGCTCTCAAAAAAGGAGTATAGCCTTCATGCTTAACCATCCAATATGGACTTTGATAATAAAGTATCCATTTTGTCTTCCTACTGTGTCTGTATATTTTTCGGTCGCTCTTGTAGCTGTTGTAGACCCCTAACTTTTCCTCGAAATAGTCTGTCAGGTGATTGTGCAAAACCCCGCCGTCATCCAGACTGGTGAATGTTGTATTGAAATAAACCCGACCTGATGAACAGCGGAACACATCATTTGGAACACAAACCAGCTTCATCGCGTCACGGCGATAAAGGTAATGATACGATTCAGACTGCCAGTCATAATAACTCCAATAGCTGATAAACTTTTGGTATGGCTGCACCGTGTTACCGTTACTTATCAAGCTTTGCCATGATTTCCCAGGAAATTCACTTGTCATCTTCACGTTCAAGCCCATGAAACTTCTCTGCAAGGTTGACGGATTTAAGTATGTAAAAGCCATCGAATTTTCCCCTTTTGCGTTGATGTATTCAAAAATGTAATTCCTTTGTTCGTGTTTAAACATCGGGTGTCCATTACTTTCATTAATTTTGCGATAGATACCTGCTAGTTGGACATAAGGCATCTGGCTCGAGTGTCCGTGATCGAAGTAGAGTCTTTCGCAAGGTTCTGAAGCAAGAAACCTTGCGAAACATAAGAAGAATAGGATACAACAAGTTGAAATGATTGCCATCGAAGAAGCCTTTCTATATCCAAAGAAAAAATATGTCTGTTCCGCGGGAGTACTGGTTCACAAATGACAAGCCAACTTCCTTGTTCAGCATTTCCAAATGATATGACGCAGATCCACACCCCACAGCTTGCTTGGTTACGCAACACCCGGTGACGTAATCGTACTTCCGGATATTTTTCCTTAATACTTGGAAACAGAGAGAAATGCATACCGTAAATTCTCGAATAAGCCCTCTTGGGGGTTTATTAACTTGGGCACTTTTTAGATTGAGGTTTATTCAAGGGAGAGGGGCTTATACAAGAGAGAGAGAGATAGAGAGGGGGGGGGGGGTATAAAAATTATCTACCAGTTGTCGAAGCTTTATCGCAATTTTCATGTTAGCTTTATCACGATTGTCATTTCACAATTTAACACTGTCTAAAATGACGACGGAACGAAATTTACATTGTGGGGGAGGGGTGCTGCCCATTGTATTGCTTTACATTCAGTACACTATTATAAAAGAAAAATCCTTAGCGGAATTTCTCACAATCAAATTCCACAGTACCTCAATCCTAATTTATTCTTAATTTTTGACCAAGTTTGAGGATCGTGTTCTTATGAAGTGCAACTTGAAAAAATTGTACTTCAGTGTTACGAGGTTCATTTTTTATTTAACTGAATAGATAATCTTGCTTGTTTTGAATCGAAGGAAAGGAAGCAACTTGTTTATATGCCGGTTTGTATAAATTTAAGGAGTAACAAAGTACGAGAAAATCACTGACAACTTGATACGAAATCCGGGTTAAGGGTGAATATTCAAACTTGTCGGAAAATGAAGATTGTTTCACTCACTTTGTTGGCCAAATGAGTCCTAAACATCCCCCCTCTCCCCTACAGCGAAAAAGCTAACAATCGCTCTGCTTACACCCTATTAATTTAAGAACAAATTAAGAACAATCAAGCCTCTTCGAAAAAAAAGAACAGTCAGCCTAAACTTTAATTTACTGGTTCTTATAAAAAAGAGTGTAGTTTGTTTTATTCTTGAGAGCGGGAAATGACACGTCATCGTCACCATGAGCATGAAAGTTCTTTCTCAGGAGTCCGGGGGGAAGGGGCACTTGACTCGGAAAGTGACGGGGGTGCGCGGAATATCTATTTTGTACCCTAACCCTTCCACATAAAAAATGGCCAAAGCATACCCTGTCCCGAAAAAGTATGCCAAAAATACTGCACAATTATGACAAAATATACTAGATCTCACGATATTTACCGATAGTAAATGTAACTGAAACATGCTCATTCTATGAAAACTCTAAAAACAGGTTGGAAAAATTAGAAAAGGGATCCTGGTAAAAAGAGAGGGGCATATGTACCTCCAAATTGTGCCACCTTTCCCTTTCTTTACGCAGGTGATCTTAATCTGGGTTATAACAAGTTACGACGCCTAGGGCACATTAATTCACACACTGCTTCAGACACCAGAGACAAGCTTCAGTAAAAGAAAATTTTGAAAAATAGATTACCGGAAAGTCGTCAGTCCAATAGAATGGGGTAAATTTTGACCGAGCCTCTTTCTAAATTTTGGCCGAGCCTCTTTCTCTGAGCACAAAAATATTCTTTAGCAACAAATCGTAATTTGGGAAAGATTGAGAAAGAAACTTCAAATCTTTACAACTGTTTCCTCATTATGAAAGAAGAAAAAACGAGAACAGAACAATAAGAGTCGATTTGCCATTCACAAAGAAGACTGTGCGAACAATTTACAACAGAAATGCAAAAATGTTCAAAACATTGCTAGAATATTCGATGTGAAGTAAAACTTGCCGACAAAATTTACTTGGAATCCTGTTTATCTGGGGGTGTAGGGGTTGCGACAACCCCCCTTCCCATTATTTTCGTGTCCTTGGTAAATTTCGCATTGATTCGGCAAAAAGCATTTTTGGTTGACAGTAGTAGCAAAATACTTCATTCACATTTTTTACCTTAGAGTTAAAAGCTGAATTCCTGAAATTGGTGCTTCTGTAATAGAGCTAAAATAGTGCCAGCCCCAGCATTAGGATTGTTATGTTTTGTATACGTAGTTATTTTGTATATACGTAATTCTTAGGAAACTCCCCGTTGTGTCTCGAATGTTCTGTCGTCGCGACACAGCACCACGCAGCATTACACTGCATTCCATTCTTTTGTGTAGGATTACCCCTCATTAGGATAACATCATTTTGCGTATTCGTCTGTTTCTAGAATTATCTCGTAGTCTATTATTAGTAACATTTTATGCTTAGTTATGCTTTTCTGGTAATTTCCTTGTACATACAAATATACGTAGTTCGTGAGATTCGAGAGATTCGAAGAGAGCTGTAGAAGGCATCAGACATGTAAAGCCCAATCTCCAGTGAGAAAAAAATCAGCGAAATGCGAAAAAGTTCGCGCGAAATATGTATTGGGCATGCGTGTGATCTTTTGCTGGGATTTCTCGCGAAGAATTTCTCTGCTTTTCGCTTGCGTAATCCTTCAGCAGCCAATCATAGTCCATATCCCTTTGTCGCGCTTCCAAACTTTACATTGTCGTGAGGTCAACAAAAGCATTCAAAGGAATTTGTTCGCGTGAAGTATTTCGCAGCAAAATTTGGCAAAACCTTTTCTCACTGGAGATTGAGCTTAAGGCTAAACACCAGTAGGTAGCTAACCGTCTCGCCCAAGAGGCTTGCGAAAGTTCTTGCGGCCCAGTTTGGATTTAGGACAGGCAGTGCTTGAGAAATACTGCGCTGTGCCTCGTTTTATACTTCGTTGGATTGTTTTGAGTGTTAGAGTTCGCGGAGGACCGTGTCGTTCATGTTAGCTGTTCAAGTTTAGCCTTGGAAATGTTATATGATGGAAATGGAAAGAAAAGTATAGCCGCTCGCAAGAACTCGTCATTCTTCAAAGTCTCAGTCTTCGCAGTATATCTCTCGATTCAAATTTCCATTTAACACTTCAATCATCTTCTATTCACATGAAGGGAGTGGCACAAATCCAATCATTATTAAACTTACCCCCCCCCCCCCAATCCTTGCCGCTTAAATCCATTCATGTTCAATTATTCCTCTGAAAAACGTGCTTAGACGAAAAAACAAAGTTATTAAGCACTCTAAAGATGTGCAACTTACAAACAGTAGCAGAAAAGACAATCTTCCGATGCTTAGCGGACTCTTGAACTAGCTGAGTTTTGACTGATTTCTCCGATGCTTAGCGGACTCTCAAGCTAAATCAGTGATTTCCCTTCATTGTGCTAAGTATTTCAAGTATGTTAGATTTTCAGGTGTTTTAGGGATCATATAGGAGGCCTAAGAGTAGGAGCACTTGATACAAGAGCTTGGAGAAGGGTAGGTCATTCTCAGTGGCGAAGCTAGCCAAAAATTGTTGGTCCTGCTATATGGACAGGGCCACGCCCTTATTCAATTGGAAAAGCCTATGGACAAAAATTCTATTTTGCAGATGAATTTTTTCTTAAATTCAGTAAAAAGCAAATTTTAAATCGATGTCTATCTTTTGAAAAATAAATCCATACTTAAAGACGTGCTTTAGGGTGCTTACTTTTCAAACAAATCTATGTTAAATTGTAGTAAGCCTCTACAGCTGAAGTAAAAGTTCAAATTGGTGATAACTAAATTTGACGATAAAAGGGGGTAGGGGTGGCATTTGAAGTTGCATATCATATATTTGTGGTATTCCAGATTTTGGTCTTATAAACCTGACCAATCTAGATACTCTATTAAAATAATTTTAATAAACAACAGAGTTTAAAGTCTGTAGGGGCAAGTTCACATATTCTGCAGAACAATTATTCTGCAGCTGATAAAGAGAGGTACAATCGAATAATGTGTCGCATTATCAATGAAAACAACTTTATTAGATAAACCATTAGACGAGAAAACAATTCAGGTAGAAAAATGCAAATTCCGCTGAAATTGGTTTATTCTCCAACTCAAAACTTTCAATCACACAACAGTAAATTCAATTATGCTTTCATCGTCCTTGTCCAAGTCTAAGAAAATTTTATTTAGGCCACCATGATATACCGTGCCTCAAACGATCGTACAAAGGCCGAAATCAGAGTGCCTCATACAGCCAATTCTTGTTGATTGCATTTCTTTCTTGTGAACTTTGGACTCTGTCTTGTTACAAATAAAATTTATGCAGCTCAACTGAGGCAAGTTTTGCTGTCAATAATAATATCATTGGTATTGCCAAAGCAAGCAGAAAATCTGCATTCACATCGCCTCGCCATAATTCTTGAACTGGCCTCCTTGCTAGTATCTCATAGCAAAACGAGAATGCACAGGGCAATTCTTGCAGTCCTGCTCTCAGAAATAGCAGGACCAAAGGTTTTCAAAACAATGCTCTTTGACCTACGTAGGTGAACCCTCGACCAATCAAATCACAACTGCTTACGAAATGTTATGATGGTCATTTCGACGAGGTCCTGCTCCCGAGATTGAGCAGGACTGCTCTTTGTTCTAGACTATTGTGAAGCAGGACTAAATTCACAAAAGCCCATTGTGAAGCAGGACCAAACATAGGGTATCATAGTTATGAGCAGGACCAAAATACAGGGCTGCCGTAGAAGAGAACAGGACCTTGAGATTAGCACGGGATGCCTGTATCAGCTGGCGGAACTGGGGACTGTTTATCAAAAAGAATTTGAAACTTCCTTTTTGCAAAGAAGAAATTGTTTATTGTTTACAGTAAATCTTATCTTTGGAAATTCTTGATCCTGCTCAGCAGGACCAGCAAGACCTTTGGCTTCGCCACTGGTCATTCTATTCTGGGTAGGGATGAACACCATAGAGAGGATTTTGGTATAGCCTTTGGTGCTATTGTATTGTTTTTTGTTAGGGTCAATGGGTAGCCATGCCTACCATGCTCCCATTGACATTGTCTTTGTAATCTTGCTCTCGTAAAATTTACTTTGACTGTGTCTAAAAAAATAAAAAATACCATAGATCTTTTTGGGAAGAAACGTTGCCTTTGCTCGAAACAGAAGGGAGCCATGATCACAAATATACTCTTTTTTATAAGTATAAGTATTCAGTCTCAACTCGCATATTTGTGTGTCATTTGTCAGAAGATGCCTGTTTTACCATGCTCATAACAAAAAATCGCATGACTGATATTTGTTGTTTAATTCTCCAGCTTAATTCTCCTGAATCCATATCAGATTTGCAAAAAAAAATCAATTTAAGAAAATATTCAAGCTCAAAAAAATTTCTAAAGAATATCGAGGCTGGACAAAAAAGAGCGTAGATCGAGAAAAATTGCTTACCGCCAAATATTTCCTGTCTCGCTCAATGAGATCTGCCAGTCTGTTTAGCAATAAGCCTCGGTCTGAAGCATCCATTGTTCTCCATTTGCTACCAAGCTTGAATGCTTGCTGAGCCGCTTTGACAGCAATATCGACATCAGCCTGCAAGTTTGTTGTTTACAATCATGATGATGCAATTAAACTAAATACAAATTTGCAACAACGACAAAGGGCCTTCCCCGAGAAGGCTATGATGTGGGTCGTATCGTTATTCAAAATGTCTCTAAAGAATAAGATTGCAGCTCCGTTAGGAACAAATTACGACCAGGAGTTCATCCAAGGCATGCAATTTACAGAAAAATGATGAACAAAATAGATGGAAAATACTGACCAAATGTCATAAGCAAAGCAAAATTTCTCATTTAATCACAAATTTTGTACAGATCCTTGACCAGTTGAATCACTTGGTTTTTTTGTTGCCATCTGTACCTGTCTTTTCCCCACGCTATCCATACTGGTGTGCTTCAGGGCTCACTTATAACCCTAGTGTTTTTCCTTAATTCTATGAACGGCTGTATCTCCAAAACTAATTCTCCTATGTGAAATTCATTCTTAACTGACTCCTACATCAGTAAAAAATTCGAGCCAAAATGTGTTTAAAAGAAGCGTTTATCTTTTCAGATGTGAAAAACTGCCTCACAGTAAACAAAAACCAAGGCTTTCTAACACTTCATTTCATCGAACACACCTCATCTGTTCGATGGGCTAGTCCCAGACTACTTTTCTACGCGCGTTTCTTATTGTTGTTAACATAAAAACACAAAGTTGATATTCTACACTCATTCTAATCTTACATCATCTATACAAAAGCTCTCATTATGATCAAATGATGACCAAATCTATTTTGAATAAAATGACCAGACAATCCTTTTACCAAGGGTAATATCCTTACAGACTGTATCTTTTCCTATACATTTTTGTCCTTGCGTCTCTTTTGGCATTCTCACAGTAGCTGCTACAACACTGACATCACGAGCATCTACAACACTGGTTTTTTTTTCGAAAACCAAGAAGTAAGGTCGTCCTGGAATAGGGTGGACATTCCGCTCCACTATTTTGTTTGAATAACTGATTTCATCTCATAATTCCCATATCGACGAGAAAATGGTAGGAAAGGATGAAAGTTGTAATTTTAACTTTCTTTCGGTTAATCAATAATGTCTTGAGGTTCAATCAGCTTTAATGTCTTAGTCAATGCTGTACAGAGCATGATATGCTGGAAATAACATACCTTGGTAGTATCGTGGTAGGAGAAATCTAAAAGAGCTGAGCTGACTGTCGAAAACTTTCGCAATTTTTCTGCTGATAAAGCTGTGTTCCAAATGAGTGTTTCATCATCGTTTTCTTTGCAATAAAGGCCATTTCCAGCCCTAAAAGGGCGTTACATCTAAAACATTTCTTGGAATGCCCCCTTGCTTGGAACGCCAGCTCTTTGTAATCCCAAGCGTTGGAATCATAAGGTGTGGTCACATCGAGAAGAAGGACCAGGACACTGCTCGATAAGCATAAGCTTCTCAGTGTCCTAAGAACTTCCTTCAGATGCTAGGTTGAAACAAATACAACAAAAATATAACAAATTTCCGATTTTTCTTTCCTGCTATCATAAACCTAATTCGTCATTCCAATATTTTCCAACGTTTTTGGAACCATAGGGGCAGTCAAAGTCCAAGAAGACCTTGCCCTATCAATTAATTCAAATATCATTTGGTAAATGCACGGCAACGTTTTCTAAAGTTTGTAGGAAACAGTTGGTTCTAATCCCTATGGTTTTCAAAAGCCAGTTAATAGTTGGTTCCAGTATGTATGGGCAAAAACAAACTCCACTCTCGTTACGCAATCGCTCCTGTCTTTCTTCTGTCGATAACATACCAAATAAACGCCAAACAGTCACTTTCCTACGTCATTTACAATAAAATTTGTTTACCTTGTCACCTTCTTGTACGTCACATATCTTTTCACCAGATGCAGGGTTTATTGTTGGGAATACTTTTCCACTCACAGAATTCACGAACTCGTTGTTTATGAACAACTAGAAAAGACGAAGAGCGAAACTTTAATGACGCAATAATAAGCAGGGGCGTCGATGCAAATCAGAAAGTAAGGATGCAGAGGACAAATTGAAGACCTACAAAACATTTTTTGCGTGAAAGCTCTAATGTTTACAAAAAGTGGTGGCTATTGCCCTCCAGTTCCATCGAAAGCAAATCCCTTCCCTCTCGTCGGAGGCCCTGCCAAGATAAGTACCATCCTAAACTCAAAGTCAACGGTACCTGTGTGAACTTGATTTCCACTTTGCTATCTGTGTTTGCTATAGGAGAAATGATAAGTATGAGTCACAGTCAAACACGAATTTCAGGCAAGTCAAAAAGCACATGTTAAAAGTCGTTGGCTTCAAAAGAACATCACTCCATCCGATGCTAATCGGGAACCTGGTTTTCTTCCAGCTCTTGTGTAGAGTAGCATTATTCCGGAAAAAAGATATAAATAATAAAAAACCTACCAGGCATATCGCAATCTTTATGGTTAGCAGAGCAGCGGAAAAACGATATCTTTTCGTTTGAGATCGTGGAGCTATGACTGCAGCAAACAAGCCTAGTCTCTTATTCTGCCATTTACAACCTTGCAGGGTGCATTGCCAAAACAATCAAGAGACAAAGAGTGATTTCAACTGTGAAATTTATTTGGAAATTAAAATTCCATAGGGACACGTAATATTACATTGTGTTGCCACACGTGGGAACTATATTTGTTTGAAGCAAAAAAAATAAATTGCTTGTTTTTTATGGCTTAGCACATCAATTTCCACCGACTTCTGATGCAAATGCAAGACGTAGTTATGAAAAAAAAGATATTCAGCGAAAGAACGCGAAACTGTAATACATTTTACCTCAGTCACTCAGGCTCAGTGTAGTATCTTACCTTAAAAAAGACAGGGAAATAACCGTAACTAACTAACCGCAGGTGTTGTCAAAGTTCTCCAAACTGTTTCTTGATGCCAGTATGCCAGAGAATTCAAATCTACCAGGTACCATTTCAAATTTTACTTCTGGTCACGTGACAAGGCAAAATTTCATTTTACGGTCAGAAAAAATTAAAAGTCTTCATTTTTCACTTTAAAAGTCTTCAAAAAAACTTCATTTTTTATAAATCTGAGGCAACCATTGGAAAGAGCATCTTAAAAAGAGATGAAAAAATCTATAAAACATCGACCCTGTGACTTATATTTTAAGAGATATGGACCGTGGACCGTTAAACTTTCGATAATGACGTCACAAAATATCTAACTTTGCCCAATTCCTAAAGGCGTAAAAATTTTTTTTTTTTAAGAATTGATATACATACTTTAAAGCTCAAATTCACTAAAAGAATCATCTGTTGTATCATCAAAAGAATCAAGCCAGGCCCAGGTACTATCTTGGTCCGACACGGATGTATTTGACCAGACGGAAATGGAGGGGACTACCACTTTGGGGCGGGGAAATTTTGATAATCAGTTTCGAGTTCTTTATCAACTGGAGATATTGAATTGTGATAGTAAATGGGGGATTTGCCACTGTTTTGAGGTAAAATGGGGGCTAAATCAGGAGAAGTTCCTGCTAATCCTCTGCGAAGGAGAAACATGGCTTGAATGACGTTTTTATATACAAAACTTGGTCTAAGCAGTATATGAAGGATAGTTTATCTTTTTTGGTAGAAATACGTTTAAAATAGTAAAATGAGCTATAATTTGTCACATGACGTCTAATAACCCCATGTCCTTATATGGATATCTTTTTAAAAACGGGCAAAGCCAACTCATCCTTTGCCATCGGAAATCCAACTTAGCATGCGATTGACTATCAAAACTTTAGGAAGGGACTGTCGTGGTACTCAAATTATAAGAAGAGACTTTTGTCGTTTTTTCAACCTACATTGATAGTATTAATTGGTCTTAAAGAGTATTACTGTGCTCATACAGATTAGCATGGAATCTTTCTGAGAAAGTCAAGAGCTAGAGCTACAATTTTGATCTATGCTTAATTGTCTTCTTGGCTCGTAAGGTAAAGAACTTGTCTTTTAAAGTCAGCAACTGAAAGAGCTTGCGTTTTTTCTTTAGCATACAGTGGGCGGATCATTGTAGAATGAAACTCATCTGCGACATACAGTAACACCGGAGAGGGTGGTGCGGAGGGGGGGGGGGCAAACGCATTAAAGCATTAGTTTATAAAAAAATTCCCCTTCGACGGCAACCACGGTGCCGCCTCAGGTAGTAACTTCATTTTACCCTATCCTAATCTAAGGATATCAGGGTCGTTCACAGTAGGTATGAAGAAACAAGATAAAAATGCATTTTAAAAAATTCTTTCCAGCTAAGGCAAAAGTTACGAGTTTTTCTGCCCCACCCCCCCCCCTTACAGTTGCATGAGATGCTTCTATTTGATTATAATGAATCAAAAAAAATTTGTCGGAAATTTTTTCTTTCTGAACCCCCTCTAGAATCCATTTGCCACGACACCCCTGGGCCGTGGGTAGAAACGTGGGGATATTACAGGCACCGCGCAGCACTTGACTAGCAGGAGCTATAGCCCCCCCTTTTTTTGCAATAATTGGCTAGAAAATTTGCTGGAAGGTTCACTCTAATGCAACTTTGGATGGTTTTTCCTATGTAATAGCAGTTCTTCTTGACTGGGAACCTTTTTGTTCATTTTCTAGGCGTTTTATCTTGTTTAATGATATGATGTATTTTCTAACTTTGCGAATAGGCGTGACCACTATCAGTAAAAAACACATGTAATACCGACATAGGCAGCCTTTATACTAGCCCGGGTTAAAACAAAACCGGGTTAAAAGTTATCCGTTTTTTAAGTGAATCAATGGAAACGGCATTTTTCTTCGACCAGTTTTTAATCCGTTTTTTATCGTTACCACTAAGCCGGAGTAAAATGTATCCAGGGTGAAAAGTTGTAAGAGAAATCAGTATTTTCATCAACAGTCCTTCAATTTCCATCGTTGTAGGCCAATGAAAGCAACATCGACATCCAGGATTTTGTTTTTTTATTTTTGGTGCCATCTCAATTCTTAAACGTTGCTGTTGTTGCAAGTGGGTCTGAAGTTACCAGGGTTTCGGATAACTTCTGACCTGTATCAGAATCATTGAACAAAGCGGATTAGCAGGGGCGAACGCAGAAAAATTCATGACCGTGGCACAAGAACAGTGGGGGTCCGGGGACGTAGCCCCCGGGATTTTTTTTTTGGTTGACCACGCCCTCTGGTGTTTCGGAAACGCCCAGTCTGAGCATACAGAGACCGGTATAGCTTTTATACCGAAAACATAGTTACATTCAGCGCAAAGCTGTCACCGCTCCTGTCGTTTTATCATTAAACAATACTGGCTCTATGTTTTCAACTTGCAAACAAATAACGATGCAAACTGATATAGGCTAGTCACTGGACGCATTTAAATAATATACATTTAAAAATTTATATATAATGGCTAGTTCTTACAACTGACAGATCAAATTATCTTTATTTTTAGCCAAATGAAATTCTTGACAAATTAAACTAGGCATACTTCTGCGAAGCTTCGACAGCTCGTCCACTTAAAGTTCCTTCAAAGCTGCATGGTCTCGCGATTTAATAAATTTTTCAACTATTCTTTGAATATTCATTGCCAAAGCAAAGGGAATCCTTGCAATAAACTCAAAATCGAACTTAATAAAATTCTTGCGTGCTGAATCGTCAGTTTCCTGCAGACCGAACACGTTTTGTTTGTTTTTAGGCACCCTCAACAGAAGCATACAGAGCCTCCCTCAACGGTGGCACAAGAACAAAAGCACAGCCATTTGGTCTCAAAACATATTGTTTAAAAATGTGCGCGCATACTTCTATTTATATCTAGTGTGGCACGATTGCTACTAACCATATTTGGTAGAGCCAATTATTCTGTGTTAACAAAAGGCAAACAATAAGCAATTCCAACACGGCGTACAACTAAATTAAAAGCGGAGAGGGGGCGTGATAGATAAACGCTGGAGCGAAGGGGAAGTGTTAGACAGCAAGGACCATATCGGGATATTAAGAGCAGTCCATTATCTTCCAAAAATTTAAATTTGGACATCTGACCGTGGCACGTACCACCGGTGCCACCGTCTGAATCCGCCCCTGGATTAGAGTGTGGTTACGTGAAATACTGCTGGCCTAGTATGGAGCTCTTCAACAACTCAAGTGTGGTCTGCGTTTTATTTAATCAAGATAGCGAAGCAATTCTTTCTAAAACAACAATAACAGGCTCACATTTCTTCGCCCTTTTTGGCTCTGGACAACCATCTTCGTTCATGGTAGGCAAATTGTCTTCTTTCCCCTGACAGCGCGTGGTTCTGTTGTTATGTTAGATGAACAAGGGGATAGTTTTATATTGTTTACGAGGGTAGAAGAATGGGCTAGCGCCCGATTGGCTCTTAAAACAATCCATGCGAAGGAGAAAACTGTTCAATCGCTGGTATATCCGCAAGTTAAACAACAGTCTTAGAAAAATGCAAACTCAAATAAACAGGTGTAGTCGGTGCCCCAGTCCAGAAATGCATTTGTTGCATTTGTGGACTGGGGCGCAGGCTAGCGCAATTGATAGTGATTGGATTTCGGTTGCTTCACACTCCCTTCAGTTGCTGGAAAAATGACAGAAACGCCCCTTTTTATAACAACGTTTTTAACTTTGATATTAAGAAGATAAATAAAGTAAAATACGCACGTTTTTCATAAGTATTTCTAATTTTTTGCTGAGCCTCAACTTTCTTAATTGTTTTTATTTTGAGCCTAAGATTAGTCTGAAATTATGCTTAAGTGACACAAGGTATAATTGGTTGCATTTCAGTGTTAACGACTCCAAGGCTTGGTGCGTCTTTTTCAAGACATCAAGCATGAAACCCCCCTTTCCTTTTTTCCTAAAAAGCTCAAACAAACAAAAATTTGATTCTTAATGAAACCGCGGATGAAGCTTGAGGCTTAGATTATTCTTAAATTATTTTTGAATTTCAAAAATTTAAAGCCTTAACATTCCTATAGACTATATTCTTATTAATACATCAACTCAATTTACAGTCTTATCTTGAAAAATTCTTAAACTCTATATTTGGATTAAGAGCAAGAATTTCAGTATTCTTGTAAGTTTGTTTGCATTGTGTTATTGCTCTTTATATTGATCAAACATTATTTCTCCGTAAAATTGAAAATAGAAGCTCAAACAATATGAAAAATTGTATCTGGCCGAAAAGTATGGTGGTATGGTGATAATAAACCGTATGTTAGCTCAAAAATGTCGTACAACGAAATATTGAGTCATTTCCAAAACGAGGGCGTAAATTATCGAACAGTCAATGTAAAAAGCTCCTATACAAAGAGGGCTGTTTTGTTGCGTTTTTACTTATTAAACTTACCGGTACACACCCTAATCAATCAATAGAGTTCTCAAGTGATGACGTCACAAAAATATATTTTTAGAATTTTTGAAATTTTTCCCCATAACCTGAAAGAGCATCATGAAATACCTCTAAATCTGCAAAATAAGTTAAAGGTATTACAAGCACAAACAATATGAAAAATTGTATCTGGCCGAAAAGTATGGTGGAATGTGTTTATGACCAGGAGAGGACAAGCTCTGGCTACGTCAAACCTTTTTAATTTGGTCTCAGTTCATAACTTTATGAACTGAGCCAATCACCCGATTTTTGACAAATTTAACTGTTTTTGCATATATGGAAGAATTTTATGGTGTTTTTTTATGTTATGTGGTCAAAATTGGAAAATAGTTTTTGTGACGTCACACGTGAGAACTCTACTTATTACAGACAAGACAGCTTGCTGACTCTCCTCCGATAAGGATAGATCCTTCAGTTCAAGATTTTAAAGTAAGGGCATTTTTTAAGGATTTTTCAGTAGTGGAGCATTTCTCGAAAGGGGCCACGTCCACGACAAGAAATTATCAGGTGCTGACAATTGTAATATGCTTGGAATAGGGAATTTTACTCATGGTGTTTGCATTTTACCACATTTAGGAACATTTTCATGACATTATTACCATGCTGTTTCCATGCCAAGTTATTCTAGGATTGTGTCTCGGGTTTCAAGATTTTGCTTGAATTACTATAACGAAGTCTCTTCAAAAAGTTCAGACAAATTGTTGATAAACAAATTTGGAATCTTTATTTATGAAATGTTTAAGATCAGGAACCAAACTAGAAAAGAGATTCTATTAAAAGTTTCCAGTGAATAATCTGGATGTCTATGAGAAATCTGAAACAAAGTTTCCAGAAAGTTTAAAAATGGGATCATTCTCAGATAAATCGGAACAGTGTCACCGAGAGGTTTTGGAGGCCCTGTGGCAAAATGGAAAGATGACGCCCTTTGCGAGTGGGGTGAGCAGAAAACTTTTGGCGACCATCCCTTATAGATGAGCTAAAAAAAGATTTCAGAATATTTTAAGAGACATTTTCTTGCAATCCTTTTTAAAAGGTACACATGACTTCGATTAAGAGGATTTTCAAATAGACAAGCCCTCATGGGGGGGGGGGGGGCTAGCTTGGGGGACTTCAGTGTTGACTTTCCGGGCTTCTTATTGGAAACGAGACTGTGACCAAATAGCTTACGGCGATGGTATAAGAACGATTAAGCTGAAACTGCTGTTGACGAGAACACTTTGCCTCGACAGACAAACCTAGTAACCTTTCACCCAAAACCCCTTGTTTGATTTCCTGCTGACAGCGGCATTGAAATAGCTTACAATTTTACTTTATTTGCCCTCTAAAAATGGCAAAAAAATAGGATCTCCATTGAAAGGGATCTCTCAATAGCAGATATCTTCATACAACAGGAAAGCAATTTTTCGATCAAAGCATATCCATTCTGCGGTCAAAGCCATGAAGAGAGACCCTCTTTAAAAGGAAATCTTTACAGTGGACATAAACTCTGGTTCCACATGTCTGCTATATATACGTTCATAATAAACATTTTTTTGACCAATACAAAAAGGAGCTGAGAATCTACCCAATGAAAATTCTGCAAATTTAAAAGATTGTTTCAAGAATTATAGAAAATCATTCAGCATAAATTTGGATAGCTGTATATTTGTACTGTCCGAAGAATTAAGAATTCTTCTGGCCAACGTTGATGATGACCTGCCAACAAAATAAGAATAAATAGGTAAAAGGAAATATAAGATAAATTCTGCACATCATACGTTGATTCTAATAGAAAAAGCAGACTTAGAAATCATTTTAAATTTTGATTGACGGTAAGCATAGCTGCGATTCTTCCAAACAGCGGTATTAACTCCATCGTTAAATAGATTGGTAAACAGTAAATATCATTAGTCTTATGCAATGACATGTTGCTTTTTGTTCTTTGTTCAATAGATTTGGCCAGAAGAGAGGCTGCACAGAAAGCAGGCTGTGCAGAAGAGAGGCTACGATATGTACACTAAACTAGCTATTGCCTTTCCTAAATATCATAAATCCCCAAACAACCTATATAATTAGCAGTGATTACAAAATTGCTGGAACACTAACGCAACGAAGAGATGATTTTATGTACAATTAGTAGGCCTATAACGACATGAAAATACCAAATGGGATATCAACATTTTACCGATTTCACTTCAGAGTACTGTTCCAAGCCATATTCTCCGCTGTAAAAAGAGTAAGAAACACATTAATTTGATTAATTTGATTGTTTCAACAAACAAATGCATTCACTTCAGATACAAAACTTGATTGTACTTGAAACGAAAAATATCTTAACTCTATTATGATGACGAGAAAAACGCGAGAAGCACATTCTATACATAACGACATATTTAAAGCCAAAGCTTATCAATAAGTTAGAATATACACCTTCTGAGATAAGAAAAGGAAAAATTAGAATATAGGTATGTCTTTTGAGAAAGGTACGTAGGAATAAACACCTTCTGAGAAAATAAGAAGGGCAAATTGAAAATATATCCCTTCTGAGAAAAGAAGGAGGGCAAATGAAGAATAAAAACCCTCAGAGAAAAGTAGGAAAGCACATCGAAAATATATGCCTTCTGAGAAAAGAAAGAGGGCAAATGAAGAATAAAAACCCTCTGAGAAAAGTAGGAGGGCACATTGAAAATATATCCCTTCTGAGAAAAGAAGGAGGGCAAACTGAGAATATATACTTTCTGAGAAACGTAGCAAGGCTACTTTCTGAGAAACTCCCGTCTGCCAAATAGTCGTATAAATCAAAGATACAGATTGGCAGAGAATAAAAACATTTGTAGCACTTACAGCTCACGACCTGTTCCCGACATCTTGTAGCCGCCGAATGGAGAGTGGGCGTGCAATACGTCATAGCAATTTACCCTGGAGGAAAGATGGCAGAAATAGTTAGCATGACAAATTTGTAAAATCCTTTCGGAATTTCACAGAAAATGTAATTCTGAAATCTTAACCGTTAAAGTCTCCCGTAGTGCCTGGAACCTGATCACAATTCTCATTATAATGAGATGTGAAAGGGGTTTCAGGAAAGAAACGTATAAAGACAAAGAAATCAATTTTCTCACTCAAAAACTTTTAGTTGTCCATGTGTCCAGTAAGAATCTAGATCACAATAATTTTTAGGATAAGCTTTGACTAAATCTAATGACGATTGCTTTCGAATTACGATGAAAACTACTGAGGTGCATTTAGAACTATTCATAACTACCTTCTCAAATAAACAGAAGAAACTAATAAGTCAATAAAACTGATGAAAAGATTACAAAACACAAAGTTCCCTATTTGCCAATCGGTATCCGAATCGTGTCGGACCCAGCATTTACAGGACACCGCATTCATTTTAAACTGTATTGGCCGTGACCATCCCCCTCTTCACTTAGCATCCCTCTCTATCAAGCCCCCTCCTATTAAGCCAACATTTAGAATAAGCCCCCCCCCCATCTCTATTAAGCCTCTCTCCTTAGCTCTCTGTCAAACAAAGACAACATGCACATTGAGTGGGTCTCTGGACGGGTGTGATGATGATAAGATAATTTGCATTAAATACAGTCCATGTAAAAATTTCCTTGTTCGCCAAAGAAGTCAAGAGGATACTAATGTTGATTCTTTCGAAGAAATCCCAGAGCGTTGTGGCATCTTCATATGTTTTATTAGGAATAATTAATAAGCCCCCACGCTAATAAGCCCCCTCTCTTTTAGGCTACAATCTAGGACTGTAAAAAAATAAATAAGCCCGACAATGGGTTTAAATTTAAATTGAAAGCAACTCCTCCAATTTAGAAATACTTCTCAAATCTATGCTCAATTTGTTATGCTTATCCATTATACCAATTCTATTGTAGTGTTTAAAGTACACAAAAATGTGGGTGTTAAGGGCTTTCTCAGTACACTAACAGCACCAGCAGATTTCCTTCGTTAAGTCGTTTACAAAAACGTTGCCTAAAAAGAACATTACATACAGCTCAGCGAGACCCCTGAGGAACTGGATATATCTAGAGGTAGAATTGCAGCGACTTAAAAAAACACTGGCGTGATACCCATCATCTTTTATATATTCTAATAATGCCCTTTTCTGATAAAAAATCAATAAGCCATTCAATTTCGCTGCGATCACCTATATTTTTGTAGCTCAGGTTTCTTGCAGATTGTGGGAAAAATCTGATCAACAAGTACAAGCAAACAAAAAGTCACAGAAACATTTAATATTTTAAGAATCCCAAGATTATAATAGTAGTAATTATATTATAAGCATATTAAGAATCAAAATCACAAGGCTCAAGCCTCATCCATCAGACATAAATACTTAGATGGTTCGTTCTTTTAGAAAGCAAACAAGCGTCACTTTCACGCAATTTGTTTGACAGGAAAATTAGGAACTTAAATAAAACTCTTGCCAAATACAGTGGAAATGAACCCCGATATAATGAACCCGGGATATAATGAACTTATTTGTATAACGAACCAAGTGTCTGGTCCCTTAGACTCTACCTAACAAACTCTTTGTAAATTCTCTAGGTTCATACCCCGGGTACAACGAACGCTTGTTATTACCAACGAAACGTCAGGCCCCTTCATAATTAATACCCTCGATATAACGAACTTGTCATAAATTTATCATTTGATATTTTATTTATTTATTTCCGGTGTTCATTTGTCACTTTCTTTCGGAATAAATCATCATTGTCATCGGCAAAACATTCTGGTGGTACATTTCAAGCACTGGCTGATAAGACTGGCTGGCTGAGAGAGCAAGTGATCAAAGTTTCATCGCGTAAGAAATTATTGAGAATTGGCAAATCGACACTAACGAATACCTTCTTACATGTGAGATGTTGGCATTGAGCGACGACGAATTTTTATTGGGAGGTAACAAATTTTGAGAGTTAGCGGAGTTTAGACAAGTCGTCAACCTTAATCCGGCCTAGATTATCTTACTATAAAACCTGCCTCATTTTTAATGGGTTTCAAATGGGCGTGGCCATAAGACGTGTTACTTGACTAGTCTTGAAGTCTTCCCCTGGCAACTCCGCTTTTTCAAAACTTTTCTAGAAATTTGTAGCTTGTTTCCGTTAAAAGACATTTTTAAAAACCGATTTAAAGTAAAATGCTTATGTCGATTAATAACAAAAGCCTGTCTTTATTCAAATATAGAAGTTATAAAAGGATAATGCCTAAATGAGAGAAGCAAAATGTATAATAATCAAAGACGTCATTCAGCCGCTACCCTGAGTAACAGACTCACTTTCGGGGGCCCCAAATTATAAGAGAAACAAAAAGAGTCTGAATTTCGATGACTAACAACTAGTAACATTTGAATTCAGCTTGGTTTTTGGAGTGCAATGTGAACAAAAGTTGGAAATAGCCTAAACAAGCCCACCGAAGGTTTTTTAGGCAAAGGTTTTTTAGGCGTGTACTACGAAAAGACCTAAACAAAATTTTCCAGGTATAACGAACTCCCGATATAGCGAACTTTACATTCTATTTTACATACATTTAAGTATGCAACCAGTAAACCAGTAAATTTAACTTCTGTTTTTAATTTCTTTCGAAAATTAGAAGCTGGATTGTCCTAAATTTATTAGGGTGTAAGCAGTGCAATTGCTAGCTAGTTAGCTTTAGGGTGTTTTTCAGGCCTTGTATGGCAACAAAGTAAATGAGTAATCTTTTATTTGTCGACAAGTTTAAAAAATTACCGAAAAAGCACCCCTAGATGGCAAAGAAATCCTTGTTTTTCAGGTCAAAAGAAGCGAATAAAGCTCTGCTTATACGGCATCGGGCGGCATCGGGCACTTTTTGCCTTTGCAAGTCGAATGATGTTAAGGGATGTTTTTGAAAAATTAGTTTTTTGGTATCTGACAATTGCAACGGCAGTTATTTCTGCAAAGTCTAGAATAGCATCGAAATTAACTTTCCGGAAATCTATTGCTGAAACTTTGAGCAAGGAATTAAATTAGCAGCTGCAAAGGAAATGATAAGAAGCATGAGCAATATTCCTCGACACGCTTGTATGTAATTTAATGCAGAAACGGGCAAAATTTGTTAATTGGAGACCAAATTCATGACGTTTCTTACACAGGGAGGGTGGATCGGTCAAGGAAAAGCAACAAAAATTGATATTAGATTTCAGTGTTAAATTATCACCACATGTCCTTTTAAGCGCAACCCTCTTGGTTACCCAGGTAATCTCCCTGGATTAGATGTTTGGTTTGGTTCCTTAACATCAGTTATGTTGATCATTATTTCGCAACGCGATTATCACGATAAAGGCGACAAATTAAACTGTTTTTTCGCTTTTATTGTGATAATCGTGATAATCGGCCGGTGGAAACATGAAATCTTGGAAATCGTGCTTTGTTTTAAATCTTTTGATATTCTGTCGCGTTAAAGGTTGTTGAAAAGTAAGGTTTGCGTCATATGGTACTGCGCAGCGGCGTGCGCAGAGAATTACAACCCAGCACGTCAGCAATAAATCAGATTAGATTGGAGTAGTGAGCGAGAGATAGGAACACGTGGTGATGTAAAGTGATTTCGGTTATAAATATATACACTTACGTCCAAAAAGTATTGGGACACCCTTCGAAACTTCGAAGACATTTTATGCAACAAATTCGGAAAGACTTTTTTAAAATCTTTCTCATTAAAAAAGTACGGCAGCTATTTCCATGAAAATTTTACAAGACATTGTTGATATTTTGAAGCCTTTTATGTACGCCAAAAAATTAAAAATACATCTACCATGAAATTTCTATAGGTCTCGAGACGAAAACATGGAAGCTCTGAAAACTCAAGAACTGAGTTAAGAGAAGCGCTTACAAATTGCTTTCTACTAAAATAAAGCAAATGGATTTTGTGAAATTGCATCAATTGTCGGCTGCCAATTGAATGCAGCTTTTCTAGTGTGAAAAAAGTTTTTCGGTACAAGAACAGTAAAAAATTTACAAAGGGTTGGCAGACCGAAGAAGTTTACGACGCCGAGGGACGAAAGGTCATTTCTGAGGGAACTGCGAAGTAATAAGTTTGAATCCTTACTAGACAGCATGTTGTCATGTAAAAAGAAGCTAAATAATGGAACATAAACAAAAACATGGCTATAAAAGTCATGAAAAATACCAATTTTCAAGCGTTATAAGAAGAAAATGCTCTCTCAAAGCAAAAATTAATCATCGACGATGAGTACAATGGCTTCTCCTTGAATGTTACGCATTTTTGAAAGTAACTTGAATAAATGCAATATTTTAATAAAATTGTAGCATTTTCGTCGATGAAGTAAACTTTTTTTGAAACTTAAAAGTTTGAATTCATAATTTCTTTTATAAATTTTTTTGTTATACAAACGTGAAATCAAAAAATTGTATTTGTTTGGACAGCTCTAAAATGTTTGGAAGGTCATGTGACTTTGCAGTTGTTAGGCCATACAACCCTTCTGAATATTTTGCTGTTATAATCAGGAAAATCGAAAGAATCCTGTGTTTTTGTGGTTATGATTCATAAGTTGAAGCATTTTCTTAACTTTTTATTCCATTTTAGGTAAACGTAGGCCTAGATTATTTGTAGAAAGACGGTCCAAATCTGAAAAATTTTCCGTTGCAAAACCGAATCCAACGCAAAGCCATAATTCGTTTATCGAATTCGTCCCAATACTTTTGTATATTAAAGCTTTGTTGATATAAAAGGACATTGTCTCAATGAATTTTGCATAGCCCGGTCCACGGTTTAAAGTTTATGACAATCGTGCTTTTCGTCAAAATGGACGTCACTGGGCTCGATTTCGAAAGGCAAACATCGGTTACCATGACAAAGTTCGCGTGCCTGGGAAGTTTCAAGGAGTGAATCGTTTTTTTTGCAATAAATTATTTGAAACACTCTTCTTATTTTAAACTAAGTAGCGTAGCTTGCCAAAATGGATCCCTATTGTAGTCAACGAGACGAACAGCTAGCAGAAGCAGTTAGATCTTACCCATGTTTGTAGGATAAAGGTAAATTGACTGCAAATGCAAAAATATTGTTGCTCATGCCTGGAGTAAAGGGCTGCTTTCTTGTTAGGGGCGCCATGTTGATTATAAAAACAATTTTTTTAGCGCTAATCGTTTTATTCGTGCAGTGGAAACTGCCATCACAATTGCGACTTTCGCGTTTGTCGCCCTAATCGTGATAATCGTGGCGCGATAATCACGATTGAATCATGTTTCCACTAGACTAGACCACAGAATAGACGATTGTCACGATAAAAGCGAAAAGTCATTTGAATTTGTCGCCTTTATCGCGATAATCGCCCAGTGGACAAAGCTTTAGGGGTCTGGAGCACAAGCTATTCGTCACATGCTCGTCACATGCTAGACACAGGGAAACAATGGGGAAACTTCTGAAGCAATTTTTCATTTCCCGGAAAACATTTCGTGTTCGAGTAGACAGGTAGAGAGCCTAAAGAAGGGGCAAATAAGAAGTTATATTATACCGTTTAAATATTTCAATTAAGACTAAGATGGAAATGACTGGACAGGAGATTAGTAGGGAATCCAGTGGAAAAGCTGAAAATCCCAGTGAAGTTGATGCTGTGTTGGGTTCTTCAAACGAGAATGGCGAGGATGCTTTGAGGAAATATGCCGACAAGCAGCTTCAGCGGACATACGAATTATTTGAAAAATTCACGGAAAAATCAGAAGCCGCCTACACCTCAATGAAAGAAGATTATGAAATGTTGAAAAATAAAGAAACTAATTATAAAGAGATGACAAAGAAGCTGGATGATGTTCATTTCGTTGATGTAGTAAAGCTCGATGTTGGAGGGGAAGAGTTCAAAACAGGATTACAAACATTGCTAAAGTATCCTGATAGTTTGTTCGCTACCCAGTTCTCTCAAAGTTTAAAGCTGAAACAGACATCTAACGAATCCTTCTTTATTGATAGAGATGGATCATACTTCAGGTAGTTATATTTTCACTCGTATTTTTACATAACATAGGGCCGCCGAGAGGTTTCGGACTAAAGGCCCTGGGGCAAAAGTTTTTCAGTGTATAAACGCTTACCAATCCGACAGTGCTGACCAGTTTATTATCTAATATTATTGCTTTTCTATTATTAAGACTAACCTACTAACCGCTTGTACGCAATACCAATTATGGGGACTGTACTATAACATTTAGATTAGATTTAACCGAAAGACGAGGCCTAGCAGAATTTTTTTGCGACCACGTCCTTTAGATAAGCTCAAAATACATTTAAGAATTTTACCTGCAGTCATTTCTGGCAATCGTTTATAATGTTTTACTATAACTAGACATAATTTTGCTAATTTTGACTGATTCCATTTCTATCCCTTTCCCCCTCTCGGCGGCCCTGTTTATACAGTTTTTGAAAGGATTGACGCAAGCTTTTGGAGATTTCAATGAGATATCACTGAAAATATTATTTTAAGAAACCCGAGACATGTTCTATGTGCTTCTTGATTAATCATATCGCTTTTTGATTGTCATTTCCAAAATATCATCTTAATAATGAATTGAAATGGAAATAATGTTATCTATCTTTAAAAAGCTCAACGAACAGTTCAAAATCCATCTTGCGTACTCACGCGTGTAAGTTAATTGATCGCTAGTTAAAACGCTTAAATCACGTTGGTTTCCGCTTGTCAAAATTTCAACGCAGAGGTCCATTCACACTTGTCGCGTTTTTCATGCCGCGGACCATAAAAGGTGTGCGTTTTTTGACGCACAGCTTGGTGCCAATGCGTTTTTTTGCAATGCGGCAAAGTTGAAAAAATCCAACAAAAACGCTTCGTGACGCTCAGATCACTAGTTCAAAATGGCTGCTAAACACGTCAACAAGGAGTTATTGATTGAATCGGTTAGAAAATATCCTTGTCTTTACGATACATCGCGGAAAGATTACAAGGACGACAGTATTAGGGAAAATGCCTGGAAAATGGTTTGCATCGATGCGTTGAACCATGTGCAAGAAGACCAAAAACTACTGAATGAAGGTTCGTGCACGAGTTTTTATCAATCATTTCGCGCTGCTTATTACTCTCATCTTTAGCAATACCTTAAAAAAAAAATAAAACAACAAATTTAACGACGTAGATCGAACATTTGATATGCTTGCTTTCGGCTTATGATAACTGTCGTTCTACCCCAAACCTTGAACATCCTGTCAAACATCCTGAAAAATCTGCATAAACAGCTTGGCGTGTCCGGTTAACCATGTCAGTCTAAAATTATTTCAATAAAAGCCATCGTTGTATTTTAAACTTGCTATTATGTTTCTGAAGGTGTCAACATAACTCTCTAAAACTCTATAATTTTATTCGTTTTAACAAAATTTTACTGTTAGTTGAGCTAAGAATTTTTTATTTGCCATACAGATATTGCAATGCTGAAAAGAGTTTTCAAAAACTTGAGAGACCGGTACATGAAAATGAAGAAAGAGTACAAGCCGTCAGGGAGTGCAGGAGGGGTTCCTTTGGAGCCTTCGTGGCCATTCTTTGCCCAGTTGCAATTTCTGGATCCATTTCTAAAACATAGGCCCACTACCAGCAATTTGCAAGTGACATCCTATGGTTTCGAACGTTTCTCCGAACAAGAAACTACGCTGCAAACTGATAATGAGGATTCATTCGTCAATCTGCCTGATGAGGAAATCGAGACCCTGTCATCCAGTTTAAAGCAAACCTCTTCCCCAGACACCCAATCTTTTACCCCGATTCTTTCACCAACCGTCTCTATTGATGCATCAGTTGCTGCCCCCTCACCTTCTTCGTCAATACCTGCCAATACTGTACAAACAGGTAAATCAAAAAAGCGCAGAAAGGGTCAAGAAGAGACAAGTAACGAGCTGCTGTTACAAGCTTTGAAAGAATCCAATGACTTTATTGCAGCAGCATGCAGTCGCCAGGAGCCTGATGAAGATGATTTGTTTGGGCAAAGTGTCGGGAAACAGTTAAAGAAACTAAGTGAATACCAAAAAAGCCTTGCTAAAATAAAAATCCAGCAAGTTATACATGAAGTTAAGTGGCTGAGTGAGAGCCAGTTGTAAAACGTAAATTTGGTAGCATTAAGAACCTTTTCGATTTTGAATAACATTATTAGATTAGATAGCGTCTTTTTAAAATCGGGTGCCGTTTGAGAGAGGGGAGATACTATTGACCACTGTGGTATTATTGAATTGCCTCTCCCCCCCTCTTGCATAAGCAATCTCATCAAATAGGCCCCTAATCTGGAACTGAAAATTCTAAATAAGCCCCTACCCTTTGAAAAGGACCTCTATTAACATGCCAATTTTTACAATAGATGATTTTAGTTTCTGGATAGATACGACATTCGTCGTAAAGTTAAACCAATAAAAACGAAACATTTTTAATTTTTTTTCAAAATTTACTTTCAAAATATTTGTTCTCCTGGAGTGGACTTGAATAAAGAAAAATTGCTTCAAAGAGCTGTTTTCATGGCGACTTAAAGAAATTTTTTATTATGATGAGCTTCTCCCATGTTGCCTTCGTTTTGCACTATGAAAAGCAGATATTTCTATTTATGAAAGCAGATATTCATGAAATTCATCTATTTATGAAAGCATTATGATGAGCTTCTCCCATGTTGCCCTCGTTTTGCACTATGAAAAGCAGATATTTCTATTTATGAAAGCAGATATTCCTATTCATGTGTGATGTGCTTTTCCCATTTTGATTCTTGTCCCATTTTTTCAATAAAAGGCGCCTTTTCCTGTTAATTCTGAGCCCCTCCTGTCTTTTCAGCACCCCAGGGTCAACGAGAAATAACTTTTTTTGTTTTTCAATTGAAGTATAGTGGTAAAAAATATTATATATAAAGCAACGGAAATAGCAAGGTTAACTAACGATTTTATTTGATTGGCTCATAAGATGTTCTTTTTACGTAATCATACTGCCAAGGCAATTCTAACTTGTGCAGACTGAAAGTAGTCTGCGACTTTCTGTCGAAAAGCTTGGGCGGATCTACTATGATTATTAGAACCAAGTTGCTTTATGTCTGAAAGAGAGCCAGACTCTGTTACTTCAGATCTCCATGTTCCGCGATGAAGAATACCGTGGGCATCTTCATAATCAATGTAACCTGGGGGGCAGTAAATCCTTCCGTACGCTTTTTGACTGTCATCGTGCTTTTTTAGCCAGTTATGTAGGGCTATAGCTGCAAGGATGCTTTTACTGGCCTTTTCAGGCTGAGCTTGAATAGGTGCTCTCAAAAATCTCCATCTAGCTGAGAGTATGCCAAAAGCATTCTCCACTACTCTGCGAGCCCTGGAAAGTCGATAGTTATAAATTCTTAAGCTTTCTGGTAAACCCTTCCCAGGAAAAGGGCGTTGCAAATTTTCTCGAAGAGGAAATGCTTCATCTCCAATAAAACAGTACCTGCTACTCACTGTTGTACCAGGCAAAAAGTCACTGTCGGGTATTCCCAGACTGTTTTCGATTAATGCCTTACCAAAATTGGAATTATTGAAGACACTAGAGTCACACTGTCTGCCATAGTCTCCGATATCTACTAAAGTGAACATATAGCTTGCATCTGCAACAGCCATTAAAACGACGGAAAAAGACCCTTTGTAATTGAAAAATGCACTGCCTGAGTTGTTTGGGCAAACAACAACATAATGTTTTCCATCGACAGCACCAAGACATAAAGGAAAACCCCATAGATTCCAAAAATCATTTGCGATCTTTTTCCAAGCATTTTGATCTTGAGGAACAGGTACTGAAATGGGACATAAGATCGACCAGATTTTTTCAGGGACATCATCAAGAATTTCACAAACAGTGGATCTGCCAATTCTAAAATTGAATGACAATGATGCCTGTGATTCTCCAGTAGCTAAGTACCTCAATGTTACAGCAAGCCTCAATGCTGGGGATAATGGTTCCCGAAATCGGCTCTTCTTTTTAAGCAGCGCAGGTCCAACTAATTTGAGTAAATCGTCAAAAGTAGAAGGAAGCATTCTGAAAAAATTGAAATGCATAGAGTGGTCGTTTAGCCTCATCTCTTGTACCAAGTTATCAAAGTGGCCTTGTTGTTCTCGGTATTTCCATAATTCTCTTACCCAAGAAGACCGCTTTCTTTTGCCTTTCTCCAATAAATTCAACGCAATCAATCGATTTCGATAGGCCAGAGCTAGCAGAACGTCGTCTTGTTTACACGCCATTACAGAAAAACGCTAGGAAGAGAACGCGTCAAGTGTGAACAGGACCGACGCGTTTTATCCGCATCATGCCGCAGTGCGCCGCATCATACCGCGATAAATGTGAATGCAGCTAGCGATTTCACGACTGTAAATGATCACAGCGTGAACGAAGCGAAGCTAGAATCAGCTCACAGTGCAATAATAAAAACGGAAGTAAATGTCATTGTTCGTAACAAAACTATGGCTCTATTGTTCGCATATTCTAACAAAAGCATTTCCCGAAACACTGGCGGAAAGACAAGATCCCAATATTTCCCTTGGATCATGCACCCAGACATACATTATTACCATACTCAGCTTTGAGTGCTCATTCAAGACGCCCCATTAATTATTTTTGAGCCTTGTGTATTAGGAAACTGCAAAGGATATAAAACAAAGCTTCTTATATCATGGAGATTCACCCTATTTATTATTATTTGGGAATTGTTCTATAAAGGATTGGGAAATTACCTCCCACCTTGCTTATTCCAGATCCCTGCCTATTTGGGACTCAAGAGTGGCCGTAACAGCCAGTAACAAACCTGGACTAATTTAATATTATTATATTATTGTCTTATCATTTGTCTTAAAGCATTTGAATATAATTTGTATATAAATATGTTTCCTTGTATATTCCAGGCATATAATGAACTATATGCGAACAAGCACTGTTACTCCAAAAATGAAAGAGCTAAAGGCTGAATTGATGGAAGAGGCAAAATTCTTTGGTCTATCTGGCCTGGTCAAAATGTTGTCTGAAGAGGAACCAGAACTAGAGAAAGGAGAGGCTGGTGGTGAAGAAAACAAGGATGTTGGGATGATTATCCTTGAGGATCATTCAAATCAGACAAGTAAACTGCTTGAAGATGCAAAAAAATCATTAAAAGAAGGACAGGATGCCCTGAAAAATGATATTAATCTGTTAGAAGAGTCAAAAGAGAATTTTCTTAAAATGTCTGAAAGATTGCAAGACGTCCACTTTTCTGAAATGATCCAGTTGAATGTTGGTGGGCATATTTTCAAAACTAGCATCAGTACATTGCAAAAATACCCAAACACCATCCTGGCTACAATGTTCTCCCAACGATTCAAATTGGAAAAACAGAAAGACGGATCATACTTCATAGACCGTGATGGGACACATTTTAGACATATATTGAATTACCTAAGGTTTGGAAGGTTACCAAGAAAAGTAATTGATGAGATTGGAGATGAATTGTTAGAAGAAGCAAAATATTACAATATTGAAGGATTGTATAAGGAAATATGGAATATGCCATCAATTGAATTGAAAGTTGGGAGCAAAAGCTACTACACAACAAGAAACATTGTGCATAAAGATGAATCTTTTGCAAGTACAATTTTTGGCAGTCCAACAGATGGTGGAGCATATCTGATTCAAGGGGACATAAAACACATGGAAGAAATACTTAAGTTCCTTGAGAATGGTGAATTACCAAAAGACATTGCCTTTCTAACTCTTTCACGATTGTCCTTGGAAGCCCAAGTCCTGAATATGCTCAATCTCCAAAGATACCTGAGTTCATTCCAAACATCATGGTCTCTTCCATAATAAACATTAGGTCTCAAACATTTTAAGGTACCCTCCCCCCAAGTGTATTTCAGTAAAAATTGAAAATTTGATGAAACTGAAAATTTGCGTTAGTTAAATACCTATTTATATTGAATATTTTAATTTTGTTTACGGTTAGATTGGTCAGATTTTTCTCAGAAAGAATTTTTGACACATGATCAAAATCCAGATTTGGGACAAATGTATTTTAGTTCAGGCAAATATGCAGCGATTATTACATTCAGGTACGGAAGTCCATATGAGGATTGCTAATATATTCCGGGCCCGGGGGTTACTCCCATTATGGCCTAACAGAGAGGTCCAGTCAGGGTCAATGAGGGTCAAAGCTAAAATATTAAAAAATTACCCTCAAATGGTAGTGTTTTTTGACAATAACCCTCAAATGGTAGCACAAGAAAGCAAAATATTTCATTAGTAGCATTCACTTTTTGATACCCACCTGGTTCTTCTTTGACAAATTTATTCGCCATTGACTGTTGTTGATTCGGGAAAGACAAAACCTCGCTCATCGTCTATAATAAATCGCAAGCTAAACTAAGCCGTTGTGTTATTATCGAAACTGGGCCATTTGGAAAGACCCTCAAATTGACTGGACCCCCCCCCCCGCCCCCCGCCAGGCCTCAATAAATGGGAGTACCCCCTGGGGGCCAGGGCCAAAAAGCTCTAACTCTCAATGCGGCCCAGGTTAATTACGACACATTTTGAAATCCAATTTTGCAATTTTGAATTCGCTTTTTGCATTAATTTGTGTATGGTTATTTCGTGTACTGCGTCCGTGTAACAAGTTATAAAAAAGAATAAAAGAAAAATTTGTTTTTGAACAGTTTAGGAGAGCAATCTGCAGTCCCCCTTGAGCATTTGCAGGGAGCCCGGAGCACTGATCAAGTCTTGGATACATTCCAGCAAATAACCGGAAGTAATGTTTCAGAAAGCATGAAAAATGCACGTTCAGCAAATGTTGACCTATGAATTTTTCAAATCTGATGATTTTATCAGAACGAGCTTGTAAAACTGAGTAAAAAACATCATTGTTTCCTACCGTAATTTGACGTGCTGAATAGAATAAGATGCAACTTTCAGATGCAGTTTAAAAATCATAGATATTTTAGACTTTGGTACTTGTACCCGGGCTGCTGTTGGATATCGCAGTATAACCTTACAACTATGCACGTTGTACAACTGAAACTATGTTTAAAGAACAGTTTGTATATTTGAGATTCGTCTTTCTATGTTTCCGTTGTTTTTGGCCGTTTCTGCAACAGGATGGAATATATCACCGATCATAACCACGAAACATTTAGTGTTCGAGCTGCATGAAAAGTCGAGGCACGACATTCAAACCAACAAGCACATATTTTGGTCGACGAGGCACGTCCATGCCTGTAGGCAGGTAAATAAATCCTTAGCCTGGAGGGGAGCAAGATGGTTCTCCTTCAATGACCAGGCCCGCTTGAGCAACTATTTAGAACTAAGAGACGTCAAGAAGCAACACATAGTCGCTTTTCACCTCTGGATTCTAATTGTTCATTACTTTCTAACTGTTCATTACTATTAAATAATTTCTTACTTTTGCATTAAAATTCAATAGATTTTGACTTGTCTAATCCTTCCTTTCAGATTGCGACAATGAGAGCTTCTTATTCAGTTTGAAATCACTGGAATGGGACGAGCCACTTTTTTGAAAGCAAATGGTGATAATGTAGCTGGAACTCGTGTTCGAGGCAATTGTATTATTCTTAAGAATCCAAGCTATCATCGACGGAAACGAGAATCCTCTTTACATTTTTTTTCTCTCCAACAAAATACAGACGTTCTGTGCTTTGATGAATTCGACACAGACGTTTCCTGCATATTCAAATACAATGCAGAGGCCTACAAGTGCAATGATCCAGTGCCTGCCACAAATACTCTTCTTGCTGGAGAAGAAAACTGTCTTCTCGAAAGAATGGAGATTTTTGCTGTTTAATATCAAAAACACATATGATAAAGATTCAATTAAAAAACTGAACTGCCTGGCTCATTTAGTTATCTTTAGTTATCTTAAGGCTTATGCATGATTATGTGACATTGTATTTTAGATGGGCCATACCTCTTTGCATTTAGTCAAAGTTGTTATAGTCAAAACTTAGCCAAAGTTATAGTTGGATGTTGTGGCGGAGGATCTATCTTAAATTATTTTTTACATGCAGGTATTTACTGTGTAATATTTTGATTTATCGGAATCAATTTTATTTTTAAAATGAAAAGACATTTAACACGGTTCAAATAGAATTTCAAATGAAAAATTATTGAAAGATAAAATTAAAATCAATTCACCCACCAAACAGTGCCAGCTCGAATCCCGTGGGCAACTTTCAATGCCTTGTTCAAGTCATTTGTCTGAACAGCTGCTGCCAAACCATACATGGTTTTGTTTCCCCGCTCAATAACTTCATCTGCTGTTTTAAATTTCATGATTTGTTGTACTGGTCCAAAGATCTGAAAAAGTTCAAATGAATGATTAAATATGATGTGAAAGTACACGAGAGCAGCAAGCCCTTCCTTGATTTCCACATTCATAGTTTGCTTCAATTGATAATACAGTAAAACCCAAGAAGGAATGGTTCAATCTATCCAATGAGTATTTTCATTAAGTTTTATTCGTTGAGATTAGACTGTAGACGAGTTTTTTCGTACTAGCAGATATATTATAACTGTTTTTTGTGTATAGAAAAGGACAATTCTAAGTTGCTATTCGATTCTTAGCTGCTGAAATGTTTTCAATTTGTGATGATTTGCTGATCTCCATTTATTTCAAAATATTTGGGGGGCGCTCTTTGGAGTGGGGGGGGCGGTCGTACATAAATTTTATCAAAAGGGGGCCCTTATTTGAAAAGGGCATTCAATGGAGAGAGAAAGCTGTAACTGTTAAAACTTATCTCTCCTTGAGTGTTATTCTATGTGGTTGTTATGTCCCTGGATGTATCAGGAATTTCAATGCTTTTATGGCGTCAATTAGGGGAAAATTATGTATCAAATTACTGGCAGTTATACAATAGAAACTTATTCTGTTGTCGGCATTTAGAAATTAGTTTCGGTCTTTTGTATAGGATGGAATTCTTACTAGAATTAATGAGTGTTAAGTTTTTTCTTCCAAACAAAATTGACATCGTTTAGATTTGTTCAAATAGGTCGAGATTAGATATGTTAGATTGACGAATGTGTTAAACAAATGAAGTGCTACATAGACAAGTTGATGATATTAGCAAAGGTACCAAATATTAGTCTTTCAAAATAAAATATTGTTGAACAAAAAAACCAAAGGAAAGTCTACACAGAATCTCGTTTCCCTACCTCAAAAATGAGTTTTTGAGTTGCTGTTTTGTTGATTGAATTTCAGGATATTGTTTAAAGGTTATTTCTTTTGACCAGGTCTTAATTTCTTTTTACAGCCATTGAAACGATAATTTCAAATGATAATTACCCAGTGATAATTACCCATTATTATATTATAATAAATAATTATATATTTATTATTATTATGCCCATACGAGAATTTATATGAAAAAGAAGGGATGAGTGGCTTATAGCTTTTCTATTTAAACTTTTAAAATGCCTGACAAAGTCTCATATAGACAGAGTTCTTCAAAAATAACACAATATAAAAAAACGTAGCTCAGCGGTTAGGGTCGCTGACTACAGATTCAAGGGTTCGTGGTTCGTGTCCCTGAATTGACCAAACTTTCCCTCAGAGTGAGAAGAGTCGCCAGCTCTCTGTAATTCCAGGCGTAGGAATCACGAGTTGTGATCACATCGAGAGGAAGGACCAGGACACTGCTCGATAACCATAAGCTTCTCAGTGTCCTAAAACTACCTTCAGAAGCTAGGTAGCAAACAATACAAAATACAATACAAAATACAATTCAAAGTAAATGCAATTGGAGAGCTAAAGCAGACATCTTGAAAGATGGCTGTCTAACCTCTTCACTGGCGATTCTCATATCGTCACTGACGTCAGAGAATACTGTTGGTGCAATGTAATAGCCTTTATCTCCAACTTGTCCTCCTCCGCACTGCAGAGAAGCACCTTCCTTTTTACCACTTTCAATCAACTCGATTATTTTGCTCATTTGTTCACTGTCAACCTTCGTAGAGAAATGAACCACATTGTAAACCATTCAAAATAAATATTCATTAATGCTATCGATTTCCAAATAAGATGGCAGCTACAGCCATGGAAAGGCGGTAATGAAAATTTTCACACCACCCCCTCCCCCGAAATTTCGAAAACTGCAACCAACAAAAACATCCATATTTTAATAGGAGAATGGGATGAGAGGTTGTATCTTGTTTAGGGAGAATTTTAGGTTTAAAAGCATGCTGAAGATTAAGTTCATGGAAGATATTCCCCTTCTAGAGCATTTTTGGCATCTGGTTTCTTTCTTAGTATCAGGTGAAAAACAGCGCTTACAGATCTGTTTCCCCTGATTAGAGAGATCCAAAATAATTTCAGCCCCTCCTATGAGCAAGGGGAATGTCCCTCCACGAGAATCCCGTATTCCTTTGGCAGAGACTTATTTGGTTTTCTGGTAAAATAGAAAAATAATCCCAGAAATCTCGTACACCCCTAGCCTTACGACAAGGCAGGGACTCTAAAACCAAACCTGGGGTCCTTGTGTGGTGCTTGTATCAAGTGGATTTCCAAGAATTCGCTTTTTCGCTCTTTCAACGCTTTTGGCGACAAATTCGTCGTAAATCGATTCTTCGACGAAAGTTCGGCTTCCAGCACAGCAACACTGGCCTTGGTTGAAAAAGAGGGCAAAGTGACTCAGTTCAACGGCCTCGTCAACGTTTACATCACCAAAAACGATATTTGGGCTTTTTCCGCCGAGTTCCAAGGTCACGTTCTTTAGGTTTGACCGCCCTGCCGCTTGTTGTATCAGCTTTCCAACCTGTTCAAAAATTAATGATACTGAAGCATAAACAACACAGAAGAAAATGAGGATATTTAAATCGAAAGTACATCGGCCTTAACTCTTAAATAGAATTTACTTCAAAGCTTTATTTCAGGGCTGTTATGGATTTACATACGCAGTTTTTGACTGTACAAAAGTTACAGGTACGTTCTGATAATGAGCGATGACGTCATAAATGAGCGTTTAAATTTTGACCACATAATCTGGAAGAATCTACGAAACAGTCCATAAGCCTTAAAGGAAATGGGTCTACCAAGGATCGACTGAGACGACAGTTTTCTATCAGTGAATGCGTTTTTCATCATAACAGGATTAAGGTAATAAATAGTTTTGTAAATCTCAGTCATGAACAGCTGCAGAATTTTCCTGTGAACGAACACTGAGTTCAAGATTTTAAAATTTATAAAATGACTAGCAGACTTCTGTATTGAATTCATTTTTTTCTGTCAACATTTGTTTTACATTTCCAAGCAACAAACTCTCGATAAGAAGTTCCGGTTGGTTCGTATTCCTTCAGATGCTGTGCCTACCTAGAAACCTTGCCACTTGATAAAAACAACAGAACTGTCTCTATTTGCCTACTGGCCGGGGGAGGGGGGAACTCCCATACTGAACCTCACAGGATGTGCCGCAGAACAAGGTATCATTTTACGATAAAATTATTGGACAGGGTGTTATGAATGACATCAAAACTCTGAGACAGGGTATCGAATTTAAGGAAATTTGTAAACAATAAATTTGTGAGAACAGTTTACTCTGTTTTTCGTAACTCTGTTTTTCGAGACTTTTTGGAATGAGCATGTCCCAGTTCCATTTGCCAGTGGTTACTAGTATGAGATCTGATATGTTTTGGCATCACAGCGCCGTCTTTGGCATACTTTTTATGGGACAGGGTGGCTTCTGGTAATTTCATTCGGCAAGGATCAGGGTGAAAAAGGTTTCCCGTACACCCCGTCATTTTGCTAGCTAAGTGCCCCCTAGGCCCGTTGCTTGTATTTGTACGAAGTCTTTTATGATAAACGTCAT